GGGACTGCCTGCGAAACGGCTGCGAGAGGTCCACGACGAGAGCCAGCTACTTAAAGACCTGAAGCGGGACAATACAAAGCACCTCTCTAAGGCTAAAAGAAACCTCCTCCGGGCGCCGCAAGCACCGTATGCGGCCCTGTTACTACACGTGGATAGCGTGGAGGCGGCGATGGAACTATGCTCCGAAGGGCTTATTTGGGAGGCCCAGATATTCGATTGCGAGCCGTACGACGGCAATCTTCGGGTTCGGCAGTGCTACCAGTGCTACGAATACGGCCATATCGCGAAACACTGCAAGAAGACGGCGCGTTGCGGCGTCTGCGCTGCAACGGCACACCCAGGGGGTGAAAAAGACTGCCCCGAGAAGGCACCTAGCGGCAAAAAACGTTGTGTGAACTGCAAAGGGAAGCACACGGCGTGGGACAGGGACTGCCCTACGGCAGAACAGCAGCGGCTACGCGTACGCAAGGCGTACGCTCACCGCCCCCGACAATTTGAGGTCCGCAGCTACTCGGACGGGTTATCTAGTGAGGGCAGGCTCACACCACCTAGCTCATTGACCAGCGACGGGTTTGCAGTTGTACGACCCCGGGGCCGCCCCCTGGGCGGATCGCGAGTGGAGCAGGAGCGAACCGAACGGTCTGCGTCAGCAATGCGTAGCTTCCTCACTAAGGGACGTACGAACGAACATATACCATCGACAGCTCAATGGTAATCTCTATTCTCTACTGGAATATCGCAGATTCAAAGGCGAACGCAACGCTAGCGCTGGATAAGGGAGGTGACTATGATATAATAGCGGTTCAAGAGCCATGGATCAACCGGCGGACGAAGGCGATTTATTGCCCGAAGTCGTCCAGGTACGAAGTAGTGTACAGCAGCGGCAGAGCTGCGCTATACGTCCATAAACGATACGACGTAGCTACGTTGCGACCCCGTACCGGGATGGACTGGAGCAGTATTACGTTCGGGGCAGGCCCGGACGCCCTTACAATCTGGTCTATCTATTCACCAAACCAGACCGGGAGCCGCTGGGTCAGCCCGCTCCAAGACCTCCCTAATGGGGCGCCGGAGGGGACACAGGTCCTCGTAGGGGACTTCAATACACATCACCCGCTGTGGGACGTCCACGGACGGTCGTCACGGGGCAGCGACAACGTAGTGGAGTTTGCGCGACGCTGGCGATTAGAGCTCGTTACGCCGTTCGGGGAAATCACACGGCAAAGGCACAAACAACGAGACTCAACTATCGACCTAGCCTGGGTGACGAAAGGGGCTAGGATTGATTACGATGGGGACCCGGGCCTAGAGGGCTCAGACCACAGAGCGCAAGTGATTAGGGTAATATCCAACGGGGAAGCAGTCAAGGAGGGCCGCCTCAGTGTCGAAGGGTGGAACTGGGCGATGGCGGATAAGTGGCTCATCGTAGCCGAATCAAGCCAGAGATTTATGAATTATTTGCCGGTTGAGACGATAACGGAGTTGGACCAGGCTGTTGACTGGGTTATCCAGAACCTCCAAGAGATCGCCAACGTGGCGGTCCCGAGACGCACCGTTGGCCGAGGCGCTGGGGTCCCGTGGTGGTGCCCGCAGGTTAGCAAGGCTTGCGCTGAGACGAAGAGACGACGGCGGGACTACCTCCAGGCAAGGTCGCAGACCAACTGGGACGAATATACAAGAACCGGCCAAAAACAACGGCTCGAAATCAGCGAAGCGCAGACGCGTAGCTGGCACGAGAAGCTCGAGGGGACGGCGAAGGATCACAAAAGCCTGTGGGCACTGCAGAGGTGGGCTAGGCTACGGAGATGGGCCCCCCTGAGGCCCACGGCTTGCCAGATCTTCGGAGGGACGCCGGCGACACGCTTACGGCACGTACACATGATGAGAAGGCAAAATTACTAGCTGAGAGGTTCTTCCCAGACCCGTGTATAGATCTATCGGACCTCGATCGCGGCCTATTACAGACGAGACCAGAGCTGAACGTCCCTAGGGAGGTGACCACAATGGATATCGAGTCTATCATCAAAGGAACGGCTGCTTGGAAGGCTCCCGGCGACGACCTGATCCCCACTGGCCTGCTAAAGGCCTGCGGTGAACCCCTATGGGAGATCCTAGCGGATCTGGCAACAGCTAGCTTTAGGCTGGGGTACTACCCGGAGCGCTTCCGCTCAGCGAGGGTGGTTGTTATCCCTAAGCCTAATAAAACGACAGCTCAGAAGCAGACCCCTGGCGGCTGGCGCCCCATTGCCCTGCTTAGCACGGTAGGGAAGGTAATAGAGACGGCGATGAGCCAGCGTATCACCAAAGTAGCTAGGCGGCCGGCCTACTACCAAACGGCCAAATGGGTAACCGCGCTGGGAGGTCTACCGAACTGGCAATACGTATAGTTGAGGACGTGGTCTATACGGCGTGGAAACGCGGGGGCATCGCCTCGCTGCTACAGCTAGATATCAAGGGGGCATTCGATACGGTCAATTACAGACGGCTGATTTCCATATTAGCCCGGAAAGGCTACCCGTAGTGGGTTCAGGAGTGGGTACGCAGCTTCGTGGAGGATAGGACGGTATGCCTCCGGTTCGATAGCAAGGAGTCAGAGCCAATCCCCCTACGAGCTGGCGTCCCCCAGGGGTCACCGCTATCCCTGATACTGTTTATATTATACATTTCAACGCTGTACGAGGAGCTAGTGGAGCAGCACCCACTACTTTTAGTAGTCGGGTTCGCGGACGACATGAACCTGCTAAGCGTCGGCACCGATCCAGACACGACCTGCCGCCAGTTGGAGAGCGCATGGGCTACGTGTCAGCGGTGGGCAGTGAGGCACGGGATGGAGTTCGCTCCTGACAAGAGTGAGCTAATGCACTTTACTAGGGCCCGAGAGCCCTTGCCGCAAAGTATTCGCCTTGAGATGCCACAGTGTCGCCGGTAGTCTCAGCGAGGTTCCTAGGAGTCTGGTTCGACCGCAAACTGACGTGGCACGCCCATGTTGAGCGTGTTAAAACAAAAATGGCAACTCAAAAGCTAGCCCTGACAAAGCTAGTCAATATGTCGTGGGGCTGCGATCTTATACGGGCGAGGCTGTTATATACGGTGGTTATCCGTAGCGCGATCGCCTTCGGGGCGACTGCGTGGCATACTATAAGTGAGGAACCGGCAGGGCCAGCTAAGAGCCTGATGGGGATACAGAACGAGTGCCTCCGGGTAGTCTGTGGCGCCCACAAAGCGACGCCGGTTCGCCACCTGGAAGCAGAAGCAGCAATCCCGCCACTAGACCTCTATCTTAGTGCCCGGGCTGCTAAGTTTGAAGAACGGCTACGGCTTAGCGGGAAGAGAAATCTGCTTCGCAGCGCGAGCGCTAAAGCGTCACATATACTCCGGCAGGATAGGCCGGCGAAGAGGAAGCAGGCGTCGCAGCTACTCCGACCGGCAGGGTACACTATGGAGGAGGAGGCCCGGGGCTCCGAGTGGATGAGTGAGGAAAAGGAGGTCCCGGCTGCCCTCCTCGGCCACTGGAGGAAGAGATGACTCACCGGAGCAGAGCATCACGATCGCCAGCGACGCGCCATCGCTGAGGAACCGGAGGGCCCTTCGATGCAGATACCGAAAGGGGGCAAGTATTTCGGCCTGAACCGACTGGAGCGTCTACGCTGTGCCAGATCAGGACGGAAAAAATAGGACTAGCAGCCTTCTTGTTCAAGACAGGGGCTTTTGGCGTGTACTCGCCGCTATGCCGCTGTGGCGACGCCCCTGAGACGGCAGAGCACGTAATCCTCTTTTGCGGGCTGTTGGAAGGACCGAGGGAACGATTACGGGCCGCTATCGCACCACGGCCACTATACTCTCGCAGAGACCTCGCAACGGCAACAGGAGAACCAGTAGTTAGTGGGACTATTGTAAGGTGGCTGCTAGGGACGGGTCGGACAGCTTCAAGGCCCAGATAGCATCGATCTTCTCGGGGGGACTTAGTTGGTAGGTTGAGAACCAATGTAGTATGGTAGTGAACGCAACACAGTCGCCAATAGGGCGAACCGACGACGCAGCGTATGTATTTCGTCCAGCCATTAGGGCACGGTTTGACATACGGGAGTACTGGTAGAGGTACCGGGGGCTTCGAGCCTAAGGCGTATTTAATAATAATAATAATAATAAAATAATAAATAATATTAAATACGCCGTAGGTGTTAACCCTCGGTACCTCTACAAGTACTCCCTTAAGGGGCTATAGATGATATAGCGGGCCCTTAAGCCGCGGCGGGCGGTTATACAGGTAAACTTGTAGCCAAACGACTACTAAACCTCCTGTCCCTCCCTAAGTCTGTGCTACAACCCCTGCCTGAACTACCGATAAGTGTGGTAATGTGGCACTTAAATTCGTCCTCAGGGGTGGGATGCTGCCGATGTGCAGAAGATGCTCGACTATTTTTTGTCGCGACAAGTCGTAGTATCTGCTAATTGGGGTTCTCGTCGAGCGTATACATCTCAACCATACGCTCAAGTGGATAGACCGTAACGTGGTCTAGACGCTCGCAAGAATCGCGGCGAGAGGGCGTGCTGCGCGCCTTCTATCGTGAGGGGACGGGTTCGCCGACGAGCGTTATCGGATAGGCGAGGTCCGATAAGGGGTCGGATTAACGATTCGAATTCTGGACCGGCTATCGAGTTATATTCCGCCGACGTAGTGCTTGACGGTCGACTGGCTAGGATGCTCGTAATCCTAAACTGCACCAATCTCCCTATTATCGCTAGGTAGGCGAAGTCAACAAGGTGGGCGCGCGCCGTAAGGGTTGACTAAACCCCCTTGTGTGTCAGCTGCGGGATTCGAACCCGCGACTCGTCACCGACCCAAGTGGGCGAGGCTCAAATCGGGACTTATCTACCAGCGAAGTGACCAACTACACCAACTGACTAATAATAATAATATAATAGGCCAAAAGTACATACCAGTCGAGACGACATGGGCATGGAAGCCCAGCGAGCTGCCAACCGGGACTAACACTTTGATGATCAATGTGTCCCGTAGTAGTACCCTGCAGAATGGTTTCCAGAGCTGTGTCAACGACTCTACTTCATCTGATGCTTTGAAATTCGTGCTGGAGCACCTTGGGGATGCCCAAGGGCTGTTCAAGCTCCTATTGCCACTACAGTCTGGCTACATTTTCCAATCCGACTTTCTTGAGCGGCGTATGGTTGATTGCCTGAACGTAGACCGTGTGAAAGGCTTTGTCACACCCGGACAACAACTCGAGGGTCGCACAACAGAGGCGTACCAGGCAATGAATCTCTCAGACCTGCTTCCCTACTGCTACGGGGCCTTGAAGGTCGAAAAGGACGGGTCTGCCTATGTCAATGAGGAGCTGGTAAACCGTCTCTCCTTCCCGTGGCTCTCACACAGTCCCGTGGCCCGAAAGCTTTTGGCACTTCTCGGCGGGGGATCTCTGCTCAAATTTGGGGGCTATCACATAGCCGCGGCTTCATTAAACATTGGACTTGTCGTGTTCGATGAACCCGCACACCACACTGGCTATCTAATGAAGACTAATTGCACTTCCGCGAAGAGTTTGTGCCGCTTTATATAACAACCGATGCCAGCCTGACCCAGCGCATTATAACGGCGATGGATGAGTACTAATCTAACGCCTCGGACGGGAATAAACTCGATAGTGTCATGTCCACGGATGAGCATCTCCTCAGTATCATAGCCTACGTGGCGGAACAGTTGGGATTCGAGACCGCACCAGCCAAGTCGGTCGCAATAGCACAGAACAAGTTCCAGACACGACAACTCGATATAACAAATATCTACTGCCGACTGGTTAAGTGTCCGGCCGATCTAGAAAGACTGCTAGCCGAGGATGGGCCGCGCCTCGAGTACCCGCTCATTGTCAAGCCTTCCAAGGACTGGTCGTCCGAGGGCATCTGGAAAGTGGACAACGAAGAGGAGCTGCGTCACAGAGTACCCATGCTGTGGCAGGACAGTTTAATCGCCTGGCACGGCAGGGATGTCGTCATCGAGACGTTCATCGAGGGCCCCGAGGTCGATGCTAACATGGTTCTTGTTAATGGGCAGGTTGTCTTCTTCGAGGCTAATGACGACTTTCCTAGCACTAGGGACGTGATTGACGGACACGAAAATGACGGCCAGGACGCGGATCGGACCTCAGCCCCCATGGCTAACTTTGTTAAGACGTCAAACGTCTTACCGTCAGCTCTGCCCTAAAGCGAGCTCAAGCTGTTGGAGGAAAGGCTGCATAAGATAGTCGTCGCCGCCGGCTTCCGGAACGGGATCCTACATATGGAAGCCAGGCAATTCGAGCTGTCACTATGCCGAGACGGCCGATGTGGTTGGCTCGGGCCGCCTCATCGACTTGGAGCCCAAGACACCGGCAGCATCCACAGCGAAGCCAGTGGATATACTCCTCGTCGAGATCCACCCCCGCGCACCAGACTTTCAAGAATGCGAGGCCACAGGGCACGCGTATGGCTTCTGCTACTACATCTTGTCGGTGCTGCGTGCCTGCTGCGACAAGGAGCGTATGAAAGCCTTGTCCCAGCCGCTCCTGAAAGGCCCGTAGTATCACCTACGGATGGAGCTGATCGCGGCTGAGAAGGGCGGTATCTACCGGATAGGTGACGTTTGCACGGCCATATTACAGCAGGCGCCGCATTTACATAAACACGTCGTCAAATGTGCCAGTCTTATGGAGGATAGATAAGAAGTTACTGATCCCAAAACCGGCATAGTCTACGGCAACTTTATCGCCTATATTCTGGCGGTTTCGCGCACGGATCGGCGAGATGCGATCAGAGTAGGCCACGAGCTCAGATGTATGGTGAGGGAGTACACTAACGGCTTTTGATTAACCTCTTATTAGACTAGAGTGCCCGCAGGTAGTGTTGAATACCACATAGGCACGCATCTCACCGTAAACGTATTATGATGAGAATAAGAAAAAGATGCCACTCCGTAATACTGATCGATGGCACATCTGCCCGTCACCATGCGGGCAATTATATTATAGTGCAATGGGTGCCTGCTATGCTGATTACGTACCGGGTTACCCAGTCGTTATGGCTAGACGACGTGCGATATTCGTTTTATAATTCGAGTCTTACCCTCGCGTTCTCGTCAGTTAAGATAATCCACTTCGCGCCACTTCCGGAGGTGATAGCACTATAAAGTAGCTTTAATGGTATTAGTATAGATAGTTACGTCGGCCTTACGCCTTATCTCTGCGAACATTATCCGTGTAATGGGGCAGTAGAGGATGATCAGATGCCTTTCTGCTCTAGCCGTTAGCCTTTTTGGTGTATTATTCCGCTTAACCGTACGTTTAGTGCCTGTCGAATTAGCCCTACGTGTAGATTGGGTGATGATTTCAAGCCGAAAGGTCCCGAACGCATCTGCCCCCTCCCTCCGACTTCTGCCGCATGCTCTAGCCGCCATGATCGCGGCTCGGCGGCTCTGGCTTCTGGTGTAATTTATAATTGGTCCCGCAACTTTCGCTTACTTCATAGCTTAAATATTGAGAATCTATCGCAAAACGCGGTAGTTATGGAGTGTCGAAATAAGGCGCCGTGTTGTGTTGGTTTGATGTCTCAATTAGGGTGTGGGGCCAGACGCAGACTTATTGAGCAGGTTAAAGCTGAATATACCATGAAGGCTCAAGAACATCCATAGAAGCCCTGAAGAAAGCATTTGATAATTCTGGGAGGTTCATCTTCCGTTCCTTCTGAATAAATTTTCACATTCAGGTCCTAATACATGCGTGTCTCCATATATGATTGCATTTAACCTAATCCATCTTTGACCTACTGGTATATAACCACTTTCTCGCCCCAGACATCCATGACTACGTAGGCGATGGGGAAGTTCCTATTGCTTTTTTTGAGTTTTGCGGTAACTAAAGTACATGAGAGTATTATTAGAGAGAGTTTTCGCTTCCAGAAAAAAGTTATATGTAATGAAACTATGATCCATCCGAAATTCGAGCCAGCATTCATCTGGAGCAAGCCCACCTCCATAGGTTACAAGATTCCAGTATGAGCCCCATAGTCATCATGAACATATCCGCCTTATGATATTACATGGAAGGGCCCAGTTCAGTACGAATGTGCTTAGACGAAGTTTCAGAGGTGGGTTGTGTGTGCTGCATAAAATGACCTGCTAGAATGTTTCATACAACCCCTTTGATTGCTCAAGCAGAGAAATGGTGTCATATACAAACACGGCGCGCTCGTTTCGAATTATAGCTAGCTGTTAAGCTCATCCCGACCCTCCTAGAGTAAAAAAAGAAATTAGGCAAGCCAGGGTAGCTGTGACAGCCCGTACGCCTAAAACTGGAGACTTGACCCGCCGCTTTGCTCTCGCCAGTATCACTGGGGAATTTTGAATCCTAGTAGAGCGGGAATAGAGTTGTGCTCAAGAAAACTGACGCATTGAGATTTCTTAACAAACTACAATATGTATCAAAAACAAAACCCTCTTTTTGGACGGCGATATCACATACGAATATCGAAGAACTTCAAAATAAATTGGGAAGTGCTAGTTGCGACTCGCAAACCTGAGGCCGAATAATTTCAGCGGAACGTAAGCATATGAATAGTCGAGTGTGGGCGAGAACCGTCTGGCTGGAACCAGAACCCACTGGCACGGCGTCCTATCTAGACTCTGATAAGTGGGCGGAGAAGCCGATGGCGTAAGCCACGCTGAACCATGGCGCCTTGTCAATAAACTATCGTGGGGAACTCCTTTATGCTGGCGCCAGATTTTGCAACAGCTGGATGCCGGTTCATAGAGCCAGGCTTACCATAAAAGCTTGTATCCACGATGGATCTCGACTGTGTAAGTATTGCGCTCGGTGGAAGACAATTGCCAGAGCCTAAGGTAACGTACAAGAGGCTATGGCTACTGTTTTAGCTTCGACTAAGAAGATAGCGGCCAGCAGCTAAATAATGGTGCCCAGATAACAATGTTGACAACAACTCGGGAGATATGACAAGTTATATAAGACATTTGTCGATACCACGGTCGACGTGGATACTGCCGCATCGGTGGTATGTAGAGCAGTTTGCAATTGGCCACGAACATTGCCTGAACCCAACACATCAACACCAACTACCGTATAGCCATCAGGGATTCTGACAATATGGGCCCTTTAGTCTATGCTGACCACCCCTTTCCGCTCATTCCAACCCCTATTTTCCAAAGTAAAGAGGTTAGTCACTACAGCAACTTGCCCCCAGCAGTCCATTAACCAGTCTTCCAGAAAGACATGTTCACAGCAGCCGCCACGGAAATGGCATGTGTGCATAACATGCTGATCCGAGGCCTCAACGCAATCTGGCTGCAGGCACCCTATATCACCGAAAAAGACGAAAAAGCCTTCCTGCATTTCATCAACGTCTGGCACCTTCTCTTGCAAACACACCATACGGGCGAAGAAGACACCTTTTTCCCCTTACTGGCAGAAATGACGGGCGAAAAAGAAATCATGAAGGCAAACGTGGAACAGCACCACGCATTTGAAAAGGGCGTACTCTGCTTAATCAGCTACGTGAGTGCCTGTCTCACGAACCAAGTGGAGTACAACGGCGCCCGGATTGTCCAGCTGGTCGACAGTTTTGCCTCGGTGCTCGTCGAGCACCTTAGTGACGAGATACCTACGCTGCTAGACCTGAGGTGTTTTGGGGATAAGCTAGCTGGGATGCCGGAGAAGCTTGCGAAGGAAGGGGAGAAGCACATGAAAGCGATGGGACTCTTCAAAGGAGCTGTTTTCTGTTTGGCGACGCATGACCTTGCGTATGAGGGTGGGCTTCATACGAATTTCCCACCGATTCCGAAGGTTTTACTGTGGGCACTTCGGAATTTGGGCTGGTATGTACATTCCGATTGGTGGCGATTCGCGCCTTGTGATCGTCAGGGTAAAATGAGGCCATTGTACGCAGCTATTACAAAAGCACCCCAGTAGCACGCACAAGTCCAGAAACAAGCGCCTCTTTGATATTCCCATAAGTATAAGAGCGACAAGGGCCGGCTGTGATTTCGGGCTGGAGTTTCAATGACAATAAAAGTAATAGGATTCAAAAATGGAGAACTTGATAAGTGGACACGGGGGAGTCGATTGGGATTCGAATGCTGCTTGAACGGATATCAGCGAGATATCTACATAGCTACCGAAGGACAGCTGACAGAAGAAAAGAACCTGCCACTGCTCGAGAACATCCGTCTGGTGACAACTACGTCGAGGCTCCGCTACTGCTTGGACTGCAATATCCAGAACAGACGTGCCGGCTTTTATGTCCCTATTGTTAGGTCTTGGACAATGGTGTCGGCCCCTGCCTCAAACGCCACCAAACTCAACCTAGCCAGCACAGGCCAAAATACTGAGACCCTCTCGAACGGGTGAACATCACGCCTGTAATATTTTATGCGTCAATCAACAAGATCGAGAAAATCCGAATTTAGGTTCCGTGTGACAGTTTGCTTCCTCATTGTGTCATTGGTCAAGTGTTGCAACCAAGGAGCTGAAATTAAAGGTGCCCCCCAAATCCCACCCCGGCATCTCATCCAGGTCGAGACCAGCTGTGCAGCCCCAGCTAAGTGGAGCTAAGTATCGAAATACTTTGCTAGGGCAGAGTGCATGGGTGGGCACTTCTGGATGTCGAATCCTTCTACATCAACATTTGGATTCCACTTGATGTTGCAGGTTTGAATATTCATGGGAGTCACCTTATCTGAGTGGTTCTGTTTCACTGCAAGGTCTCTCACCCCTGGTCGAGTAGCTTACACATCTTTATCTTCTAGACATATTATGTAGGGTTATTCCGGATTCTGCTACGCATGCTACAGATCATATGTCAGCGGCGTTCTCAAAAGTATCAATGGCCCATTATATGACGTTGATCTGTATGACGAACATGCCGAGGAAGATGAAGGTAAAGGCACCCTTTCGACTTGACGCATCATACCACCAATGCACTTTAATGCATATATTATCGGTTACCGATACCTACCCAAGCCCGACCATTCTTCACACATCTTCCTGCGGGATTCGAGAGAGTCGGCGACGAGGAATTACTCAAATTCATGGGGGAGAGAACCTTGCGGGCTGGAACCTTCAAGCACGAGCCCGGATCCGGTGACGGTGATTACGGCATCCGAGTCCATGTCACGGCTAGGGAGGTCTTGACGGACAAGGGGGCTACAATTCAATACCCTTCCAAGGGAAAACCGAAGCCGATGAAGCATCACCTACTTTTCATGATGCTGGAACAGAACGATCTTCATCCTGTTCTTTTCCGGTCTGCTTGCGGTAATTATGTGCTACAACAATAATGAGAGACCAACCAGCTTCGGGCACTTTATGGACTACGAGTTTTGCGGAGTGAAGATCATATAGCCTTCTTCTCGTCCTCATTCCTCCCCGGTAATTATGACTTGAAATTAAAAATTACTAGTCTGATCAGGGAAAGCTTATGTTGGGGCACACAGAGAGATGGAAGTGTAATGTATTCCCGGTAAGCTAGGCTAGTGCTGGTGGGCTGGAACTAAGTAGCAGTGGTGGATACGCACGAACCATCTCTGACAAGAAGTATGATTAAAGACATCTACCAGGCAACTTGATTTCTATATACGCCAATATCAACAGTGACCAAAGTTTTTCAAAGCCAGTAGAAACATTCAAAAATGACCCGCAACTTTTATTTCATACCATATTACTAGCCTCACAATGGATGGTTAACAAGACTAGATGACTAGAAGTCATACCTATTATCTTCAAGTATCTGCTCTCAGATTAGCCCATGCAGTTACAGCCTGCATACAAAAAGAAAGATCCAGTCGCAACACCAAAAGAGTGATCAATGCGACAAGGAAGCAGACATAACTACATATCTTATTTAGCTTGGGGTAACCTTGAACATCTTGTTGGTCTTATAGGATACTGGTATCAATAGCTTCAGAGATGGTGGTTAAGTTGCATTCCAGATCGCTGAACCCATCCTACACCCTTGGCTCTCCAGAAGAAAACGGGAAAAGAAAAGTACAAAATTCAATCAAAGGTTCGTTTGGCCTTCTCAAATTATTTTCACACAGGTACATATGCAGAAAGTGGTGCTGTAGCCATATTTGTGTATAATCTTGATGGAAGTAAGTTCACGATGATGTGGTACGCTACATCAACGAATGTTTGGCTGCTGATAACTTGATAACGGGGATGTTCGATTCGCATCTAATATGAAAGTCCCAACATCACTAGCTCTCCAACGACCATAAAACCACCATGCTGCACAGGGCTTTTAGCCGCATGTGGTCTGCCGCTTCTAAAAATCGGCACTCATCCTGCCGGCAATATTCAGCGATAGATGAATACAACTAAAAGAGGCACGGAAGCCGCCGCACCGTCTTGGGAACTCCCTTGATGCTTTTCATTTGTCCAACTTAGCAGCTGACGACCGCACTGGGATCGGTACATCTGATGTATAGCTCAAGATAGCCATACACAATGTATCCTAAATATTAGCACCTAACCTCAATTAGATGATGACCACTGCCCCAGCTTTATATAACTTACGTTCAGTCCGAAGTAGTTGCTTACGTTCTGGTTATGTCTTCTCATTGTGACATTCCATTCCGTCAATATCACCAGCGGCATATCCGAGTATTCATTAAACATGAAGGTCATTGTCTTGGGAGCCACGGCTTTGCTGGCCTCCACGGCTTGGGGTCATACAATCTTCTGTCAGCTGAAGACTGACGCGCAGACATATGGTATGTCAACCGAGTATCTACAGATCGCTACAAACTGTTTTTGATAATAACACCCTGGTCCACAGCTGTGTCTTACGGAATTCGCACACCGTCATACGATGGGGTATGTCTACGTCTACATACGCTTTCAACGACAGGGCTGTACATATCGGTTCATGAGAATGCTAATACTGGTCATTACTCAGCCCCAAACCGACGTTAGCTCCAGCAACTTGGCCTGCAATGGCCCACCGAACCCGACAACGCCTTCGGACAAGATTATCGACGTCAAGGCAGGAGGAACCGTCAACGCCATCTGGAGACATACGCTTCAATGTGAAGAATAAAACACCCTGCTTGGCCATGTATCTCGCAATGATCTAACTCCTTTTACACAGCTGGTGCAAATGATGTGATGGACGCTGGCCATAAGGTAACCTCTACCTTTGCCTTCTTACGCCTATACTTGCTTACACCACCATCTCCTAGGGTCCCGTCATGGCGTACCTGAAGAAAGTCACCGATGCCAAATCCGACAGTGGCGTCGGGAACGGCTGGTACGTATTGAAAAGTCCAACCCTAACCACACAGCCCCTAACTATAACGCCCTCACAGGTTCAAGATCCAAGAAGCAGGCTGGAGCAACGGAGTATGGGGCACCGACACTGTAGTCAACAGCGGTGGTAACCAGGCTATCAAGATACCCGACTGCATCGAGAACGGGCAGTATCTCCTGCGCGCCGAGATGATTGCTCTCCATGGTGCGCGAAGTGCGGGAGGGGCACAGCTTTACGTGAGTCCTAGTCAGCTGACATTTCTTCTGCTTCAGGCCGTTTGGGATATGACCAATACTAACCATAATTTTGTACGTCTAGATGGAGTGTGCGCAGATTAATGTCACGGGAGGGACGGGGACGAAGAACCCTACTACGGCTAGCATTCCGGGGATCTACAAGGTGAGTGAATGAACAAACTCACGAAAAGGAAGGTGGAAAGGATAACGAAGGAATAAATGGCTGACGCATATTGATACTGCAGTCTAACGATCCTGGTCTTCTGATTGATATCTACAACCATCCTCCTAGCAGCACCAACCCCTACAAGATACCCGGTAGGCAGAAAACATGAGCACTCCACGAGGCAAGAGACTAATTTCTTGTTGCAGGCCCGGAGGTATTCACTTGCTGAATAGGTTTGAAAAGTTGAAGAGCAACGTCATTTTCCAGGGGTTTTGCTGTGCGCTAGGTTCACGCACAGGACAGGAACTGGTGAGACCCGCCGACATTTCAGAGCTGTGATCAAGGTTTCATGTGTCGATTGAGATAGCACTATGAATTGGAAGTCTTATCTTCTTTCGTCTTGGATCTCCTGCCTGTGCTCGTGCCGGATCTCAGTATGCCCCTTTTTGCCACATCCGGCGCAAATCAACACACTGTCGGACCACTTGCCAGGCTTTCTGCAACTTTCTCAGCAACAACCTCGTGCATGTGGTACGTCGGATGTAGCGAGTTAAGCCAGAAGTACTCATCCACCGGGATGCCGCAATTCTCAATGAGGGTATCCCATGCCGGAGTGCCACTGCAATGTGTCAGCCTTCAGTCAGGTACTTCTAGGAGTCAAGACAACTCCTCCAACCCTAAGTTTGCTACTTACTTTTCATAATCCTCACAATAAGCCGTTGTATTCTTATATCCCGCCGTTTGCTCATAAACCGCCGGATCATCCAACACTTCCCCAAACGCTGTATTCGCATCATACACCCACACATTGACCTCCCCCTCGTGCTTATCCGTCAAATTCCTCGTCATCTCGCTCAAGAGCCCATTAAACGCCTCAATATCCGCCTTGATGGTCGTAATGGCCCACTCGGTCTGCCCCAACATCAATGGACTCCGATCCGTGGGCGGGACATTGACAAAGAAGAAGTTCCTGCCCCCAGCAGCGTAAATGGCATCCACCAACCCGGAATAAACATCGAAGATCTGCGCGTTAAGCGTGGCCGTATCGAGCCAGTAGCTGTTACCCACGTCGTTGATGCCGATCCAGAAGCCGAAGATGGAGTCGGCAGCGGTCCAGTTTGGGGCATTGGGCGCAAGGGGGGAGTTGCCCGTGTAAGCAGGGACGAATTCGGTAAGGACTTGGTCTTTGAGGGAGAGAACCGTGTCTATGTAGGGGGCTACGAGAGCCGAGTCGACAGTGGCGCCGCCGTAGGCTAGGTTGTAGGTTTGTAGGAGCGAGGCGTTGTATTCTACGGTGAGGAAATCGACCCAGTTGGGGCCGTTGGAAGAGGTCCAACCGGGGTAGGTTGGGTTCCCGAGGGGATTGGTTTGCGACGGGGCATCTAGGGTGTAGTTGAACCCTGCGAGGGTCAGTCATGACCCCATAGATGAAATACTCTCGAAGATATGCAATTTGAACAATAATCTCCCCTACCGGTCTGTGTGTAGCTGTCACCACTGGCAGTTGTTAGTGCAAAGATATTGACACCAAGGAGCTCAGCACACGAACAAAATAAATGCGTATTTGATCCCATCCCACCCCGGCCATTCTGAAGAAGCAGTGCAAGAAGCTTCGACACGCTTCTCCAATGGAGAGGCCTGGACTCGGAGAGCAAGCAGCGCGAGCGACGCCGCGGTAGGCAGCATCATCTTAGAGAACATTACGACCAAGAATTCATTGAAAACCTGGCGACACAGAACGAAGACTTCAGCGTGGCCGCGAAGGCGAAGCAGCGTCGTGCATATTTAAAGGCATCCAAGAAAGAATACCCAGGGGTATGAAAAGAATGTTACCTCGCGACCTTGAGTCGCAGCGGGGGAGATTCCCCCGGCGGCCGAATCACCTTCAACCCGGGAAGGCCATATTGCACTTGCAACAATTTAACCAGTGATATTCAACCTAAGGGCGACCAAGTGTCCTTCCGACCACTAAGAAGCGTCCATGAGAAGTTTCGACTGCTATTTGCAGCTCTTCACCGTCGAGGTGGAGACGCGGTAATCTCGGGGATTTGTGGAGATCACCATTGATCTGGAGGAATGAAATACCACCTTCCCCGAGAATGTACCAGAGACGATATCTTGGCCGTGACCCAGACGGAGAAGGCGGGATGAAGAACACCGTATTATAGTGCGTTAGTTCGTGATATGAACCTCGCTTTCTCGTCGGCATACATATCGTCCATTTCTCCGTGAGATTCTTTGGTTATCCCTCGGAGGGTATGACATGCTTGTCGGCGGAGGGTATGCTTCCGCGAGTCCCAACGCAGCGGTCACGGGCCATTACTGAGGGACATGACTAACCTAGTGCTCGGAGATCTGGAAAGCTGTCGACTTGAAAAAGTTCAATGGTTTATTCCCCTGGCAAACGAGGAAAATTAAGTAAGCGGCGAATTTGCGTCAGACGAACGACTACCGGCTAAATCGAAGGAAAAGATCTGTCCAGGGTTGCCACACGATTGTACCTGATTGCCAAGCTGTTAGGGGTGAGGACCCGTCTGGCTCCATCCTCTTTTTCAGTAGATGGTCAAGAAGGGGTGGTTTAATTCTATTTAGCAACAGTGTGTCCATATGCTGCACGCGGCTGCGTTCAAATTTGGTTGGTCGGTTGGGAGACCTTCTTTCACCTCCAAGCTGCCAAGTGCGTCGTCTGTAATTACTAATTTAGATCATGGGAAGCTTAAACTGAAAGGGACGAACGAACGAGCCGGATCATAATCAAACGTGTTTCGGGTATTAGTTTTATTTATTTCTTTTCTGTTCACGAAATCTACCTCTCAAAACCGTACACAGTAGTAAATAAAAGATACAGGAAGCTCATTTGCATCAACACAAGTTCGTAAAATCGTCGTAGGCGCTCCCGGACGACATATAATGTCCGTATCCACACGAGCCCAGCCAGATACACCCTCCGGCGCGCAACGGAGACAAAGAGCCCCAAATTCAGCCAGATGTATCCACACGCACACAACCCAATTCCGTAGATAATCGTATATAAGCTCCGTTCCCATGGGGTATCCCACTCCTCACTGAACTAGAAGGTCATTTCCCACAATATAGAAACGGATGGCACAGTCCCACAACACGCAACTACTCATCAAGTTTTCAACCCCTCACACCAAAAAAGTTTCCGCAATCTGACGCCAGAATACAACATGTTAAACAGAAATGACGGTGTTCCTACGTAAGAGTAGCAAGCATCGCCCGAACCAGCTTCGGCGGAGGTCCTAATTTCACGCCGTTAGCCTACTGTATTTACTCAAGGTCAAGTGGAAGCGCCCACCTAAAGGTCTATTTCTTGGCCTTAGGTACGCTGATCTGCATCCTACCTCGTTTTTTCTCTAGGCGTACTCCACGCCTCGCCTCCTCCTCCTTGATAATTTCTTCCTCGTAGAGAACTAGCTCGCCGGTTGGGAGTCTTTCGGCGCGGACGAGTTCTCCGCTCGGACTGTGGCTGTGAGAGTGGTGGTGGTGGTGTCTCTCGCGCCTGATGAGGTCGCGTTCAGCTTCCAGCCTAGCAATCTCGGCCTGAATGTCCCGGTCGCCACGCCGACGATCGGCGACGAGGGCCATGGGTCCAACAGGAATTTCTTCACTGTACTCGCGTGGCCGAGCCTCTACGAAGTAGGGTGTTGCCGTGGTGGATGTGGTGTAGCTGGTTTGGCTTCGGGCTGGCGATACGTCACGGACGATGGTGGTTTGTTCCACATATTGCTGCGGACTGCATTACTGGGTGTTAGCATTTGCTGCAGTGGACTTTTTCTAGTTCTTGTGCGTTGAGGCGGTACTCACGGAGGTGGTGGCGGAGGCGCATGCGTGTGGATTAAGGTTGGCTGCGGTGGAGGTGGTGCGGCAACAGGAGCGGGCGGCGGAGGTGGCGGAGGGACAGTGATGATCTCAGTTCTCCGTTCTTCGACAATATTGCCAGGTTCAGACCGTGCGGCGACCACTTCGAGTTCAGCTTTCTTATAGTCCTCGCTCAGTTTCAGCAGGTCGTCGATGTTGTCCTGCCCGAGTGCCTTTTGCACCACAATAATAGTGCCCTATGAAATATTAGATTTTGCCAAAGATGTCGAGGACCATGGAAACTTACCTCTTCAATGAAGGGATATCCAAGGTCAATCAAGGCTCGCTTCGACACAAGTCGCCCAGGAATTCTGGTCTTCCCCTTCTTGGGATACTCGCTCTTCACTGTTACAGTTGTGCCCACACTGCTGCTGGCACTCGAAGTGCTCGTGGTGACAGACGATTTTGAACTGCTTCGAACGCTACTGCCATGACGCGTGTGAGCGCGAGATCGGCTTGTTCTTGAGCTACTGGGGTCTCTTCGTCGCCTTGTCCTTGTGACCTCACGTTCCCGGATACGTTCGGGATACGCGTGGAAATCGTCGTCCCCGTAACGGTCGGGTTCCGAGATCCGGATCTCATCGAATTCGCGTTCATCCCGCTCGGCGTAAATTCTGGGTGGTGGCAGCGCTCGATTTCTGGGGAGGGGGATTGGCTGGTAGGGTTCCGGGCGATAATCTGAGCGGCGTGCAGGAGGTCCGTATGCTTCTTCCCTGTCGAGGAACTTTGGAGCGGGGCGACGGTCGAATGTATCGAGTGATGACTGCCTCCTCAACAATGGCGCCGGTCTTCGAAGGGGCGATGGGCTGCGGTATTCGCGGGTTCTGTCGACTACGACCTTGCGCTCCATCTCGGGCGGAGGTGACCGACGGTAGCGGGGTTCGTCGTCGTAGTACCGCTCGTCACGAACGTAATCACCGTCGTACGGCCTCGATGCGCGTCGTTCGTATCTGGAATCCACCGATGGTTCTCGTGCACGTCTAGGAGGTCCACGGCTATAAAACTGGTCGTCTTCCTCGAATCGGTTGCTGCCGCTGAACATGTTCCCGTTCCCATTCCCGTTCCCGTTCGTGTTCCCTGCCGCGATGAACCGTTCGCGGTTCCACCTCTCCGGGCTGGCAAGTCTACCAGTCGATGCCCGATATGCCATTTCGATGGCGTGATGCAGTGTTCAAGATGCACGAATACTTTTTTGAGTGACTCCTCGAAGGTTGCGGTTGAAAGATGGCAAACGCGTACGTTTCGATGGGTGACTTAAAGAACTCGCAGTGGTCGCAGGGAAAATGCGACTCGGTGGAGTTTCAGGTTTTAATGACGACAGAGGGGGGAACGCTTCTGCCGGCAAGCAGAATACCGGCCAAACGTCCAGGGTGGGAGAGCTGTGAGTGGCTTGGAGCAGCACTTTCGACACATCCAGTCAGGATGCGGAGAACCTATGGTCGGTGTGTGCTGCGGGTTCCAGTTCTTTTCCCCCGCGCTAGTTGCGTATGACCTCAGTGCTTCGCCTGACTGACAGCAGAAGTTTTGTTCAACGTAAGAAGTTTCAATGCGAATGAGGATACGACAATGTCAGAGCATATCGAGTTTGAGACTTGACATGCCAGCACCTATGCTTAGTACTCAGGTGATTGAGGTGCTAAGTGGTTTATTTGAATCTTTTTGAAGAACGTACTCTATGAGAAGAGTCCATCTTGTTCGTTCGAGCGGATGGGGAAAGCAGGCTTTGGGCTCAACTGAAGCTAGGACAGGGGTCCTACACGAATGTACTAGTAAAGGTAGCGTCGTAGACCTTATTCGGACTAGTGGTGATAGATCATGTTATAGCAATACGCCGCCAACCTGCGATTTTCGAATATGGGCAAATACGTACTCTGCCCTAGACAACCTAGTGTCGGTCTTGAAAGTATCTCCGTTTTCTGAGCAGACAGCGCAAAGCTGAAGGTGATCTCGAAGGTGACAACAGATTCTGAGGAAGCTTCCGAGATGAACAAACCGTGATCGTTCCTCGACATCGACAGCCCCAAAGCCCTCCTTTGTAGCCAAAGCTGTACCTCGCTAACAGAAACCATCAACTGAACATCAGTAAGCCCACACCTGGGATGTTCCTTGGTTGGGCAGATTTGGGCCAGCTGGTGGACAAGGATGGAACATGTCATAAATCCAGAAACATGCGACATACGACATGCGACTGGTTTGCCGTGGAATTCCATTTGCTCTTCAATATTCAAACGGGCTATGGCACCTCAGGTCAATCAATACTATTCCGTAGTGTCGACACGGATCGAGAATCTGCAACCAAATCACCGAACAAATACCATGGCGGAGGCTGCCTTTGAGCTCTAGCAATAAAGTATATAGAGTTGCACCGGAGAGGCCGCCGTTGATGCTTGTTATGAGCCAGGAACCGCATGGATGGCCAGATGCTCAATTGTCTTGGAACTTCCGCGGACTGAAAACGCGCGTGGCTGTTGTCGCGTGATGACGTAGTCTAGCAGCATCCATTTCAGACCTTGGAGCTGGACTGTGCACCGCGACTACTTCTGCAACACAACGCATCCGTCCCAATATGCCAAGCACCAGCTAATGAATTTATCATCCAACTTCCGGAATGTCGTGCAATGGCAATGACAACGGATGCTGCGCAGACGCAAGTGCGTTGTAAAACCCCAAGTTTCTACTGAAATTCCCACTTAAGGCTCTGAACGTATGCCCCTTTTCATTTCGTATGTCGTCCAAATGTCCAACATAGTTGGGTTCTCTCAGCACTGCGGCTCTCTCTTGTGCTTCGGTCCGCCTATCATGTGCCTCGACGGCACGCCCACTCAAGGTGCCACTACGACGAAAACACCTCCAAGCCTCTCTTTCTGCCCAACGTGCAGGTCATCGCATATGCTTCGATAGACCCGAGGCGGTCTAGATCGGAGTCGCCCCTCTCATGCCATCCTCATAGGTTATTATATTGGTCATTCTGCAGACATGGTTTTTCCTACCGTTCCGCGATTTCGAATACTGGCAGCCTAGTCGCGGCAAGGCGAATGCACAAAACAATGTCGCACATATCCAACACATCAGCGCATCCCACTCTAGTACTGGCCCGATGATATGCGGTGCCATCTCGCGGTTCCGAGTCCTAGCCTATTCTGTCTGATCGTACAGACACTGGATAGAGTTGCATCCTGAAGTCTTCAGAAAGTTCTGTGGAGTCTTCCAACTTACACATCGACACGTGGGTTACATGTGATTTGTGGATGGCTTCTCGTAGTACGGATGAATAACCCATCTCAACTCGCAATCAACTTCCGGCAACGACTCTGGACGCAGATGTTTCCGCTGCCACTGATTTGACATACTTGTTGCACCGCTTTGTAATGAAGAACTAACGTTCCGGGCAGAGGTGACGTGGGCTCCGCTTGACCCCGTTTGACCGGCGTCCGCCTCCCCGGCCACCAAGTTCGATGGGCACAAGTGCAAGGGTCGAGCCATGGGGAGGAAGTACGCCTTTTCGTCGTACCAGCCAGGCAGTGATATATTTTGTAGAATGGCGGAGAACATGGGTTCAGGATGAATACGAGCAGGGACTTGGCGTTTCCCGGATTAATCGAGCTGTCAGAACGGCCAGTGATCAAAAATTGGTTGTCTCGCTACCAAGGGACGTCTTAACAAAAAGCTGTAGATATCCACTGTAGACTTGCGCATTGTAGCAAAAGGGAGCTCAAACAAACCCCCAGACCTCCCCACTCAACTTCTGAGATCTTGCCCGCATTCTTGGGATTGCACGGGGAGGTTAAATAGTTTGACCGTCAGACATTGTCATCGGAAGCATACTGATACTGCTTATCTCTAATGGAACCTACAAAGAAGCGCCTGATAACCACGCCCGTTGCCACGGTACCCATGACCACGTACGTTGCCGTTGGGATTGCGTCTTGCACACCGTCGCACACCACTAGCTGCTCGTGCCGACGACTCTTTCATCTTTCCATACCACATCGCGTAGCCACTCACCCAGAATCTGTTGATACTGAACCGTCTTCAATAGAGCATCTTGAAACCCCTGAGATCCCTGCATGCGCTCCCTCATGTGATCGAATCCGTGGATCTGGTCAGGGACGAGCAGCCACTGGACAGAGCCACGGTCATCAGTATGCTGAAATGCAAATCTTTCATCGTCTAGAATTAAATGCCCCTGTTCTTTCGCCGGCTTTTCCTGGCCAACCTTGTTGTCAGGGGTCGGCTCTGGCCGCCCAGAGAGTTGGAATGCCAAACGCCATGCTTCATGTGCGAGTTGATCCAACTCGGCGGCCACCACGTAGACATAAGGAGGGAGGGCAGCTCGCGTGGCGAAAACAGGCGACAAAAGAGGATCGCGCAGGTCTTGCCCATACGGTATGTAACTCCAGTCAAACAGAGAAGCCATTGACGCCAAAGTGTCCGTCTTCGCTGCTCGTGGGCCCTCGCCGAGCTCCGGCTTGTAGTACCGCCTCGCAAGTCTTTCCACGTTGATACTCATATCCACCGGGGGATAAATCGGTATGACGGCTGACGGCTTGATTCTATCGCGGATCGAGGGGAGTTGACAAACGCTCAGCGCAAGGTTTCCGCCAGCCGAGAAACCAGTGATGGCGATACGGTTCTTGTCGATGGGCAGGCTTTCATCATCGTACACGGCGTGTATGAGAGCTTCCAAGTCCAGTCCCTGGTTTGGGAAGGTAGCCCAAAAGGGCGCCTTCGTGTAGTTCAACGCCACTACCATGACATTGTGCATATCTGCGAAGCGCCGGTTCCATTCATCCGAATCGCGCGGCGCGCCAAGAACGAAACCACCGCCATGAATACTGTAGACGAGGGGTAGGGTTTGATTTGAGGTTTGGTCGTAACTGTGGGGGAAAAACAGGCGGACGGGTAGATAGGATCGCGGCTCGTAGGTTTTGACAATGTCAGGTCGGATTTCGGGAGGCCAGAAATACTGGTTTGCTTCATCGATCCATCCTAGAGGTGTTATCACGGTCTTTAATGCAGATATGAGGAGTCCGTTCTTCGCGCGGGTGAAATAGGATGGGTAAGGTAAGACGTAGGAGTCTGTAGTTGAGGCCATGAGGTTTTAGGTTTGCGTGCTGTTCAGAATGACAGCATTCAGTGACTATGTTAAAACATCTTTTCGGCACCTCGCCTGGAACCTCATTTGGTTTTATGACATGGACCACACACTGACAGCGGACGGTCAGTTCAGGTGAGACGTTGCACGGAGGAAGCGACGAGGCGGGGAGTCCTGGGCCATTCATCAAACTTGTGATACTACCATCGACTTCGCCTGTCGTTTTAGCAGCCAATTAAAGAGCAAAACGAAACCGAATCGACTCTGCTGTCGCCATTATGGGGTTGACATACCACAGGCCCAGTTGATCAACCCAAACAATCTGTGCCCGTGTGAATTTGAAGTCCTCATCTGCAATTGTTGAAATGTTTTTAATCAAGTTCAGAAGTCTACTCCGATCTGGCACCGACCCAAGGTAGAGAGCAACGGCCCTGACGCACGTGCCCCGTTTCGTAGTTTCCAAAGTTCGGAGTTTCTACGGAGCCCTCGGCATAACGGGGCAATTTGCCGCCCCTCTACCAACTTCAAGCGGTCTTCAGTCCTCCACCGATAATTCAGAAATCGACGAGCATATCAGTAATGATCGGATTCGTATCTTGCTGTAATAGAGATCGAAAAACACCCCATCAAGCCATTGTCGACTGCATGTCGGTATTCCCAGGGGGTGGGGGCAGAGGGGCAATACATTGAAGCCCATTGAAGTCCCTCTAACGTAATCCACCCATAAGTAAGCTACAGCCCCTAGCGAGCCACCATTTTTGGCACAATGGGATGATGAGCAACAGCATAACCAGCAAAGTTGAAGCTATTCACGACGTTATTTTCAACCAAATATTTCAGAGTCACGCGATAATCTCCTTCCAGGCACGGTTAGCAAAGGCAACAACGTTCCTAAGGGCTTGGCTGACTCCTTTTTGTGACGGCCGGTGTCGCGATGCCACGAAACCCACTAGCTGTGGACCCGTAGGAGCACTGGCCATCTGAAGGCGGGATTGAAGATCCTCAGATGTGAGCCAGCCTGTTTTAGTTTCTCTTTCTTTCCTTGTCGAGAATCGTTAAGTCAATACAATGCATTAGAGTGTTTTGACTCTTCAATTGTGCTCACCGTGACACTTTTCACTTATTAACTAAGCCTCTTGCTTATCTTTCTGGCGCTATTTATCTCGATCAGTTAAAATACACACCCCACGGGCCTTCTTCGTTCTCCCATTTCTATTCTCCTACTATTTCTTAACGAGATCCTTGTTAACCACCTTTAAGACTAGATTATCTGCTAGAGATATTGGTGAGTCTTTTTAATACAAGAAAACCATGCGCTATAGGGGGGTATTATAAACTGCAATAAGTTAAGCTATATCGCTATTGAGACGGGGTCGGGCGGTCAGTAGGATATACATACCACCTAGCATACTGTCAGGACGGCACCAGAATAGACGCTCTCATCTGATCAGACAGCTCTCGTTGCATGGATTACAGTAGCGAGGGTCTTGCTCGCTTCGTGACTCTGGGTTCGCAGGTTGGTCAGATGTGTCCTTCGTAACGACAAGAGGGATGCCTTTCGGGGTAGGACGCCCGTCCGTGGAAGCCAAGCACAATAGCCAGGGCTCTGAGGAATAATACGAAGGTATAATAGGCACTGGTTGGGTCTGATCCAAGCAAGACAGGGTTTCTATGGGCGTCAAAGTCAAGGTGAGGGCGAGAGAAGTTGATTTGATAATGAATTATTATGTGAATATGAAGAATGGGCTGAAGGAAAAGACTGTGAAGACTGGCTCGAAGAGAAACTGTCGAAAGTGTCGAAAGTGTCAGACTATGTCTGCTGCTTGCTACCTTATCTTCTTCTTGTATCTTCTATGCCAGCAGGTATGTGAAAGAAAGTTGTTGAAGTTGTTATTCAAATTGAGTGATGTCGAAAGGGATTAACTTTAAGGAGGAGAAGACCATCCTCAGCTCCATTTTCACTGATGTCTTGCCTTGCCCCACTGCACTATTAACCTGAACATTAACACTGTCAGAGAACAGAATGCCATAGGCACCAGTGGGTGTCAGGACACTGAACGCAGGACACCGGTGGGCCGCCGGAGGGGTGTTTCGGACAAAAGACTCCCGAGTCATGATTACAATCTATGTGAAGCTTTGGGATGACGAGAGTCAAGATCCTTGGCATCGCCGACCCTGCTGTTATGCCGGGTCCAAGCGGCGGCCTAGCTATCTATATAAGGACCATCTCGAAGTAGGATAGGGAAGGAGTTGTCAGAGCCACAAGTTTCATCCGAGGCGGGCCAGCTTCCACCAGGTAGGAAGCCGTTTGTGGCGGCTAGAGAGCCGTTGAAGCCGTTTGCAGCGGATAGGGAATCGCTTGGTTGCAGATAAGGAGCCGCTGTCCAAGATATTGGCCGAAGTCGGAGGAACACAGACATACGGAAGCAAACATCCAGAATCCAAGAGAGAACCTCGGCTGGCTATAAGTAAGGAGTCGAGACGGAGGAAGATAGAGAGGGCAGAGATCAATGCATCACCGTGGGCACCCCTACCTGAGACCGCCAGTGACCACCCGGTATTACGTAGGAGGGACGCCCGTTACTCCCCATCACTCTGTACTATTGCCTTCGGCCTAGCCGTACCCTGACAAACACGTATACTATTCTCGTCGGTAAGGCTTATATAATAAAAGGGTCTATCCGATACTTCGCAACGATCTTCCATAGATCTTGTAGGGATAAGCTAGTACTTCTCTCAGCGCCTAGGATATTACGGTACATAATAGATCTAAAAATAAAATAAAATAAAATAAGAAAGGATCCTCTGGTGCTGACAACCTTCGCAATAACCCAATACAGTGAGAGATTCTATCATGTCGAAATCCAAGTACTAGGGGCTGTATTAGTACTATGAAGGTGCATAAGGGACCAATCCAAGTTGGCCCTGGGGGGTTCCTAAATACTACAATGCGTGCCTGCCTGCCTGGTACCCGTCCACACCTGAGACCACAACTTCCCACGGTATAGCGTAGCTAGGTGATATGTGACCCCAAGGAGGGTCACCCTGTAGCTATGGATAAGATAGGCAGCCTACGAGTGCCTTCGACTAGCTAGATAGCTACTTAACCACGCTTCACAATACACACACTTTACACCCTATATATACTCACATCACTGGGTTAAAGTATTCTATCGATCCTTCTATCTGTGAGGGCAACCTAAATAATAGTCCTTCGATTAATCCTCTTATCTAAGACGGTAAAATTCCCTTACCCTTGAACATTAAGAAGGTAGTAAGAAGTAACCGTTAATTTCTAACGTGGTTTAACACCGAGTCGCGCATATCACCGAGTCGCGCACTTTTTCAACTTTTCCAACCTTTTGACTTCAACACTTATTTCCTCAACAACAACACCATGTCAGTTAAAACCCAAGAAGCCAAAATCAACCTTGCCATCGAAGCTATCCGATCGACCAAAAATATGAGCCAACGTCGAGCAGCAAAGCTATACGGTGTACCCGAGTCCTCACCAAGATAGGAAAGAGCTATTGTTCAGCATGTACTTGACCTAGATTTGAGAGGGTTTCCTCCCCGGCTCGAGGGTGTGGAAGATATGGCCAATTCCATTCTTGCGACGCGGGGTACCCGACGCGTCGGCAAGCTCTGGGCGCATCGCTTTGTAAAGCGAACCCCAGAGTTACAGACGCGTTTTTCTCGCTCGTATGATTTCCAGAGGGCCCTCTGCGAGGATCCAAAGATTATTGACGACTGGTTCCGGCTTGTATCGAATATGAGGGCCAAATACGGGATCCAGGACTGCGATATGTGGAACTTCGACGAGACGGGCTTTATGATGGGCGTTATTCAACGCTCGATGGTCGTTACCTCGTCTGAACGTAATGGTAGAGGCAAGAAGGTCCAGCCAGGTAACCGGCAATGGGCCACGGCGATTACCTGTGTCAATTCGGAGGGTCGCGACATCCCGCCATTTCTGGTAATTCAGGGGAATTATCACCTTGCTAATTGGTATACTGAGGGGGACCTACCAGCCGATTGGGTAGTCAAACCGACCGAAAACGGGTGGACGAACAACGAGACTGGTCTAGACTGGATCAAACATTTCAACAAGCACACTATCTCGACCAAAAGAGGCGTGTATCGGCTGTTAGTATTGGACGGGCATGAGAGTCATACATCGGCCGATTTCAAGTCTTATTGCAAGTCTAACGGCATTATTACTATCAGTCTGCCCCCGCACTCGTCTCATCTAACCCAGCCACTTGATGTCGGGTGCTTTGGGGTCTTGAAACGTATATACGGTCGAGAGATTGATATATTTATCAAGTCCCATATTAACCACATTACTAAGGTCGAGTTCTTTATCGCCTTTAAGGAGGCTTATTTAAAGACAATAACCGACAAAAACATCAAGGCAGGGTTTCGAGGAGCCGGCCTAGTCCTCCACGACCCTGAAGCCGTTATCTCGAAGCTGGATGTTAAGATTCGGTCGCCTACACCCGTTAGCCCCTCTCTTCCAGATGCTGACCCTTGGGTTTCGCAAACGCCAAATAACCCGACAGAGGCTCTCTCGCAGTCCGATTTTGTCAATCGCCGAATCTCCAGACATCAGGGAAGCTCTCTGACCCCAACTTTTGATGCTGTTGGCCACCTTGCGAAGGGTATAACTCGATTAGCCCATGAGAATACCCTCTTGAAGGCTGAGTGCTCCACCCTTCGCAAGGCAAATGAGGCACTAAGCAAGCGTCGGAGGGCAAAAAAATCGCGTGTCCAGCAAGGAGGTGCACTTACTGTCGAGGATGCCCTGGACATTTTGGCCTGGAAGGACGCGGAGGCCCAGGTAAAGGAGGACAAGCGCTCTAGGGGGGGTAAAGAAAAGGCTGGTCCGTCGACTGTACGACGATGTAGTAAGTGTAAGAAGACCGGACATAATGTAAAGACTTGTCAGGTCGAACTATAATTGTCAGATGTATATAGCTCTGAATAAATTTCAATAAACTTTAGTCTGTTGTGGCTTTTTAATTGAACTTGAAATTATAGTGTGGTAAAAAGTGCGCGACTCGGTGATATGCGCGACTCGGTGTTAAACCACGTTATATATATTTAGAAATAGAAGTAACGTAGTCCACGGTCCAATTGCACACACGGCCAATTGCACACTTTGGCAGACCTTATACGACAATGTATAAGTTAATTCAACCACAACGCCTATCATCAATTGAAACTACTCAAAATCGTTATCTTCAGACGTCTCTACATCATTTCCACAAGTGCGCGCATTATGTCCGGGCTCGCCGCAGATTCTACAGCGCCGTACACGCGCAATTCGCCGCCTCGTACGACCACCAATTTGACGAAATTCGTCATGTAACTGCCCATCAACCTCTCATTGAGACTGTAGGTCCTGTCCAGCTTGTATACGAAGTGACCCTCCACTCTGTAGCTGTTTTTTCTTCGCACGGCGACGTCGACTTAAGGTCTCATTTGCCTTGTACGTGTTTAAAAACGCCGGTAAAAAGTCTTCTTTCGAGATAGGACTTATATGTGCTCGCATGAGATCTTCGATTTCTTTTCCGTACGCTCTTTTTAACCCGCGAAAACAACCAACATCAAGAGGCTGGAGCTTATGCGACGAATGAGGAGGCATACAAAGCGCTAAGATATTGTTAGCTTTGCAATATACCTCGAAATCGGTCGAGTGATGGCTTTCGTGACCGTCGAGGATCAATAGGCGATGAGTACCTTTCGTACGAGACTTGGTGTGATGATCGAAGTGTTTTATCCAATCTTCGCCTCTCTCGTTCGTAGTCCAGCCATTTTTAGTAACTGCGATAACCCAATCAGGCGGTAATGGGCTGTTTTCGTACCATGACGAGAGGTGGGTTTTGCCGGCGAAAATGATGTACGGAGGGAGGGCATAACCGGACGACCCAACGCCTTGAATAACTGTAACCCCTTCCCGATTTCCTTGCTGGGCTGCTCTAGGCCTTCCGCGCCGATCAGAAGTCGTCACGACCATTTCGGACGAGATTTGGCCCATCACAAAACCGGTCTCGTCGAAGTTGTAGATATCCTCCTCCTAGATCGCATATTTCGCAATTGTATTCCATACCAGGTCAAACCACGCGCGATACGCATCGGGATCTTCGCATAGGACTCTCTTATAGTCGATCCTTCGATTTAAACGCGTCCAGAGGTCTAGTTGTCGTCTTACGAAGCTCGAGGCCCAGTTGACGCCGACGCGTCCCACGTCGCGACTTCGAAGTAATCGGTTGGCCATATCTTCAACACCACTCAATCGGGGAGGAAATGCTCGCGAATCTAGGTCTTTTATATGTCTTACGATGGCCTCTTCTTCGGAAGGAGTCAACTTTTGCGTTGGCGATCGCATAATCGCTCGAGCGGTTTTACCGTCGCGTCGATACGCAAGGGTTCTAAAAGGTACGTTATAGATCTGACCAGCGCGACGTACACTTAATTTTGGATCAGATTGAAGCGCATGTAAAGCTAGAATCATATCACTTTCATTCCAAGAACCAACCATAGTTATGTGGTGCAAAACCGCAGGTCAAAGTGGTAGCGTACGAAAATCTGCCGAAGTGTGCAATTGGACCGTGGACTCCGTTATATTTACGGTTACTAGGCTAATTAGCAAAGTCCTAACTATCCTCTCGAGAGTTAATAACTATTGTGAAGGTCAACCCTCGCAGACTCACTACAACCAGGTGACCTACAGCTGGAACACCTGCCATGGCAGTGCCAGATGGGAAGCCAATCATAACCCCTGTAGGAGCCCCGCCAAGCGTGGACGACTTAGTCGCGCTCCCTCAAACCTAAGTTGTCATCTTCTTTCCTTCGCTCCTTAGAGTAGAATCTTCGTCGATAGCACCTAATCGAGGTCTCTACCAATGCGATGCAACCCAGGTCGTGACAACTATAGGGGTTATTACCGATCCTCTTACTAATCCCCTTTTAATCTATATTATAGGTATTATCGTACGTAACACTATCCTTTCGAGCCTAATCTAAACTATGGACTCTACATATCTGATGCGAGTGCATATGGGCTGTGAATTGTTGTATTGGGAAAGGATGGCCAGGTCAGCTATTCTGGCCTGGCAGAGCTCTTTTATAGCTCTTATCTATCTTATCTCTAGCTATAGGGCAACCCCCCATGGGGTCACGTATCAATATCTTTAGCTTAAGATAGCGGTCTGGAAAGCTAGTATACTAACGAATCCCGAGGGGGTCCTTATCTTCTTTAGCTTCTAGTAAGTTTACTATTAGCCCTTGTATTACTTTGATAGATCAAGGCTAACCCCACGTAGCTAACTGAGGTAAGGCTCCTTCGATCATTGCTTTATTAGTAGATCATAGTTACTGCCAGTATTAGTGGGCGGTAGCCCGGTTCTAACTGCCCTAAATTCGGGCTTGGAGGGTTTTGTTTGGGGACCCTAAAAGGCTTGGCTGCTTTGCATATACTAGGGAATACCCCAGCGCGGGTAGACTTAATGGCTTTACTGATCTTGTCTTCCTAATCCATCTGCCTAGATATGACGAAGAAAATTGACGTAAAAATTGACGATGTTGTTAAGTTGAACGAATTCGACAAGCCGAGATTGGGTGGCACGCTAGGGGGTGTGGCACGCTAGGGGGTGTGGCACGCTTATGGGTGGATTACGTTGCTTCTCAGAGGTGATGAACCCCCAACAAATGCCTCACGCCATCATAGGCATCAAGGCTTCAACTCCATAGAGTTTCGGTGTGCGCAAGCTTGATGCCTTGTCTACCTATGGGAAATTCTCGTCATTGGCGATTTTCTCCATTGAGAGCTCCGGTTGGGTAAAACCAACAATGGAATCCGCAGTTACTGTACCGTCAATTTGGGACTTACGCCTCGTCGTCGGAAACAATGTCGAACCCCGGCACTAATGACTGGAGTCGCCAATCGGCTTGCTCACCTTGAACATGCCTAGGAGCTGCCTATTTCAGCAATCCGGCTTCATATGGACATGGATTCAACCACGTGGTAGGCTATCTTCAGCGAACTTCCAGGGGTCATTTCGAAATCGAATAACAATGGAATTCGGAGCTGACGAGTCTGCGGTGGCCTATTAGGCCGATATTATGTCTGCGATGAATTGCACTGGCACGCTTACTGGCAGTCAAATGATTTCATCATTTTCTCGATTTTTCTTCTTTCAGTTGTCATTCAAGCAAATTGATCATCATTGGAACTCGTCAGCCAACTCTGCTTTGGCTACGTAGGCAGCCGCCAACTTGTGACTAGGATTTCCAGTTGTGAACTCAAGAGATAAATAACACTCAATTGAAAACATTCTCACTTAAGGCCTTGTATCTTTCAAAGTATAACAGACTTGTGGCTGCGGCCGAGTCATACGATGTTGTTCTCTACCTGCAGCCAAGACGACGCCATAGGCCCCGTCGTACTCGGATGTCGAGATGGCTTCGATTTTACCGTCAAGTTCGAGCAGATATTCCTATCCCTGGTACCATCAGTAATCTTTATCGTGTTATCGGTATGGCGAATCTGTTTGATGGCAAGAAAACCAACTGTTATCGATGCGCCATTACTCCAACTCACCAAACTGGTATGTAATTAAGCGACTACCCCGTATGAATGAGTGACCGCTCACACAGCTCAGAGTGCCATTACTACCTATGTTGGTCTTCAGCTGTCGCTTCTCATCCTAGTTGGAGTGCGCTCCTTCAACGTGACGAGCCTGGCAATAGGTTGTGCTGTGTCGCAGCTACTTGCAGCCTTGTGCATGGCCTGTTTATCCCTCTTTGATCACAGCAAGAATCCTCGGCCATCAGTACTTCTCAACGCTTATCTTTTCATAACCATACTCCTCGACGTAACCGAGACTAGGACCTTCTGGCTTGCCTCGGGCACGAAGGCCGAGCAGACTTACACCTGCATCTTCACCGCCGGAATAGCTGTGAAGGCGCTGATACTGCTCCTAGAGGCCCAGAGGAAAGCGAAATGGGTTATGTGGGATGCGAAAGAACACAGCCCAGAAGAGACGAGTGGGATATACTCCTTGGGAGTGTTTTTCTGGTTAAATTCATTGTTCCTTGATGGGTACAGGAAGATCCTGCAAATCAGGGATTTGTACCCCCTGGATCAATCCATGGGCGGCGAGTCTCTCCACCGACGGTTCAGCAAGCACCTGGACTACGAAAAGTTGAAGAGAAGCAAGTATGGGCTTTTGCAGGTACTGGCGCGCACCTTGGTTACGGCTCTTCTTCTACCCATCCCAGCTCGACTTGCTCTGCTTGGATTCAACTTCTGCCAGCCGTTCTTTATCAGTCGCCTTTTGGACTACCTTTCCCATCTTTCTGGGCCCGATACCACTGCATCTGCCAATGTTGGTTACGGCCTTATTGGCGCAAGCGTCGCTATATACACCGGTATTGCCATCTCAAACGCCCTGTACGGTTATTTCCATCAACGGATGCTCTACATGGCACGAGGGTGTCTCGTGACGGCAATCTACACGAAAGCCGTCGAAGCCAGTAATTTCTCGGGAGACGAGGGCGCCCCGCTTACTCTCATGAGCAGCGACATAGAGCGCATCATCATAGGCTTCGACAGTCTTCACGATATTTGGGCGGCTTTCATTGAGACTGGCATCGCTGGCTGGTTGCTTTATACCCAACTTGGAGCCGCCTTCGTGACACCACTCGTGGTTGTACTTGTCTGCGTTCTGTCTACTACCGTTCTTGTTCGATACACCGGGCCTTCGCAGAAGGCATGGATGGAAGCGGTGCAGCGGCGTGTCAGCTTAACGGCCACCGTGATAGGAAACGTGAAGAACCTTAAGATATCGGGGTTAACTACGCCTGTGACTGAATTTGTACAGAACCTTCGTGTTGATGAGCTGGCATCAGGCTCCCGGTCCCGCAAACTGTCCATTATGGCAGCACTTATCGCATTTGTTCCGCTGCTGGTAACACCCTTCATTACATTCGGGGTTGCTGCTAGGAAGGGCCTGAACGCTACAAGACTTTTCACGTCGCTGTCGTTTCTACTCCTGATGGCCAATCCCCTTCAGACAATATTTCAGAGTATCCCGATGCTCATAGCTGGCCTGGCCTGTCTCAGCCGTATCCAGGCCTATCTCGAATCGGAGACGAGGAAGCAGAGGCGAGCAACCCTTGACAGCGCGCGAGAGGATTCAGAGAAACAGTCCAAAGATGTTCCAACGTCGACAACCGCGATTGAAGTCCGCAATGGTTCGTACGGATGGGAAGCAAGCAAAATTGTTCTCGACAACGTCAACCTCGAGGTGCCCAATTCAGCTCTCACCATCATTGTCGGTCCCATTGGGTCTGGTAAATCTACCCTGCTGAAGGCGCTTCTTGGCGAAATACCATTCAACCAAGGAAGCATAACTATGGGCGCAAGGTATGCACGGGTTGGGTACTGCGACCAATCGGCATTCCTCTACAATGGGTCAGTGAGAGACAATATCGTTGGATTTTCCCCTTTAGATCCCACTAGGTACTCTGAAGTTATCGAGGCTACAATGCTTGCATTCGACCTGGAAAAACTACCTCTTGGAGACCACACTAATATTGGTTCGAATGGAATAACCCTGTCAGGGGGCCAGAAACAAAGAGTTGCCCTGGCCAGATCCCTTTACCTGCAATCAGACCTACTTGTTTTTGATGACGTCTTTAGCGGTCTCGATGCAGATACGGAAGATCAAATTTTTCGACAAGTATTCGGGCCGGATGGACTCATTAGGCGCCGCCATGCTACAGCAGTGCTATGCACTCACTCCATCAGGCATTTACCAGCAGCTGACCACATCGTTGCGCTTGGAAATGGCACCGTGGTCGAACAGGGTACTTTCCAGGACCTCATGGCTAACGAGCGTTATGTCCACAGCTTAGGAGTCAAGTCATCGGACAGCGACACGCCATCAGATGTGGCAGAGTCCAGCGTGTCAATGCAATCCCAACCCGACTTGCTGCGGCAAGCCACCACTGCGTCTTCCGTATTGGTGGACAACGATAAGTCGAGACAGATTGGCGATAGCACAGTCTACAAACTCTACTTCCAAAGCATGGGCCTACTTCTGGCGGGCAGTCTCTTCTTCTGGGCAGCAGTTTTGGGCTTTTTTTACAACTTCCCAAATATCTGGCTCACGTACTGGAGTACCGATGTTGTTTCCCAAAATCCAAAGCACTCCAATGCATTATATGCCGGCATTTATGCGTTACTCCAGATAAGCTGCCTGTTGTCTTTAATGACGCTGGCCACACTGCTGCACCTCGTCGCTATCAAAAGAAGCGGTGCGTCTCTTCATTGGAATGCGTTAAATACGTTGATCAACGCTTCATTAGCTTTCTTCACCAAGACGGATCAGGGTACAGTCTTGAATCTGTTCTCTCAAGACCTGAATCTGATCGATAACGATCTCCCCAATGCCCTTCTCAACGTTCTCTTTACCGTATCTGTATCAATAGGTCAGGTACGTTGGGGTTGTCTTTTAGACTTCAAAAGCTTCGAGTTTAGTATGTGAACGTCAACTATGTTCAGATTGCTAATCTTCCTCTCGCTAGGCTTGTGTAATGATTACGTCTTCCCCCTTCATTGCCATTAGCTACCCCTTTCTCATCGCGCTTCTGTGGGTGGTGCAAAGATTTTACCTACGAACTTCAAGACAGCTTCGACTACTCGATCTTGAGGCAAAGAGTCCTCTTTAGTAAGCCGAACCCCAATCGCCAATCCCAACCAGAGAATATATTCGTGGTATTTGGTGGATGAGGATGCTCAACTGACCAACTCATCAGCACCCATTTTCTAGACACATCGAAGGGCATTGTTACCCTTCGCGCTTTCGGGTTCATTTCCGAGGATCGCAAGAAAAACATCCACCTCCTGGACAACTCTCAGCGCCCTGCCTATTTGCTAGTTATGATCCAGCGATGGCTAACGCTTGTACTAAATTTTGTGGTCATGGGCATGGCAGTTCTGCTCACTGTCCTGGCTATCAAGACGCGGGGCTCCAATGGCTTCACTGGCGGAGCAATGGTAACCCTAATGCAATTCGGTGAATCGCTTTCTGGGATTGTCATTTTTTACGTATGTCCTTCACCCAACGGTGTTTCACAAAACCTGAGGACTGACAAGGTGTACAGACTCGACTCGAGACCTCCATCGCAGCAATTGCTCGGCTGAAGTCATTTGACGCCAACGTGAAACCGGAGAACAGAGACGACGAAGATATCATACCGGCGGAAGACTGGCCACAGAGAGGCGATATTGAGCTGAAGGGCGTCTCGGCAAGCTATGAGTAAGACGGAAATCATTTGCTTCTTAACTCGAACTCCGACTAACATAGTGGATAGCACTGAGGACTCACAAAACGATGAGCTACCCAACTTGGCTCTCCGCCAAATCAACCTCACCATCGCTCCCGGGGAGCGAATCGCAATTTGCGGACGCACCGGAAGCGGCAAGTCCAGCATCCTTGCCCTCCTACTGAAATTACTCGACCCCTTAAGCGAAACCCCGGCAAACGTCTACATCAACAAGGTGCCCCTTCACCGCCTCGACCGTCCCACGCTCCGTCGACGCATCATCGCCGTGCCCCAAGATGCCGTTTTTCTCCCCGACGGGTCTACCTTCCAAGAGAATTTAGACCCCTTCGACCACGCAGGCGTACCAGAATGCCAGTCCGTCCTGGAAACAGTCGACCTGTGGTCTTTCGTCCGGGAGCGCGGCGGGCTGCAAGCCGGTATGAGCCCGGGAACGCTGAGTCAGGGGCAGCGGCAGCTGTTTTCCCTTGCACGGGCTGTTTTGAGGAGGCGGATACGCGCTCGGAGTCTGGGACTGGGTGGTGGGGGCTCTGAGGGCGGGATCCTACTTTTGGATGAGGTTACTTCGAGTGTTGATCAGGAGATGGAAAGGGCTATGCAGGAGATTATCAGAGTGGAGTTCAAGGAATATACAGTTGTGGCTGTGAGTCATCGGTTGGATATGATTATGGACTTTGATAGGGTGGTGGTGATGGACCAGGGGGAGATTGCCGAGGTTGGGAATCCCAGGGCTCTTTCGGGGAGTGAGGGAACGAGGTTCGGGGATTTGTGGAAGGCAGGTGGTAATTAGATTTGTCAAACTCGACAGATGCACTCGGTGCGGAAGGTCGTGGAAATTCTGCGGGACGAGGCCGACAAAAGACTTCACGAGCGCGAAACAAGTAAATCCACGCAAAACTGCCTGGATGACACCAGCTCAAAAGTAACAGGTCAAACTTTTGGCTTTTAGGGTACACAAAAGGACATTGGTATCATATGTTCGGGTAGCTTTCCCTGAGGTGTTAGACAGGGGTGGCATTGATGGCATCATATCAATTTACTCTCTATGTAGGTACCATTGGAGCTGAGAATGCTCAGTGATAAGTTGAGAATCCAGACTATGAAATGGTGAACACGTTAGCCCCTTCGCCAATCACTTCATCGTCAGGAAAAACCTCGATAGCTGCACCATACCCTACGCAGGTGCTCATGCCAGCTACCTATGCCGATCTTTCGGTAAGTTAGACTGCGGTTGATATGGATGGGTGAGGAGCAATGCATATCCAACTGTGCGAGATTCCGGTGTAACCGTAACTTAATGAACAAGCTTCTTGGCCAATGAAACATATAGCATTCTCGCTGAGAATTATGACGAAATTGAATCTCTACCTAAAACATCCGGTATATGGAGTTTTCCATCGGACTCCATACCCAATCACTTCACGTCAAGCCTTCAACACTGAAAATCAGGAGCATGAGGGGTTCCTTGGGTCACTTCTGATCATTCAACCATAACTGCGAACAGCCACAGTCTCGCACTAGCAGACGCAGTACAGTGATCCATCTTGGATGTCATCTGCACCGCAGCCTTTGGAGGAGCTTACGGGGCAGACCGACAGCCTGGACACGGTCAGTTCCTCCAGCGAAAGTTACAGCATGAGGAACGATTCCCAAATACAGTGACGAATATGTTACGGGAGTCCTGGAATTATCCGGAACTATCTGTGCACCTGCACCACACGATCGGAAGGTGTAAGCAGGCTCTGGAGGCTCTGCAGCGGCGCTACATATTCCTGTGTTTCGTCAATATACATCACATTCTTTGAATATTTCTCATTAGAGCGTCGGGTTTTCTTTTTATTATGGTTAGGATGTCATCGTACGGCACATTGGGTGTCACTGGTAATGAAACTAGACGCATCTCGTGCTCCGGATAATTTTCACTCCATTTTCGTGTTACGAACTGCACCACGGTTTATTTCCTCTGCTTGCTAAACAGAATCTGACATGTTCAAACTACTTGCTTAAATCATCATGGTAGTAAAATAACTAATCCGCGGACAACGAAATGCATCAATAAATCCATCCAAGGCCTACGGCGATATAGTTGATCTCACTAGCATAGCAGCTAAGTGTACGTACAATTTTAGCGCTGTATCTCCAGAATAGACTTTGAAAGTTTAGTAGCATGAGTTTGTCACATCTTGGGACTGATCTCCTTCAGTAACTGCCCCTGAGCTTGAGTTAGTGCACCTAATCCAAAACGAGGAGGCTTTCGTAATGGACGACTTCTCCTCCCAAACTATGTGTATCGTAACCAAGTTAATTTGAATAACTAAAACAGCAGTCGTAAACTAGGGGGAAATTGAACATCAACAGCCGTTCCCACATTGATTGAGAACCCATCATGCGAGCATCTTCAAGCTATGAAAGTGCCAAACTGATCCGCCCTACCCAAGCAGGAATATATATACTACGCATGAAGTGCAAATTGTATTATTGCAGATGCTTTGAATTAGTCACCTCTGTAACTTAACCACTTAGACATATTTAGGTTCATACTCAAGCCCCAGACCTGGCGACCACAGAAAAAAAGACTTTCTGACCCTAATAACTGCACAATAGGGGAACATTGACCGCTCGCTATTCACGACTACAGCATCCGTTTATGACAGTTAACGAAATTAGATCCGTCATCTGCGGGGTACAATGGATTTAATACGATACCTCGTTTGCCAAATGTTTTCTGGCAAGGTCGATCATTTCCCAAGGGCAAACAATTTGTATGCCTCCGTTCTCTTTCTTGAGGCGAAGAACAGGGATGGATCACATCGAATCATTCTGCACCAACCGTGACAGTACACAACGGGACATGGTATTTGATGGGTGTCGAGGTTATGGTTGAGAGGCCAAACCTTCGCAATCGGCCTGAAGGCCTCAACAGTTGTTAGGGTTTGTTGAATGGCTGTTGGACAGGCTTTGTGATTATACCATAATAACTTGGCCCACAAGATCATGTTTTTTTTGTCTACTCAACCATAGGAATTCCCTTTCGTACAACAAGCCATAGAGCCAAATATTTACTCATTACATCATTTCAAACAACAAGTATCGAGGTAGTGAGCGGGTTTCCGACGATGAGCTCCAGGCTAATGCAGCTGACCTCGACTTGTTTATTTGTGGCCCTAATGAGTTTATAAAGAAGGCAAATATGAAGGGCGAGGGCTTGAGCTTGTATGAGCTAAAAGACGAGAGGGAAGAGAGCTAAGGGGATTGCTAAGGCACCAGGACAATAATAACCATCGAGTTTAGAAGCATTGTGCTTCACTTACAACGTCACTTGTATCCTCTATATATATTTACAGTCACTGAGATGAGAGTCGTATGAGGAACTAGTGCCGCGACGAAGAGAGCTTTGCCAAATGATGTCGCTTACAGGGAGTTGACCGACCTTACGAATCCTTGTACGACTGAACACGGGAGCATAGGATTTAGAACGAAGTGCAGGGCAGATCATTGAAGCGAACAGGATACGAGCGGGGGCCAGGCCAATATACACGTGGGATTTATGATCTGGATAGAGTGAACATGAGACTGTTATACCCCTTTTACTCAGGTCACACAACAGTTATTAACTACAGATCTGATGGAGTGACGTTCAAGTGTGCACTGCCAACACATGTCGGGGTTTCCAGACAACAGGAAAGTGTGACCTTGCCGCGGTTAGGTTCCCAAATCAGTAAATCGAAGCCAGCTTGATTCGCTCATGACATAGTTGGCTGATAAGCGCCACGAGTACCACCCAGGTATTATTAATGATCTGTATATGGAGGTTTGGGCATATCGAGTTGACCATACTGAATCGGGAAAGTCACCCTCGGCTCTAGCAGTCTCGCAGAGGGAGCGGCGAAAGTCCCAAAGCAATGGGATATAAGAATGAAAAGCCAGACCCAGACATTGAAGCGATGGAAGGACATCTGCAACAGCTATCACTTGATCACGATGACAAATAAAAGCAGCGCGCCAACCATAAATTCCAGCAGCGAGAAAGCAAAGGCTAGCCGCGAGACCCCCTTCTTATCTCTAAGTTAGTGACGAGAACAAGCCTATGGACAATTAATCAGGGGGGGCAAAAGATGAAAGAGTCCCAAAACCAAGAAAAATAGCTTTAAGGTAAGTGGAAACTCAAAAGCCGGGAAGGCATCGTGGGGTTGAAATTTTGTAGAAACATTCGAATCAATTAAACTCGACGAAGGATGATGGCGCCACCGGCGGTGCTTGGGCAGGCCACTCGCCTCCTAACTTCTTTTCCTTCAATGAACCGGGTGACGAGTTTTCAAATGGTTAGACAGAATTCCACTACATTATGATAGGGACCAAGATGAAGTGGTGAAAAAGGTTGTGATCAAGGGATTTAGGGGGTTTGATGTCAAGGGGACACTCGTTCATGGCGTCATGTGCGGAAATCTGTCGATTTGATCGAAGGCTGCCACTTGAACATCGCAAGAGGAAAATGGGAGAATCCAATCCAAATTTACTTGGCATGTATGCTGGCGTACTGTCAGTAACACGAAAGGAAACTTTACTCACCTAGCAATAACGAAAAGCCGAGCTGTTCCGAATTACCCACCCGTCGACACATTGTGATGTTTCCCGACGCATGAATACACGCATAGGCTAATATCAAAAAGAGCTAGTGTGTCCTAGCTCGAGAACATGACCGTTGGCATTTCTAACGAGGCTTGATGATTTTCGACTTGTTCCAGGCAGACAACAATTCACGAGGACAGACTGCTCCAGAGCCGCGTCATGACCCACGCCAAACTGTAATCATCAGCGAAATTCGTCGAGTAGCCAGAGTGTGCAAGACATAGGCGAATTAAAATTGTGGTTATTTAACAGAATGGGCCTCAGAAGAAACGAAGTTGGTTTCAAATTCCCAAACCCACGAGATCTGAGCTGAAAATTGATCAATGCCCTTCCAAACTCATGACCAACGCACGGTCCAACACTCTTACCTGCATCTGAGTTCTAGAAGTGAGGCTACTCTTTGGCAGACGCGATAAGCTCAACTCAGGCTAACGTCGGTAGGCAAGTGGGGTCATCCGTTGGCCCAAGTGCGCTAGGAACCCCTCATTCTGTCATGCTCAGGTGCCTGCTGCTCCCCGCGTCGAGCACTTGAGCATTCTACGCCAATTATCAACCTTACGGGGCCGCGTATCTATACTCCAACGTTCCCCAATCCGCAGCTCCTGGTCACTTAACTTGTTCGTCGGCAGGATCGGATTCAGCTGTGATCACCTTTTCCACTGCAACTCCTTCTGTGCCGAATCTCTTTCCTAACTCCCCTTTCATTTATCTCGACGTTCTTGTGTAGCTCCTAGCTATCTCCGTACGAACCGAACCCACCTGAGATAAGCTAGCTTATCACTCTGCATCGAATGCGCAACGAGCCATAATGTTCGACATATTTCCCAAATTCCTGTCGTACGTCGAGATTCGAACTGTTGTTGAGCCATATCGCACCGCTGCTAACCCGCCTCACAGCTCGATAGCATCGTTCCTGTTTCCCCTCTTCGCCTCCTACAAAGCGCTCAAAACTTCCGACCCGGCCCAACTAACACCATGGCTTATGTACTGGTCGGTCCTCTCGTGCGCCCTTCTCGTTGAGTCCTGGTTAGAGTTCATTCTCGTCTGGATCCCATTTTACGCCTACGTCCGCTTGCTCTTCCTCCTCTACCTCGTCCTCCCGCAGACCCAAGGCGCCCGCCACCTCTACGAGACGTACTTGCACCCGTACCTGGCCGAAAATGAAAACGCCATCGAGGACTTTATCGCCAGCGCGCACGATAGGCTCAAGGCGGCGGGAATGGCGTACCTGAAGCAGGCGATCGAACTCCTGAAGACCAAGGTGCTGGGTATGCCGCCAAGTCCGGTGAGGGAGGAAGAGACACGTGCGAGCGCGCAGCCGCAGAGCTACACTTCGGCACTGCTAGCTAGGTTTAGTGTGCCCGCTGCTAGGTGGGCGACTGGAGGTGCGGGGAACACCGGACAGGACTTCTTCAACTTGCTTGCCGGCGCCGTGACGGCTGCGACTGGCGCTGGAACTGGCGCCGGAACGTCATCCTCACCTGTCGGGACGCGGGATGTCGACATGAGTATGAGCGGCACCCTAGTTCCGGACAACATCGGCAGTGCGCAGGACAAGATGAGCTTCATTGCGCAGCAGAAGGAAAAGCTAGCGTTCGTGCTCAGCACGCTCGACAAGGAGGCTAGGGATATTGAACGAACAGAGGAGGAGCGGAGGGCTAGACAGGACCTGCGACCTGGCAGTATGAGTCTGGATGGCGGACAGGGCGACGTGACGTCGCGACCCCCAAGTGGTCACAGCATGTGGAGCGCTTTGAGTAAGAGTCGAAGCGAGGTCGACTTCGAGAAGATCGATGCTGAGAGCGGCGAAGAAGAAGTCGACGGCAACGGCATGCGAAGACGGCCACATCCGGAAGGAACTGGTGCTGGTAAAGGCGCATGGAGCTTCCTCGGTTGGGGTACGGTTGGACCGGGCACGCCAACGGAGAGCGGGCGAGGCTCTGGGTTTGAGCAGTAGTATTATTGCATGCTGGAGTTTGGAATTCCGGATGGGTCGGGGTTTCTGGTATGGCGCGTTTGTTTTATGACTGCTAGACCGGAAGGCCGCAAGGGATCGGTTCGAACTGTCCGCCTAGAGCCCAAGACTCTGGAATGGGGAGCTGCGTGCTTTGCATCTTGTATAATTATCTATCCTATGATACAAATAGTGTTCCTGCTTTAGCCGCCTCTCGTGTCGTCTACATAACACGTATTCACATATCGAGTGCCTGGAAGGTGTAAAGTTGCACTTCAGTACAGCAAAGTCTCTGGGTATGCCCAAGCCATATAGTACAGTCCCAACCTTCTTCTCTTATCTTGCGCTCCGTGATGATCCCTTGTCGCATGTCTATACCTTCTTGAACGGATACCGAATATCATCGTCCTTTCTGAGCCAAATCTGCTTCTTCTTCTTTGTGGTAACATGCTCAACCCAAACCTGTTGTGCATACTCCTTCATGAAGCGACGTATGTACCGGGGGTCCCACAACTCGCTCGCAATGCCCAGGTCCTTGCAGCACCGCATCAGGGCGTTCGACTTACACCCCTCGGCTGCAGTCGAGATGCCATCTGTGTTGAAGTATTGCTGTTCACCGCGGGCTTGACCTACGAAGCTGTTACGGAAGTTTATCAGCTCATGAACCCTCACATCTTCTCACAGGCCACGAATAATAACTAGTTTGAAAAAAAGGAAGGTTTACCGTCCATGGACAATCAACGCATACTCGCGCGTCACCTGCCTATCCTCCACCACAAGGTCTGCCCTCGGCGCCAACCCCCAGCCTCCCGGCCCAAACGCCGCGTTAAGAACGCGGCGGTACTTGATCTCGGGCAGGTAGATAATACCGTCTGGCTTGATCTCGATGTCGTCTGGGCTGAGCGGCGCCTGCAGGACCGCGGCCACCTCGGGACCGAAGGTTGATGTGCCTAGGCCGTGGAATGAGCTAGACCAGTCGACAGGGCTGCCGAGGGACGGGTCGACTTCTGTGGCCGGCGCATCGGGGACTGGTTGGCCTGAGACGGCGGGGAGGCGGGTTCGTGTTGCGCTGCCTGCTTGTGTAGGAGGAGAGGTTGCAATTTTGGTTGTTGAGGAGGGCGAAGAGGTTGTAGGTCTTGCTGTCGTGGGAGTGGGTGTTGCTGGCTTAGAGGCGGCTGATGTCGTTGTCGAAGTGGTGGGTTTGGTTGCAGTTGTTGCCGGATATCGTTTCGGAGTCGACACAGTACCTAGGCTTCTTGATGGGCTGTAGGAAATGCGGAGCTGGCGCGATGCTGTACGCAGTAGGTTTAGGGATCGGGAAGCCATATTTTCTATATGGGTTGCCGCCCTTCGTTTGATGAAGCTCTGAATTGAGATTTTTTGGAGATACGCTGGCTTGCTTTCCTGCGCTATGTTCCTGGCCGGGAAAGAGCGGGCCGGCCGTGCTGGATCTGCCAAGCATTTCCAGATGCATTCTTTGTTGACTGTTCAACGGCCTCACTTTATTGCCATCTTTCTAAGATCTTGAGAGTGGAATTGCTCATCACCTGTTCCTATACTACACTGCAAGTTCCTAATCATGCATCTTTCATTGAGGTCCTCTCGTCATTATTGTGCTGCTTCCAACACTGCCTGAAAGCCTCCATCTACCCACCCAATGGTCAGTCTCACATGCAGCGACTGGAAAAGCAGCGTACCTCGTCTTTACACGCCCGCCAGTCTTTCTTCTCGTAGTAGCAGTCGGTCATCTTCATATTCTCGTCTGTTGCAAACCCAGTCAATATCTTCTTTCCAGCTGTTGGTGTATTGGCTGTACCTGCACATCCAGTGCTGAAGATCCGCTTCTCCCTGCATATCCCGCTCATTAGCTCGACCGGTTCGGGTTACCAACGCTTGCAGGTATTTTCTTACCACTCATCCGGCTCATCATCATCTTCAGCCTCTGCAGCAGCGGGCTCCTGAACTTTGTCCTTTTCTTCTTTTGTCATTTTCACTTGTCGATAGTGCGTTAGGACCTTCCTTTTGAGATCAGCTCCGTCTCGTTGCTTGTTGGGGAAGGAATTAGTCTAGTGGCACCTTTTGGAGGGCCGGCGTATTTGAACCAAGCTCCGTCCGCCCAGCGCTCTACTAGTTGTGCGCCCTTTTATGACTACAATCCCCAAACCCTCAAAAGAACAACTCAAGCTGCAAAGGAGCGTCGTAGGATGGCTCCTCGTAAGCTAAATGTCCTGGTATACACCGGCGCTGGCTCGACGGTAGAATCCGTTAAGCACGCAGTTTATTCACTTCGCCGCCTCTTGTCACCGAATTACGCAGTCATACCCATCACGGACACCGTCTTGCTCAAAGAGCCATGGGCCCCTACGTGCGCACTTTTGGTGTTTCCTGGAGGTGCTGACCTTGGATATTGCCGGGTGCTCAACGGCGCTGGCAATATTCTCATTTCTCAATATGTTCGTCGGGGTGGCGCTTACCTTGGATTCTGCGCCGGTGGGTACTATGGGAGCACGAAATGTGAGTTCGAGGTCGGCAACAAACCCATGGAGGTTGTCGGCTCCAGAGAACTGGCCTTCTTTCCAGGAACCTGCCGAGGCGCTGCATTCCAGGGGTTTCAATACCAGAGCGAGAAAGGTGCCAGAGCAGTGAAACTCATTGTCAAGAAGGATGCCTTCAAGAGTGCAGGGGTAGTCCCTGATGAAGTCACCTCTTACTACAATGGCGGTGGTGTCTTCGTCCCATTTGGGGATGCCAGAGACTACGAGGTGCTCGCAAGCTATGCTAGTCCCCCTAATGTGGATGGAGGGGATGAGAACCCCGCTCTGGTCATGTGCAAAGTGGGAATGGGCTCTGCACTGCTTACAGGTCCTCATCCAGAATTTTCACCAGCGAACCTCGAACAGCACTGCGACATCCCAGGATATGACGACCTCATTGCGAGTTTACGAGCCACTGATGAGGCTCGGACGAACTTCTTTAAGGCTTGCCTTGGGAAACTTGGACTGGACGTTAACCAGGAAACATCTTCCGTCCCCTCTCTTTCTCGGCTGCACTTGTCCTCCCTTGGTAATGGCGATGTTGACGACCTGCTTCATTCATGGGAGGAGATTATTACCCGAGAGAATGGCGAAGAATTCATCAAGGGTGAGAATGACACGTTCCATCTTGAGAAGAGAGAAACCAGATGGGGGGTGGTCGACCTGAAGGAGTCTTTACCGTCTGATAAAACCTCCGCTCAGCCACCGACAGAACAGGGGTTGGGAGCGTCACCGGGTTCAGGCATTGTTGACTACAACACTGTCACGAAGCGTATGGTCATCCACGATAGCTCCTGGCCAGGTACACAAGAGACGCCCTATTTCAATCATCACGCCTTCTATGGGAATCTCAAGGCATACAGAGACATTGACACCGAGGCCGAGGAATGGGGAGACTTTCTCTTGTACGGAGAGGTCGTCACCAGTACGAACACGCTGCTTGATAAGAATCACAATCTTCTCTCCAAAGCACCTAGCGGCTTCACTCTGACGGCGACAACTCAGATTGCCGGTCGTGGTCGTGGCAGCAACGTGTGGGTATCTCCCGCTGGCAGTCTGGTTTTCTCTACCGTCATCAATCATCCAGCCCATCTCGCTCCCAGTCGCCCCATCGTCTTCATCCAGTATATATCCGCAATTGCTATTGTCGAGGCCATCAAGACGTACGATAAGGGATACACCGAATTGCCTGTCAAGTTGAAGTGGCCGAATGACATATACGCCGTCGACCCCAGCAAACCGGCATCGCCACCCACCTATGTTAAAATAGGGGGCATCTTGTCGAACTGTGCCTACTCCTCGGGCTCGTACCAGATCGTTCTTGGCATCGGGTTAAACACTACCAATGGACGTCCCACAACCTCTCTGGACGCTCTGCTGCCATCCCATCTTCCCCCGTTTCGAATTGAGAAGCTTCTAGCTCGTATTCTCACTCGGATAGAGGTGTTGTACAAGCAGTTCCTTCGTCAAGGCTTCTCCAAAGAATTGGAAGAACTTTACTACTCCTATTGGCTTCACGGACGCCAAATTGTGACACTTGAGGCTCACGGGGGTGTCAAGGCGCGCATCATGGGAATCACTACAGATTGGGGCTTGCTAAAGGCAGAGGAGCTTGGCAGCGACGACAGACCGACCGGCAAAATGTGGGCATTGCAAAGCGACGAAAACAGTTTTGATTTCTTCAGAAATCTAGTTAAACGAAAACTTTAGATTGTCACATCATACATTAGATTTCGGCTTTGTTGGGGAGTAGGCATGGTTTCCCCACGCGTCATGTCAAGAAAACCTAAAACGTATTGCTTTGAGACGTTCTCCAACCCCTGACTGACCGACCTGTTCTCTAGACCTCGTGTTTCCAAGTCGTGACTGTAAGACGCATCACTGCTACTCCTCGCCATCAATGGCTGCACTTGCCGTTCAACCCCCCCGAACGCTTATTTCCCACTGCTGGATCTACCTTTCGAGGTCTTGCTCGACATAGCGGACCGCCTGTCTGCTGCGGATAGGATATGCTTGAGTTTGACTCGCAAAGGACTCTATCACTCGGGGCTCTTCCGTCCTTCGGATCTTGTTGGATTTGAGCGCAGCATGTGCATGCACCGCCTTGAAAAAGAGATAAGGGGCAGCTATTATTGCGCGTTCTGTAACAAACTGCAATACACTTGTGCGAGCTGCGTCGATCCAACTCTTGTCTGCAAGCATGATCAGCGCTGCTCCGGTCATGATCTTGGCCTGCGACTAGATGAGGGCTACACACTTCGTTATCGACAGGTCCGCATGTTGGGGAACGCTCATTCCTATGGAAATGGGTTATTGGTGGATATTCTCTCCAAGAAATTAACAGGAGCTGAGAAAAGGCCGCCTGGCCAACCAGTCCGGTTCAGGCACTCTAACGAGTTGTCTGCCCGATTTATCAAAAACCAGCTTTTCGTATGCGGAAAGTACACTGCATACGTCTCTTTGGACGACTACTCGGACGACATGACCCGCGATCGGTTCAGCTCCTACATTGCCAATACTTGCATCAGCATCAACAATCACACACACGAACAACTAAACATACACTATTTTACGGATGCGGGACCTTCGCTGACAACCCACTTTTCTACCTATATCCTAGGTCAAGTCGTCAAATCTGGCCCTACCGCCTTTGACCCAAGTGGTCATGTTTACAGCTGCACACGGTGCATGATGGACTTCGACGTCGAGATCGGCTGGATGGACGGGTGTCGAGCCATTACTATTACGACGTATCGGCAGCTCAGCGATCATATATCGGACTGGTATCCAACATATTCGCCACAATTCCGATCTGACAGGTATTGGCACAATGAACGGGCGGGCAAGATTAGACACCAGTGGCTTCACACTATGGGTCTCGTTTCCGATGATGATCAGGAGAGGGCCTCAAATCAAGCGGAGTTCAAGTCAAGGGGTGCGTGGTGTAGTAGCCCTAAGGTCAAGGCAAAACCTGAAGAGCCAGCTATGGGGAAACCGGCAAAATCCCTATGGACTGCCACTAAGGCGCCGGAGCAATGGCTCATGACGGTTGCCGCTATGAAGGAGGGTATCACGCGTGGTATGTAGCAGGCCTAGCCCAATGTCTTCTTCTGGGTTATCAGGGGTATGTGGGAAGGCATGGCGCCAACTTGAGCGGACTCGGCATCTATCCGTGGCTCATCAGAGTAGTGAACCCAGCTACAACACATGCGGTCAGCCGCTACTGCTCATGTAAATATACATGTCGAAAGCTTGCGGTCTCCAGCTGTCTTAATCGCGTGGCTAGCTTACTCAATGCCCAGAACTGTGAACAAGGTACAAAGGGCCATCCGAGTCCTTACAATAAACGCGTCAGCGACATCGAACCGCAAGGCAATTATACATAATATTCGACAAAACCAAGTATTTATTTCCACTGGATTCATCGTCTGATATACGTCCATCCAGCTGCGGTAGGCCTCTCGTAGGAATCCTTGGCCTCTTCAAAACTATGGATTTCACGTTGCAGCGAAGCCTGCAAAAGCAACAACACTGCCCGAGATCATTCAAAACAACCCTCGAAAGGTCAGATGGAGGGCGGAGAAAGAAATAATTGTACGTCGGATCAACCCGGCTCGGTCTCCCCAGGCTTTAGGCCTTGAAGTGATACAGTCGTAAATATTCCGTGGATTTCTATCACGGGTATTTTAATTACAGAGTGAAGGATGGGAGTGCTAGAGAGAAATAGGTTGCCAGTCATTAGTTGGGTACTAGCAGTGTAGTGTAGGGGATTCAATAATGACCAGTTCATCACTAGCCCTCCTTGTCGATCCTCGCATAAACCGGGGCACGGCAAGTCACTGGAGCCCACTGGCTACATAAGGCATATAGGCCACTGTGGCTTATCTGCACCTGACAACTTCATCTCTATACTAAAGTATCAATTTTGATTTATCGAGGCCATTCCTGTCTGTAGACTGACTTTATGCCGCTAAGAAATAATTCGAAGCTTCAGTTAATTTTGTCTGTCGTGTGCTAAATCTCTAGGATTACCTAATGAACATTTGAGATTTCAGTGATTTATCAATCGATGCGAGTTGCAATGCTTGGTGATACCGAACTCAAACTTCCGTTAGACCGAGATCCCCATTGCGAACCGGGTGCTGTCTGTAAGAGCTTTTGACTTAGTTAGATAAGGAACATTTGAGGTAGACGATTGTTTGCACAGGTTATAGGAGACACGGCCAGGGCAGGGCAAAGCTTACCAAACATTGGAAACTATAAGTAAAGGTCTGATTCTCCTCTAGATAGACTTAGATAAAACATCGATACACACACCGGAATACTGACCGGAATACACCTACACACACACGCTTTGAGAATATATCTCAAACATAACCTATTATACCCCATTAATTACTCGTTTTGCTTCACGAATCTACCCGGTGGCTACCCTATAGCAATCCACAAATATCCGCTATATACCGGGAACCTTCTGACAGAAACAACTTTATCAATAGTGAGGTGATGAAAGTAAATAGATAATAGAAAAACACAATCAGGCTCTGTCCCAGCCAACAAGTCGAGCCTTGTAACCTTGTTGTGTATGACAATACTATTTGATACGTGACCCCATGGGGGGTTACCCTGTAGCTACAGATAAGACAGATAATATAAGATAAGAGCTATAAAAGAGCTCTGCCAGGCCAGAATAGCTGACCTGGCCATCCTTTTCCAATACAACAATTCACACCCCATATGCACTCGCATCACTATTAGTCCTAAGGCAGAGCGCCTTTCCTCTGTACCAAGGAGGGAACAGCATGGCTAGCTGGTTTCTTGGCGTAGTTATATAATCTGCTGCCCATCCTAAACGGATATTTCTTTGATGAACGAGAAGAATATGGATATTTCGACGAAGATAGCTTGGAGGACTATTGTTTGATTACTATCTCATGTACATACATATTCTATATCCGAGGGAAACCGAACTACCTTCGCCTACCCGCTCTAAAAAGTTAAATCCCGCAATATAATGTGAATGTACACCGAGCTGGCCACTTTCATGCGCCAACGCGACCGGCCAACTTGATGTTTGATTTTCTCAACAACCAATTATGTTTTGCAGGAGGGTCTAACAAAACTTGCCTTGCTCTAATACCGGCAACAGCATGAAGTCCATCACAAAACAAAACTGTAAACCGCTCTGGAATTTCCTAATCGGATTGTAGTTGCAACTAATGCCGGTGGTCTGGAGATCGTGAGTTCCACTATGTTTGAGCGCCCAGCCCCAGGCTTTCAGCGCGAACCTTACCATGGTATGGGGAGGCAAAATACAATATCCTGACTTGATTGGATGAGGATATTATACGTCGAGGAATGTGAAATTTACTTGCATTATGGGTCTGTCTCAAACGAGTAAGATTCTTGATGTTGACACAACCATCCATTCCATCAATATCACTGCTGTCAGGAACGGCTAGGCCGCAAGGCAATAGTACCGAGTGAAGGGCCAGCTGTGGGTTACAGGGTGGTTACCGGTGGTCACGGGTAGGTATGCCCAGCATAGTTAATTGGTCTGTGACCTAACCTTCTGTTTCCTCCCAAGACAACTCCGTTATATAGACAGCTAGAGCTCCTATTACAGCCCCCGCCCCTATTCCGAAATACGATGTCCGGATCTTCCGGGCTGAGCAGTATTCCAAGACTTCCATAATATTTTGTGACCCATAAACTCACGGGCCAGCCCCGCACCGGCTCCCCACCAGTGTCATGTACCCAGCGTTCTGGCAACTGCACTGCCAATTTGACTTTAAGTTTCAGCTGCTTTCACTGACATCAGCAACCCATTTATCAAGCATCTGAACTATATTAAAATTTAATTACGAGGTGAGCGACGACGATGAAACGGCTGCCAATCCTGCTCCCGGCTCAGTTCCATTGCACCGGAGCCATAGTATCTGGATGCGGTAGTGTGTCTGAGTCATGACAGCTATCTCATACCTACCGAGAACAACATGTCCTCATAAGTCGGGTTTAAGGCGGGTTGGGGGCAAATATCAAACCAGCTTCATTGGCCAGCATAGCCATAAACTTATTATCGGGATCCAGTATAGTAGAATTGCCCTCAGCCACACCTGAAGCCTTGTTTCTAGCAGCTTCCTCGTTTGGGGAACGAGCCACACCTTGTGCCCAGCACCAAGGCTATGTCGGAACCAGGTATATCTATGATCTTGGACTTGAAGAGAAAAAGCGGAGCTCACGTTCCGAATAGTGACGAGGCGTTCACGAGCTGCTTCGAGACCGAAGGGATCATTACTCTCCTCCACCTGCATAGAGATAGAAGACTCCCGATTTGATCAAATCTACTGAATTGCAGCAGTAAAATTGACTGACGATTTAGTTGCTTCCGCAGTTAATGTAACGATCTTCCAGATACTTGCCAACCTGTCGGGTATGCATTGAAAGTTCAAATGCGTTCCGGAACCCAGTGTCTGGACAAGTCGGCAGGCTGTGCAGAAATTGACCGTCTCGAACTCTCATGAAGCTGAACTCTGGTTATTTTAACTTCCACCTATGAGAGAGTAGGCACCTGAGACCTGATGATCAGGTGAAGCAGCAACTCGGCTTGGTTCGAGGACAAGGCAATAATACTCAGTGATCGGCGCTGCTGTGGCTCGTCGAGACTCTCGGTAAAGGCAAAATACCACGCCAAGGATCATATGTGGTATTTCTTTCCGAGAAGGCCGATGATTTCGGACGAAGAGGAACATCCATCTCACTTACCAGTTCCCTTTCCGCAGCCCGGCCCAGACCACTGACGGGGAGCTCGGATCATTGGGTGAATGGACGAAAGTCGAAACGTCAAACGTCGAGTAAACCTTCCGGGTTCCTCAGGCCCAACAGCGTCCAAAGGGGTGCTCTATCAGATAAACCTTCCGGGCTTCTCGGGCTCGACTGCCTGGCAATACCGGTAGAAATTAGACTTATTCTTGTCTCAGGTGGATCTACGCTATCAAGAGAGTTCCTTAGCCTACGATTGACAAAACGGGAGCGGCAAGATCTACATCGAGAAATACATACTGCAGGGCTCGATGTCGGTAGGTACGTACCCTTAACCGAGTATTTGTAATGACTGAGTATATAAACCTCACAATTTCCCTCCATGCTTTAACCTTCAATCACCAGGAAACACCAACTCCTAGATCATCCTACATCAGTCATATCATCCTAACCCAACTCATACTACTTTACACTTCTCACGATGCGATTCTCAACTACCCTTTTCTCTCTACTCGCGGCGACTGCGGCAACCGCCCTGCCCCTCAAAGCTGTTGAAAATATAGCAGCTGAGGACGTCTCACGTCGAGATGCCGCTGCTGACGACACTAAATTACCCCTAACTACCCGTGACGATTACGACGATTACGACGACGCGGAACGCGAGAAGTACGAGGATGTAAGTGATATCGGGACATTTTATCGATTGTTGTCACCCAGTAACTTACAAAAACACTCAGAACCTCGAAAAGCTACGTGACGGGAACTGTGGAGAAGGCTGCCATAATTCCATTGGCTCGTATGAGTCTAAGCATTGGAAGAGGTCCAACTCACCCCTAGGCCGTCGTGACAACGATGACGAGGAACGCGAGAAGTACGAGGATGTGAGTGATTATATGACACTTGTCGACTGCTATCTTCCAGTAACTAACCAAATTCTCCAGAACCTCGTAAAGCTACGTACCGGGAATTGTGGAGAAGGCTGCCATAATTCTATTGCCTCGTATGAGTCTAAGCACTCGAGGAGGTCCAACTCACCCCAAGGCCGTCGTGACGACGATGCTGAGGAACGCGAGAAGTATGAGGATGTGAGTGATTATAGGACATTTGTCGATTGCTATCTTCCAGTAACTAACCAAATTCTCCAGAACCTCGTAAAGCTACGCACCGGGAACTGTGGAGAAGGCTGCCACAATTCTATTGCCTCATATGAGTCTAAGCACTCGACGAGGTCCAATTCACCCCTAGGCCGTCGTGACGACGATGACGAGGAACGCGAGAAGTATGAGGATGTGAGTAATTATGGGACACTTGTATACTTTCGTCACCCAGTAACTTACCAAAATCTCCAGAACCTCGAAAAGCTACGTAACGGAAACTGCGGACAAGGCTGCCTCAACTCCATCAACTCGTATCAGTCTAAGAACTCGAGGAAGTCGAACTCACCGTCCAACGCAATTCTAATTCCTCGTGATGACGACGATGCTGAGCGCGAGAAGTATGAGGATGTGAGTCATGGGACAGTTCTCTATCCACCGTCATCTAGTTACTAATTTATCGTCTCCAGAACCTCGAGAAGCTACGTAACGGAAACTGCGGAGAAGGTTGCCACAATTCCATCAACTCTTATCAATCCCAGGCCTCGAGGAAGTCGAAGGCCCTCGAGGAGGAGCAGCGAGAGAAGAAGTACCACGAGGATGATAAGTAGATGCTTTCTTGGCGAGAGAAGGGCGTTCTTGGCTAATTGTGGGACACGTATTTTATTCGACTGATTGATGGACGAAGGGTAACATGAGAGTGCACGGCGGGACATTGTAGTCATCCGGCAAGAGTTTGGACACGGTAATAGGTTCCTTGACCGCCAGTCTCTCCTTTCGTGTCATTATTTGAACAATTATAGTAGAACTTCTGAGACTTGTTATATTTCAATCTTACTATTCAAACTCCATAAGCCCTTAAAAATCCCCAATTTTAGTACAGTATAGTGCGAGTAATTTGAGGTTAATAATGACTAGTTTTGATGACTGTGACGGGACTACTGGGATCGGTCGACGTGAATGTCAATAGACATTAAAAGTTCAAAGAAACGGGTGTTCAATGGGCTGAGTCAACGGTCGATCAAAAGCACGCAAGTTATTCAAACTAGCGATCGTAATAAAACACGTAGGAGCCAAGGAATTCTTGCATGTAATAGCATGACGAACCCTGTAGCCCCAAGGAAGAGAAGTCTCATATTGTGATCAGCAAAGAGGTTGTATAAGCGCGAGTTTATGCGGGGAGTGTGCCACAGGCTCCACCACGGGGTATGTATGGGGTTTGCCTAGCCGCTAATTCCAGCATTTTGCTCTAACGTCACCCACAATCTGAGTGGAAATAAATCGCAATTCCACGAAATCAATGCATACGTTTCAAAGTGATAATGAAGAAGCCTCTAAGGACGGGCAGCGCGTTTCTGAACCGCGTTACCACCCACCATCACCATCTGATTTCTCTGCCAGATCCAGAACGGCGTCGTTCTCTATTTCTCCGTCGTCTTCTTCATCATCCTGGAAGTCAGCGTAGTTGCCCGAATCGTAGTTATCCATGCCAACCTCCGCCGTGTCGGGGTCGGAGCCTGATTCGTCATCGTCGATTGGATTCTGTGAGCGGTACAGCTGAAGCTTCTCGAAGATGGACATAGGCTTTGCTTCGGGTTCTTCTGATGCTTCCTCTTCAGAAATGTCGTCATATACCGCGGGATCAGTGTAAATGAAAGCACGGCCTTTCGAAACTGCGGGCTGCTCTTCATCGTCGGAGTCATCAGAACCATCGGGAGCAGCTTGAGCAGGACGTTTCCGAGTTGCCGGCTGCTCTTCGTCCTTAGAATCATCGCTGACAATGCGAGACTGGCGTTTCGGAGCAGGTGGCTGCTCATCATCGTCATCGTCGTCAGATTCGATGCGAATTCGGGCACGGCGCCGAGGCGGGGATCGGTCTTCGTCGGCAGTATCCCCGTCTTCAGAGTCAGAATCCACGACTCTTCGATTGGCGCGCTTACGTTTCCGGGTAGGTTCTCGATCTAAAGAAGCCTGATCAGACTCGCGCGCGTCTGGGGATTCAGGTTCCAGGCTGGAGAAGTTTGCTTCGGGCTGTTGGCGTTGCACGTCATCAGGCGTCGCATCCCGAAGTGGGGAGAATCCGTTGAAAGTAGACGATGCGTCAAAATCGTCTTCGCCAGAGACTTCTTGGACCATCAGATCGTCCTCTTCGGCGGATTCTGCATCGCTGTCTATTGTCTCATCGTCGATACCATCACTCTCATACTCATCAAATCCGCCCTCGTCATCGAGTTCTAAGTCAGAATCGGACTTCCAGTTGTCTCTCCAGTTGCCTGGCATAGCGGCTGTTCGCTCTATTTTTCCATAGAGACGTAGTCCTTCATCGAACGAGAACCGGTACATGGACCAAAGCGCGACGCCGTCTGAATTGAGAACTTTGAGAGGGGATAATTCATCCTCATCAATCTCATCGTCACCCATCTCCTCGTGATTTGATTCGTCCTCATTATGTGCATTTCCGTTTCCCTTCTCGTTCTTCATGAATTCCGGGTGGTCCACTAAATTCGGCCAGCAGTACAGAGATTCAATGTCCTCATGAAGTCCTGAGTCTTCTTCCGTCCAGGCGACCCGAAAGGAGTGGATCTCTTGAGAAGCGGCGCACCACCGCATGCGATAGGGATGTGGGAACTCTGTAGCCTCGCGGCAAAGATAGAGGGCCTTCAGGTGCTTCATTGACTGCATGAACTCTTTCAGGGCGTAATCTGGGGGCAAATCAACGTCGGCATCAATTGCAACATGTTCAACATCTTTGAGGAAGGGCCGAATGTCCAACAGATCTTCGGGCTCCGTGATTCCAGAAAGGAGAATGACGTCTCTTGACTTCCGAAACCTCAGAGTTACGTATCCGGGCCTAAACTCCAGGGCATCAGGATAGAATTTCAGCGCTAGTTCTCGACTCTCACGATGGGCTGCTAAGACAGCCCTTGCAGGTGCTGTTTGCTGCAGTATCGTCGCGCTTTCCCAAATGCTTGATTCTCGGTGCTTGAAGACTTGGAAATCGTAGACACGTGCTTTTGCTCTCATGTCTGGATCAAAGAACGCCCAAACGCGATGACGGAGTTCAATGGGCAGGCGGCAGAACTGGGGGAAGGAGTACAGCTCCTCAGCATACTCGGAGCCGTCAGACACGCCATCCGACTCGGCAGCTTCGATATCCAAAAAGCTGTCTCTCGCGTCTTCGATGGAACCTGATTCCCAGGAATCCTTGTCGTCTTGCTCATAACCATCTTCAGCGCCGTCGCCGACCTCCTTGTCGCCCTCGGCATCAATTCCATCGACTTTCTTGACTTCATCGTCGGTTTCTTCAGATCCACTGTGAAAAGCTTCTTTGGTCACATTTTCATGCTCTTCTGGATCGATTTGAATGACCCTGCTGGTCTCGGATTGGCTCTTAGCCGTGCCTTCGCCTTGCTCGGGTGCAATTGCGACAGGATGATCTGAATCCCGTGCCATGTTTGCGCACTGTGGTTGACTTGGTGGCCGTGGTAGGCTAGCGGAGATAAGCGCAAACGTATCTATGAAAACTGGTCTGGAATGTTGATTGAATATGATGATGGCAAGGGCGATACTGAAGTTTGAAATATCCAAGTCAAGTCCAAACGCAATATCGTGGCTACAGGCGTGTTTATGGCGTTGAAAGCACCGCCACTTTAGCCACAACGCAATTGCAACGTCAAAAGCTTCACAGTTGGGGATGAGAGTACACTCAGAACGGCAAATTAGTGCCACTGCTTTCTGAAGTAGATTATGTTCTTGATAGTCCATCAAATCATATGCCACCTCATGCTAATTGTTGTCGAGGATGAACATTTGAGATACTGATATTTCCCGAAGTGTTTCCCCGTCAAAGAATCCTTGCATAAGCAGTTTGGTTTGTAAACCATGTGCAATTCGTAGTTCCGGGTCTGCCGGGGTTCTAAGCTGGAGTATGCCTGGGAAGTTGGATAAGAGCACTGCCGTTAGCCTAGACTGTGGTCGAGTTGATCAATAACGAAAAACGCAACGAAAGGTCATGCCAATATCAGTTAACAGAAGCTCTTCGTGTGCACATTGCTATTGCAGTAGTACTATCCTCGATGGAGCGGTAGTTGTGTATTGCACATAGTGCCGATTACTGTTATGAATTGATTTCATTCATACCCAGGCTCGAGACGGGGCATCGAAACCGTAGTCTAATTCTGCATATCTGTTCCGTGCCATAGTGATTCATTCCCACATCTAGATCTACTTCGCTTGCGGCTCTGTATCCTTGGAGAATTTGGCTGCAAGCGCCTCGTCAAGTGGACCCTTAGGGTTCGAAGATAAGTTCTGTAGATACAAGATATTAACACTTCTGGCCACTCATTGATTCTCAGGTATTGAGGATTGCGCTTACTTTGAGTTGATCTCCCATCTCGCCCTTCTTGTCGTCGACGTTGACTTTATTGACACCTTGCCCAGAGCCAGGCGCATCGTTCTGTTGGCGGCCGGTCTGAGACTCGGGAGGGGGAGATTGGCGACCTTCCTGAGACGACATTGTGGACGATGTGATGTGTTGTGGGTTGAAGGTTGTGGATGTCTGGCGGGAGTGTGGTGTAGTTAGCGCGCAGGCTCCCACAAGTAGCTTGCGATTCGATTACATCTGTGGGACTTGGAACAACCACTCTGGAAGAAGAAGTGTATTGCTTACCTTGAGTTGATGGCAGAGTTGTTGGCAAAGAGATGGATGGGTTCGTGGATGGAACCTGACGGGTTAAGTGCTATTAAAGCGACTTTGGATTTATATGCGAACTGACGTGTTTCCACATATCTGCCGGTTATTCAGGACCACGCTTGCCCGATGACATTTGGATGACATGCTGTATTGATGCGCGCCTTCCACAAAGCGAAAGTCAGCTCTCTGAACGAAACGATGAAGTCATGGCCCATATCGAAGAGAGGGTACCAGCGGCTACGTCATACCTGCAATTGGGAAGGAGTTGTGGACCTTGTAGCCGGACCCAATGAGGGGTTGACTGAGGGAGGAGGGGTGAAGGAAGCCACAATTTAGCTCGGTACTGGGATAGTGCTGTTGGACCTTGGTCTGACCTTCGAGACCCCACCTCTAGCCTCCAACGGCATTGAACGTAGTTGCGTGATAAGTGGCTGGTGCCTTCACTTTGAGTGACCAAACAAGCCCACCGTTGCCCAAGTGCAAGCCATTAATCACAACTGCCTTGTTCGGGAGCTGCGACTATTGAATGCGACCATTTTCCTCATACGAGACACGGATTCCTTTGACCGCGGGTGTATCAAAGATCACAACAAGTAGAGCTCCACCAAAACGAATGCCTCATCCGACGGTGCATCTTGAGGTCTACTCAGATCAGGCTCCCGTCTCGCATTTGATTACAACCTCCAGCAAGTGGCGGCCAACCAACCAAGCCAACTACTTTCGTCTATCTCAACACCACGAAAACCCTCAGATCTCGTGCGCCCAGAATCCAGCATGCCTGATCTAAACTCTATCCCAGCATCTCCCAACGCCAGGTCGCGACGCACGTCTACATACCAAGCATCGCAAGCACAAACAACCAGGCCGGCGCCGCCAGGACCAACCTCTCCATCGCTCAATATCCTCCCCTCAAACCAATTTTCATTCCACCAAACTACCTCCTCAACTTCTCTGCCTTCACCGCTACTTCCAACAACATTAACACCGTCCGTTATGCCTCCTCCAGTAGCACTAGGACAGGGTGGCACCGGTGTAGATGCGGGTCCAGGACCTATCCGCCATCCTCGACCTTTGACTGCGGCTGATCTACACCAACAGCTGGAACAGGAACAGGAGCTTCTTGTAAGTTGAACCACTATCCCAGTGAAACTCTCGTCGATCCAGTTGTTGTCTTTGTGATTGTCGAACTTGGACATGTCGGTGTTCTAGGTTTTGTCACTTTGTACGGACGACCGATTTCCGCCGTTGCTTCCGTCAGCCAGCATCCAGTTTCAATTTTGTTGCATTCGTATGGCTATGGTGTACTGATGATTTCACAGGTGAACCGCCTGACGCGAGATCTTACACTTCTCCGTACTGCACAAAATTCATCCGTCGTTTCGAATGCATCGTCTACATCCGCGTCGGCTTCCGAACCCCAATCCTCGTTCACCGACACGCATCTGATATCTGGGCCCGGGTTTCCGATTCCCACGACGAGCGCCGACCGAGACAGACGTCACCAGAGAACAAGCTCCTCGACTAGCACGCGAAGTATAAGTCAGGCAGCGACAGCAGGATCCACGCCGGCCCCCATACCCATCGGACAATCCGGCAATGCTGCTTCGATATTGGAAGCAGCCCGCAATCCCCGCGGGTCCATGTCCATGTCGCGCCAGAACAGTACTACGTCGCATCGTAGCGCCAGCAGATCGCGAAACCGATCGCCACGCCCGGGCTCGTATACACAGGCACACGGATTCCCGCCACACTTGGAACATCCCACCAGCAGTGGCTACTTCCCACGCAGTCACCCGGCCACCTCGAACCCGCATAGCACAGCAGCGACCCCTGGCGCGGAGTTGTCACCAGGTTTGCTGCCCGCAACGCTAAGGTACGAAGAGACGGTGCATTATCGGCAGGAACTCGAGACAGCTAAGCGGGAGAATGAGGCTCTGAAGCGGCGGGTCAAGGAACTGGAGAAGATGGTTAGAGACAAACGGGAAAATGACATCATGAGAGACAGAAATGAAAGCGTGAGCACAACTGCCAGTGCTTTGAGTGTCAGTGGTGCCGGCGGCGTGGGCGGGGGCGGCACGGGGATCGCAGGAGGACGTCGAGACGTAGGAGGAGGTCGGCTAGCAGGCTTGGAAAGGGGTTTTAGTTCGGCAAGCGTTTCGGGCAGCATTGGAGTGGGTGTGCCCGACGAGGAGCTCAACGTTGGCGAGAGTGCTGCGAGCACAGGTGTAGGAACACAGCAGAATAAGCAGTAGGGGCCAGGTGGAAAATGTTACTCATTCATGGAGTGGCTGTAGTTGATTATGACCCGCATCTACTACGCCGCTATGGCCTCAAATAGACGATAGGACGACGTCATGAAAAGGTGATCGCATGGTGAATTTTCTTCGCCTGCGTCCGCGTACTTTAGGTGGAAAGCTATGAGAAACTTCACAGGTGATTCAGAGACAATCACATAAGATTTATGTCTACTTTCGTTACGTAAAGGCACTTGATCATAAGACGAGTTACGTCCAATTCACAGTACACAGGAATGGGATTCGTGGGAATTTGGGAATCAAACACACTTCGTTCTTGGGGTAATCAAACTAAAAGAACACCATGAATCGTCATAGAGGATTTCCTTTCTGCCTTTTCCTCGTCATTCATATTCCTGATACTTTATACCTTCTCCGAGCCAGGTTCCTTGGAAGGGACGGCATGACCAGTCGGGGCTATCGGGGTAGATTCGGTTGTGCCAGCTCCGGGGCCAGGAGGTGAAACACCGGCTGAAGAGATGTTGTTAGCAGTGCCGAGATTATAATGATACTGATCCGTCCAACAACAAGACCGAAATTAAAGATGCGAGTCCCTGCCAAAGTTCAAGCCTGCTTCTTTTTGTGGCAGTTGCCAGAGCCGTCACAGCTACACTTTCACTGATATCCCCCACAAATGCAGCCTTGACTTTTCTGACAAGCACACTTGCCCTTGGGGGCAGATGCACTTATTCGGATCGCCACCACAAGTACAGTTCCGCTTCTTGAGGCAGCCGACACTTTGGCAAGGGTCGCAGGTACACTTGTCCAAGTCACTGCAGCCACAGTTCCCCTTGCTCCCGTCTCCTGCGAACTCACTCTTCTCATTGAATTTCTTGGTTGTTGTTGGCTGCAAAGGAATATTTGTTTTATACTTACTGTTGTCGGTGGTACCAGCGCCGGATGTCGAAGTCGAGGTCTCAGCTGGCTTCTCCTTGCCGAATACTCTCTCCAAGCCCGAGGCCTTGTATGCGCTTCCTCCGTGTGATTCCTTCTTGAGATCGGCCAGACGACGTGCCTCAGTGTGGATGTCCTGAACCTGGCGCGAGCCATCTGTGTAGAAACGAACCAGCTTCTGGCCGGTGGGGGTGTTAGTCGCCTTCTCGAAGTAGGAGCTGAGGCCGGAGAACAACAAGTTGGCTCGTTGGGTAAGGCCATAGGACTGATCGGTGGCCTTGGCACGATCGGTGGCATGGTACTTCGAGTCGAGATTTTGCAGGGTCGTCATGAATCGACTCGTTACGCCGTGCGTCTGGTCAAGTTCAATACTGCGCTGGAGGGCAGCATCACCGATGACGTATCCGTGAGCCAGGTACTCAGCGAGGATGCGGCTGCGAGGCTTCTCTTCCTGAGTGATCTCATCGCTGTCACGATCGGTGGGATTGGTTGAGGGGGCCTCGTCACCAGTCTCTTCTGAGGTGACAGATATCTGGGTGCCTTCCAATTCCGTGTTGTTCAGAAGGGTTGCAGTTCTAGCAGCAGCATCTTTCTCGAATGTGATGGTAGCTTCCTTGGTCTTCTCATCGGTGGTAGTTTTGATGTCGGTGATCTTTCCGCAGAAGGAAAAGAAATCCTTGATAGCCTTTTCCTCGGTGGTGGCCGCGATGTTCTTAACGTGGACAATGGGAGCCATGATAGCGGATTGATTGATGGTTGTTTGGGGTGAAGTGTGAGTATCTTGTATGGTTCAGAGAGTTGGTGGGAAAAGAAATAGGATGTATGTGGACAGAGGTGAGGCCACGAGGAGACGCCGATTTTTATGAAGCGTGTCGAGATGAAACGGACCCGTTGCTTCCTAGCTTGCAGCCTCGGGTTGCTCCTGACCATTCTGACCTGACGCGTTGAGGGGCAATTTGAGCAGGTTGGCAGCTACGATGGTTGGGAGGCATCCAGACCCCCACGTACGTCATGCTTCGTGGCTTGTACCCTGGGCAATGCTGGAATAATGTGGCACACACGTTGTCCATGTATTTTTCAACGTCCGTTTATCCCGCAAAGCCCACCCTGAAACGGATAGCTTGGTCTCCGCTCAATTACCATATTCATCTTCAATATATTAAGACATGGAGCATATGTGACGAGGTGTGGCAATTATCGAACATGATTCCATCTATGGGCAACTGGCGCATACTATGTGGAGTACTTTGAAGTATACAATGCTACTATGACTCAACCCCTCTCATCGACTTTGTGGCTAGTGTGGCCAACATTGGGGCTGTGTCTCTGACAGGGATCTTGATGTCCAAGCTTGCTTGCATGGTGTGGCATGTCCAATGCGAGAGGGCAGTTGCACATACACCTGTCTGCAAATCTGACCACTCATCATTTTTGTTTCCCCAAATCAATGAAACCTCTGAATCTGAATCGATCAAATTCTCGCTTACATGTGATTTAAATTGACCAAAGCCATGCAGGTGGCGCTTCAGTCCGCTTATGCCACAAGCGGTGATGATTGGTCGTCTTCCCACAACCAAACTGCATGTGCAGGGCATAAGCATATTCTATATTTCCACGTGCAGGGATATCACGCATCGATACCAGAAGGGATAGCCATTGAGGCGAATGGGTCTGGGAACCTATCGGTTTTCAGCCAGATCACGAGCTCAATGTGAGGCTTAATTATTCTTAGGATTATTGGTGGCTGCCTGCCAGCTGGAGACTGAGCTGCTGCTTTCTTCATTCTCTAACTCGGCACAGAACGCCGGCAATTTACTACACCGTGTAAGTCAACCCGTCTTCACCGACAATCTTCTCCGCCAACATACCATGGCACTCACAGCATCGATTTGGCCGTCTTCGGTACATTTTGAACTGCAATGCGAGACAGATCAATACACCCAACCCAGCCAACCCCACACTCATCCATAGAGCGGCTCTGTAACCCATCAGCACAGCTGACACGGTCGAGACATGGCTGGCCACTTCTTTTTCAACTGTGCCCCCGATACCAATTCCCAAAGCTATGCTATAGTTGATTACCGCGCTGACCAGACCTCCTGCGACGCCTTGGTGTGTTTTGTCCATCGAGTTTGACACCAACATAATTGCTGCCGGGCAGGACATACTCACGGCCCAGGAGATGACGCACATACAAAGAAAAGTCTGTCCCCAATAAGGTTGATCCTCCGGTACCAGGGCAATGAGGCAAGTACCCACCACGAAGGCCAGCATAGATATTGTCAGGACAGCAGCAGGCCTGAGTTTGTCGAGCAACTGGCCTGCCGTAAGTGCCGCGAGGATGCCAATGGCAACGACGGGGCTGAACCATGCCGTAATAAGCAAAGGCGACAAACCTCGTATCACTTGCAAGAACTGCCAAGTGTAAAAGCCCCAGATGCCAAGGCAGGCCCAGCCGCAGGTCACAGCCCCGAGTATCAATGCCACATTGGCTGATAAGGCGTGAAGGGGGACGAGGGGATTGGGGACGGAGCAACGCTCGATGACCACGAAGAGTGTCATAAGGAGTAGCCCACCGATCAGCGCAATCCAGATGTCCAGCCTGGCCCAGCCTTCGATTGGAGCTTGGTTGAAGGCATAATTGATCAGCACCACCGAGGCAACACCTATGACCGCCCCTGGTATATCGAGATCGTCAATGACAGAACGTAACGTCCTAGGAGCTTTGCTTTCTGGCCAACTAGCAATGGAAAAGTAGCCAACGACCGCCACGGCACAGAGCACAAGAGCAAAGACCCAATACGCGATCGGCCACCATATCAATGCGAAGGCACTGCTGATACCTGCCCCGAGTATGAACCCGATGGAGGATGTCGCTGCGAGAATAGCGAGCACTGTCGACTTTCGTTTCTCAGCAGGATATGTGGTGCCAATCAACGCAATGCCATTGGCAAGGGACATTGCGGCCCCTGTACCCTGGAAAACTCGACCGCATGTGAAGAGCATCGTGTTCGAGAATATCGCCAGACCAGAAAGCGTGGCCCACAGAGCGGACCACACAAAGCCGGCGATGAATATGCGCTTGTGCCCAAAGACATCACCCAATCTACCTGCAATGAGGATGAATGTGCCAATGGCTAAACTGTAGCCAGCTACGGACCAATTCAGGGCTACTCCGTCGTTGGAACCGATGCTGTCCTCTACGTCTCGAAGAGTGGCCAGTGTCTGACCCAATCCAGCTTCTGTGACATACATCAGCTACAAAAGTCCACTTTCCACATGGATCATTACTTACGAGCGCATAGCTGGGCCATGCAGATTGTGGCAATAAAGCTCATCTCGCGGATCCGTGACGTGGTCTCTGCAACTGATATCACCGACAACCTGGACCGATCACGCGGCAGAGTGAAAGCCTTAGTCCCAGCGAGTTCCTCTTCAATCATCCATGTCCTCGACGACTTCGCTGGACGCGTCCGAGATGTATTGTAGGTCGCATCTTTTTCCGGAACTGGTGAGGGCAACAGAGCCGCCGGGATGCTGTGTAAGCCTCGGCTCGATCTCCGCGGGTTACTACCAGCGTTGGTGAGTTTCCAGTACGGACTAACGATTGGTACGGTATCTCGTTCGGCTTGGAGGGAGGCATCGCGGACCAGGCGGGCACGGGCTAGGAGTTCGCTAATATGCGGTTCTCTCTGCACTAACCGAGCTCTTCCTGTGTAAGCCAAGTAAGCTTGCGATAGCTGGGGCAGATATGTTTCATCGCTGCTTGAACTCCAGGTCGCGGATCGGCTGGGGGCCATGGTTTTGCCTGCCTAACTGATCCGGCAGCAGGTCTTGATATGCCGCAACATTCATCGCTGGGAGAAGTTCGCAATACGTAAAGCTATATACATCGGATAACTGGGAAGAAATGCGCCGGTTTCCCAATTCGTGGGGACGATCTGGCATTGCTTGCGGACTTCCGCTGGTGTGGGCGAATTTCCATGGACACTGATGCTCATCTTCAGGAGCCGTCATCATACCCGTGGCAGTATTGTCAATTCCCAATGCAAATTTGTTCTAGCTATTGTTTCATTCGTTTAAAAGCATTTCTAGTGAACTGAGCGAAGGAGTGGGAACATTTGCGACTCGACATGGCGAAAGCTATCTGAAGATTCAAGTGAATCTTACGGATCTTTGAGTCCGAAGAAGCACGACGGCTAGATGCCAAGGCATGCTTGTTCCTGAACTTAACTGCAATACTTGAGAGCTCTGGCCAATTGGCTGGGAAACTAGCTTGGCATGCTGACAGGTTAATGGCAAGCCACCACTGGCAGTACTAGATTTGATCCGCCAACTAACGGCGGAAGAATCCCATTACTTGTTGGACTCGCGAAAGCATCCGAAGTGAACAACTCTTAATCATCTACGTTACGGAATTTATATCAGATTTCCAACATGTCCAGCATAAACTCCGTTATTGGATTTGTCCGGCGGCGGGTAGTTGACGTTCAATCGATGGAGCACGGGCCGAACTTGAAGCATTTTGTCGTTAAGCAACCTATCCGAACATTGTAGGATTCCTTCTCCGGCGAGTTCCCCTGTCTTGATAAAGTTCGAATTGATATCGAAATTAGTTCCGGACCGCAAGCCTCTTAATTGGTGGAAGTAAGATCAATGTATCCCGTGGCGTGCCTTTCCTCGAAGCCTGTGCCCACCACACTACCAACCAACACTTTCAAAGCCACGCGCTTGTCGCGTCAAGAACCATTACCGAAATACCATCCTTTACCGACCTCAATGCCTGGACCCAAGGACGCCGGCACCCGCTTCGGGATGGCGCCCCACTCACGTTCACAGAACCGTTTTTGAACCTATCGGGAATCCAAAATGAAGAATCCCGAACTCATCCGCTGCTGTTGGTATCAACGCCGGATTCATTCTGGCTGCTGACTGACAACTGTACCGCATCACTAAATCAAGGGGCCGAACGTAATTTAGCGGAATGCAAGCTCATTGTGAGTATCAAAACGAATAAGATGAGGTGACATAGAAGCGCAACTGCAAGATGTCTAGCTGTTCAAGACTGGCTGAAGGCTACATTCCACGGCGTTATGATTAGCCACTGAAGCGGGCATCAAAGAAATTGCCGGGTGATAGGCAGGATAAGGCAAGTATGTAATTCTCTCGTCGATGTTGGGTTGCCATTGGTAGCATGGGGCACAGCTTCTAGGGGTAAAATCAAGGGAGTGATACATGTCTTTGGGGTGAGTAGATGATCGCTGAGGTGTTACAGTTTCGGCGGCTGGTCCCGGGGACCTGATGAACGCGTTCCTCCTGAATGAGCCTGATCTAGCTCACAATGTAAGCTACTTCGCCATAGAAAGTGATCATAACTTGGCACAGTCTTCTCCGATTGATTAGTTCATCGTCGTCAATCTAGTGGACTTGGATACAGAGATAGGTTAACAGAGGCTTTTAGCGTGTTTTGCGTAAGAGCGAACTACGGCTGAGAGTGGGGAAAAGCTGAATTTACGGGCCAAATCTTGCGAGCGGTACTATATTCCCAAGTTTACTGTGATCATGAGTTCAAATTCGAATCTGTAGTAGTTCACAATTTTGTATGCGCGTGCTGCCGTCAGAATATATGCTCTGGAAATACCGTTCGTATTCTGAAAATAACCAATAAAGTGATCATCTATGGGTAGGTATAAGGCAAACCGTGTCAACGTGATCACCGATCTTATAAATAGCCATAACGTCTTCTGAGGCATCCTTGGAATTTCGCAACTCATGTTTTCTGGAACATAGCACTGACCCTAACCATCAAAATGGCTTTCTTCCACAACTGAAATAACTTGTTCTTAACTCAGTCCCCAGCGTCCACTCCTTCAGCCAAAGTCCAGGTGTACGAATAAGCCAGCTTAGGGAGCGTGACCCACATCTCGATCCAGGTCAGGTCGACTCGGATGCACATGCGAGGCCTGATGCTGAAAGGCACAGACTATGGCTTCTGGTTGCCTTCGACTCAGCGCGCAGGCTCAAACACCTCGGGATCGTTCACATTTCGTGGGTTACGGTGGATGGACCAGATGTCGGCTGAAACATAGGTAACCGTGGGCACATAGACACCGTCGACCGTCTCGCCAGGACTGACACGGGGAGGTCCGACTGGAGATTTTGGGATAATACGCATTATCTACCTAAGGACGGCATTCAGCCACGATAGTTGAGATGCGACGTCTCAGGTAACGTTGTCGTACGCTTGAAACGTTGTGCGAATCTCGTCTTGTAATTTTCGCAGGCATTGTGCATTAACTGGGTAAGAGAGGAACCAGAAACTAGCCACGAGTGCTGTGGCTGTTGTATCTCCTCCAGCAGTGAGGAATCTGTAAAATAGCAAGTTAAGCGTCATCGAAAAAGAAGTTCCGCATTATTTGGCCAACACGTAGCCCTGGTGAGCAAGCTGCTGCTCATTCAGTTCTGCTCACTCAATGACAAGCGAAAGAGAGTCCTCTATCCCATCCGTATTTCTTATCTTGGTCGGTGCGCGAGTCTTTTCAAGCGTGAGATACTGATATTGCATAACGCTCCTGACCGCATCTCCGGTCGTCTTAGAAAGACGAGTTGCCCAGCGCATCATGGGTCCGATGAAAGCAAGACGCTTTTTGAAAGTGTATAATATCCTGCCACCGTAGATTGCGCGTGCAGGAGAGACCTAGAAGTGGGCCTCCACCTGCGGACGGGGTTGAACAACTCTCCGAATGTCGACTGGCATAATTTTCTTTTAATACTGGTTGGAAGTATTGTGGAGTATCGGAAACATACCGATCATGTCGAAAGCAAGCCGCTCGAGCCAAAGTGGAAAAGCAAGACTATTACCTTGGGATGCTCCCTGACGGTTGAGCTGAGAGATGAAGAGGTGCACTTACCATCCGAGACGTTACACAACCTGAAGGCCTATTTAGACACGGATTATTTGGTTTCCAGACGACGTACACATGGCAGCCCCCTGGCCATATCTGACATGACCGGAGTCGTACGCTCCAGTTCGCATTGGGTGCCTCTGGGATCGCAACAACTTCCGTAGCCTTCATCGCCATAGTACTCCTCGATCACACGTTGCTCTGAAGTCGATCCACGTAAACGACTGTAGGTTCTCCATGTATTGGAATATACTAGTTTGAAGCTAACTGTGTCAGATCTGGTCATCATCACCGTAGTGGATTATATTTTGTCCATGATTTCAATGATGATTTTATAGTATCTGCACTCGTCCGCGGGATGGACGAGATTATAGCATGAGTCTTTACAGTACGCATTTTCCTGAACACGATAGCTCCCACCCCATCTCAAACCAATACCTCTGATATTGTTTGCCGGGCGCATTGTTTGCTCTCTCACTTTACTCATGATGCCCCTCACAGACATCACTAACACTCTGGGCAGTGTGGGACGTGCTGTACACTCCTGGCCTGCGAATTGTAAGCACGCACGACTGAAACCCCAACATTTGTCGGATGGGATGCTGAAATAAATCCCGGGCCACCATAATCGCAACCTGTCTCTACTACCTAGCCATCACCTTCTCCAGACTGAGTACCCTAGCCTTCTACCTATGCATGTCCGCCGCCAAAACATGCTTTCAAACCATCGTATGCTTAGTAGCCATCAAACGCACCGTAATGATGGCAACTGGCGTCACGAGCTCCCCGGAATAGACCGGGAACATACGAGCTATATTCACGCGAGCAGAAGTTTGGGTCGCAGAGAGGGATGCCGACGACGCTTGATGAGCACGACGGAACGAGGCTTTGGAGTAAGGAGGAGTATTGGAGTAATCAGGCCAATGACCGGACGACGATCCTTCCTTTCAGGAGGCGCGATAATGACTATGGGAGTAGCCTGGATACGGACCGAAAGGCACGGCCGGGATGAGAGCTCGGGAGGGATAAAAACGATGAAGGAAATGCCGGTCGTGTATGAGGATTGGATGCACAGAAGCGATTTCTTGATTTCGTGGCTTTGGTAAGATGCCCGGTCGTTGACCATGTCGCTGCGAAGAGAAACCGCAGTTCGATAGTGATCATATTCATTCAGTTAAACATAACTAACAGTGGCATTACATTCATTGCCTCGTAATCATGGTTGTGATACATCCCTGCGTAAGCTCTTACTCGCAAGGATTAGTACAGATAATCCTCCCCAACGTATATAAAAAGGAGTCCATCGACCGATATGAGTTTTCCGTACCCGAAGCTATGATGGACCCTCATACCGCACACGGCGGCTCGTCTAACGACCTAGCAAACGATATCGTCCTCAGCCTAGTTTTCCTGCCATTATTATCCACGTCCTCCCCATCCGTCGTCTCGTTCTTGTCGGCCGAGTCACTCGCACTCAGCGTGAGTCCGCGTCGCAGGAACCCGGGACTAGGTGAGTCAACACTCATGGTGCTCTTTCGGGCATTGCCATTGCCCGCCGCGCTGCCTAGGATAGTGCTGTTGGCCGTACTGCCACCTCCGCTCCGACTGAAGAGGCTGAAGAAGTCTTGCAAGAACGAAGTCTCCAAATCCCGCGGTCTTCCATCCGAGGTCCAGTACCGCTCGTTACTCAGCTCCATGCTCAAATGGCGGCGGAAGAACCGATCTTGGTTAACCCACCAAGCCCGCCAGAGCACCACGATGAAAATGGTCAGGGGCAGGGTGAAGGCCCAGTACACCCAGAACAGCGGCATGATGACGGGCGAGGGCCAACCACTGGGCGCGTCTTCCGAGATGGCGGCATCGCCGGCAGTGCCCTTTTCCCAGTCGAACATGGACACGCCGAAGAGCGACGAGACGAACTCGCCGGGGAGGAATATGGCCGTGATGACTGCCAACGCCTTCATGGAAGAACTGTCCCGGGTCGAAGCCACGGCCATGCGGGCATTGAGATTGTTGTCCTCTTGGGCCATCTTGGAGTAGATGATGTCGATCTGAGCACGGCAACGCAGTTCCGACATGCGCCTGTCGGTTTCCAGGGAGGTGCAGAGTCGCCAGGTGCAGTCGAGATACTGTCGTACCTCGTGCCAGTGGTATCCAAGGACATCGAAGTGGTCATCTTCTTGGTCTTTGGACTCATCCTGCCCCTGTTCGGCCTGCTGCATCTTCTTCAAGCGTACTTCAAGCTCGTCGCCCGCCTGTATCAGCAGCTTGACTGCGCGCTCCATCCACCTCAGTGTGTCCAGGAGCTGAATGGCCTCTTTGAGTACGTCATGCGCCTCTTTCATGAGATGGATGGTCTGCGGGGGAACATAGTCATCGTCCAACTCCCTCTCATTATTGGTCGGCGAGTTGTCCGAGTTGCGCCTTCCCACCTTCTCCACCATGTTCTTGAAGGTGGATAGTCGCTTCAGCGGTCCGAATGGCCGCTCTCCGTTCCTGCTCGAGCTACGTTTTCGAAACTGGCGACCTTGGTTCCCAATAAGGTTATTGACATGAGCCTCGAGCGCGCAAACTTCGTCATTGTTCGAAACGACCTCTTCTTCGGTGCGCAAGAGTTGTACTTGCAGCAAGACAACAGGGAGGACCAGAGGATGCGCCCAGCGGGCACGGCAGGCGTCCAGCCTGTTCTCGTACTCGTCCAGAGCTTCTTCATCGTGCCAGCGCGTGTCGACGGAACGCCGGATCAACGCCGTGGTTGTGCGGTCGCGTAGATTGTAAGCCATGGAAAGAAAGTCGTATGGCGGTTGAGGGTTGGCGGAGAAGCTGAGCACGATATCTTGATGGGGGTGGGTCTATTAGTACCGCTAACTTGATTGGATGGATGGATGATCTCTTGCTGTCAGCCCACCTGAGGGCTTTGGGCATGGGGCGCGGCGGTTCACGACTCACACAACATGTCTCTTCGAGGGTTCCAGAACAAGGATTCTACAGTGATTCGCTGCATGGAAGAAAGTGTACCCGCATGCAGTCCTAGAGATTCATAGTCCTCGACGGTGAGGAACACTCCGTCTGGGGTGGTACTGAAGTGACCGGTATTTGGGCGAGGGCGACGATGGGCAATCACTTGCCGCACTCGGCCCTGCACATTCCCCTTGGGAGCTGGCACGAAGTTCCTTTCGTTGTCCAGTCCATATCCATACCGCACTGCGTCTCGGAACATTTGCAATGCCTCCTGGCCCTCTGTCATAGTGCTAGCAGTCTTGGGCTGTGCGACAGCGTCGCCCTCTGGCGGGGAGAAGACGGCATACTCATGGTACGACACCTTGCTCTCGCCCCCCTCGGCGAGCAACATATCCTTGACGAGCTCCCTTAGGTCGAAATGGAACAGGTTCAGCTCATGGAGCCGATGCCGCCGTCCTCCACTGGCGGCGCTGGGCGGATACGCATCGGCCACTGGCATGAGGCTGCCACGCCGCGTGCCGGGAGCCGTCAGGAGACTACGTTGACGAGTCACTGGGCTAGGACGTCTGCCGCCCCGTACTGGGTCGTTCGGATTTCCGGCCTGGCGAGCTGCTGAGCTCAAGCCCATTTCCGGTCCGTCGAAGTTGAAATTGTCGTCCATCAGGATGTTGCGTGCGGCAGCCCAAAAAGCCAGACAAATGCATACACAAGAAAGCAAAAAAATGACAAAAAGCAAACTTGAACCTCTCAATTTACTCACCGCCCTCCGTTTTCTGATGAAATCCAAACGACTCGAAAGCCACTCACCTACCTTAATCGTCACTCTTGGAATGAGCGAGATAGAAGGATTCTCACCGCCAAGCTCTGGGATTGTGCCGCTAGCCAAGCTGAGGGGTGGAGGGGCCAGGCTTGTTGGTGGACCCAGCTCCATGCCTCCGTGTACCGCTGATCCTGACCTACTCGCCACCTGCTAGCTGTCTGTAGAACCGGGCGGAGCAGGGTTGCCTGCATGTCACGCGAACACTTTCCTCCTCAGCTACAAAGCCTGGTCGCCTTGGTGGCAGGCAAGGGAGTTAGGCCACTGACATCATAGTGACCTCGAGCAGAAAATGACTTTGCTCTCGGCCGATGCTCTCACGAATTTGGAAGGCAAAATGCACGGCCTAGCAATAATTTGCGGCATGTGGACTAGTTCTGACTAGTAGACTCGAAACCGATGATGACTAGAGTATATATATGATGTATGTACATAGGAAGAGATATCTTGGCGGTTTAACCCTCTTCACCATACCGAACTGCTGGAATCTGTATTTTACAGCTTGATGAATGAACCTGTTGGGATGCTATACTTCAGAACATCAACTCGGTATGCACTTGAGTACTCCAATACGCCGAGGGCATCCGTATTTCAATCGGTTGCGCCCAGCTGTGGGGGTCAGACCTTGTCTGTTTCTGTCAGAGGAGTTTGGATTCGACCGGGATTGAGGAGTCAAGGACACTTTTGCGAAATGCATTGAACGTGCTTGTTACTTTGTACAAACATTATCGTGTCAATCCTAAGCATACACGAGACACGATTAGGTCTATACTATAGCTGTTGCATGCCCCAGGAATACCAGCTGGGTGCTGGGTGTAGCCCTTCCGTGGCTAAGTGCCATCACCATCGTCACCAATAGAAGCTCTCTTGCCTGTATTGCTCGCAATAGCTTTATTTAAGCCAAACCTCGAGTGAATATGTTGATTATAGGAGTCACCGTCCACGGTGAATCAAACAATCAGATCGCAAAAGTCATATGTAGCGCAAAATCTTTCGCCAACTCTTCTCCTCTTCAATTTCTCCCCGGTTCATATCCGACCAGTCCATTGCATCCCGGCTACTATCTCCAGCCTTTTTGACAAACATCGTCAACAAAACAAACTACAATGGCAACCCTTTCGTCCCGGGCCCGCGCCAGCGGAGTCCTACGCTCCCTCCTCAGTCAGGCCAGCGTATGGGCCATATCCATTTTCGCCATCGCCGCCAGCAGTGTCCTCCTTGGCATCGCAGTGGCCATGAACATCAAGAATCCCATCAAAGTCCCCGATTGCACCTCAAAACAACGAGATGATCCCCAATTCTGGCAGGTCATCACTCAACTGCTGCTCCATGTCCTTCTCGTCCTCTGCATCGTCGTCCCGGTCCTGCGTGACCACGAGAAATGGGTCAAAGTTCACCGGTTCCTGTTTTACACCTCCGTTGCGGTCAGCATCGTATCGGAGGTTCTGAGCCTCGTGCTTTACGGTACGATTTGCGGGAGTAATGGCTGGCTAGCTGGGTTTCTGTTGGATTGGGCTGCAAGAGTCACGGCAGCCGCGGCAGCGGCGCAACTTGCTGGTGGGATCAGAAGAGGATAGTAGGCGGAGGACAACAGCATGATAAGCTATGGGCCGAATCTTATGAATTACCAGTAATGTGTTCTCCGCTATCAAGCTTGGACGGACAATTCAGAAAAGGCCTGTTTATATAGACAATATTGGATTTCCCATCCGTATCTACTTGAAGCCATTGGGTTTTATGACTTGTATGTTGAGACTGTCTCGTGGTTTCCGGTCTTCTCGTTCTAGAGATAGGCCTTGCGCTCTGTAGACGAAGAACAAAATAGAGGTTTATGCGTTTTTAAGATTTAGCAACCCAAGTTAATACAATGATAGTGTCAAATATAAACCAAGTTATCAACAAGAAATGCCCTCAGGCACATTCATACAGCTCGCGCTGTTCAGCCCCCCTGTCACCTGAACATCTGTCCACGTCCAATCACTGCAACTCCCCTCTCCACACTCGATATACTTATTCGTCGCATTGTCGTTCACCGTGCCCGTGACATTCTGCAACACGAATCCCGTAATACTGACGCCATTCGTCGGCTCCCCATCAACACCATTGTACGACTGGTCCACGATAATGCCGTAGTCGGTGCCACCGCTCATGAAGATATTGCGGTACGTGATGTCCGCCACTGTACCATTTGCGCCCGAAATGCTCTTGATGCGCACCGACTGTTGCGACTTCTCCATGACGGTATCCGAAAACGTCACATTCTGCACCGCATTGTCGTTATCCTGCCCCCCTATCGAGCCAATTGAGAGCCCATGTCCTCCAGAGCAAAACCCCTTCGTAAATACAATATTCTGACCACTGTTAATCGCCACACAATCATCCTGGTTCCAGACTTTCGCGCCCGTGATGAGGACATTATTCGCGTTGTTGATGTTAAACCCATCGGTGTTCTTCCCCAGCGCATCACCCGTCGAGTCGTCGACGACAACATCCTTAACGAGTAGATTATTGACGTAATTGAGGCTGAAGGAGTTGCGGGGCGCGTTGCGGATGACAACGGAGTCGAGCATCGAGTTGTTCAGGTTGTTGGCCTTGAAGAACTTGGGTTTGGTCACGCCGCCGCTGTTGCCCATCCCGTCCCAGTACAGAGCGCCTTGGCCGTCGAGGGAGGACCCCGGAGCGCCGCGGACGGTGATGTTGTTGCCGCTTACAGAGAAGAGAGATCCGGACCATTCCGCGTACTCGAACGTGGTATTGCCCACGAATACGATCTCATCCTCGCATTAGTATTGGTTCGGAATTTAGAGCCTGGGGATAAATTTGCAACGAACATTGGTGCCGTCGTTAAGACCTTCCATGTCCAAAGTGATCCCTGCGGGTACTGTCAATGCCGACAGTACGATGGTCGCACAAGCTGTCTTAGATGCATTGGCTGACAAGTATCCATCCGATCCACTGAACGTGCATGATACCGACGTGTTGCCTCTCTTTATGACGGCATCTTCCAGTCTCGGGGCCGGGGTTGGCGCCGGAGCAGGGCCGGCAGAAACGCCGGAGGCCACCAGGAGCGCCGCAAGGAACGTTTCTAAGTGCTGCACCATATTTGCGTACGATAAACAAGACACTTCGACGCTATATTCTGATGTTGAAGAGGGACAAATCCTCCATTTAAGGAAAAATCTCTTCCTCAGGTCTTCTAAATTTCTGATTAATGAAAGGGGACTGTCTGTCGGGCCACTGTGGAGAATGACATGCCACTAGGGTAGAAGTCTAGGATACGTGGAAAATTCCCCACTATGCGGAGCCTTATGACCCGCTTGATCGGTGTATAGTGTCTGCGCAAGGATAGTCCCGGGTCGGCGCAATAGGTAGGGGACAAACCGCCCGGGTTAGTGGTATATAGACGTAGTATTCAGCTGCACTACGACCTATTATTATACTTGAGAGACCGCCTACCTCAACGGTACAGTGTTAAGCTCACCTACAGCTATACATTGACGACGGGCAGTGAAACCACCCGCAGGTTTAAGATGTAAGATGATGGCAACGGACAACAAGATCCTCAGCAAGACCTTACTATCCGGGAGGTGGAAAGAAATAACAAGATCAAGAGCTCTTGCCCTGATCAGAACAACAAGTACCTCAACAGGTACGAACAACTGGAGCCTCAGCAGGCTAGAGAAGGAAAGGAGCCTCAACAGGTCCTTGATCAATCACCTCAACAGGTGAAAGGCAGGAACAATGGCCTCAGCAAGCACAATCAGATCTATAGGGGCAACAAAAGTACCTCAGCAGGTACGTCAGACGTTGAATGCCTCTCCAAGTAAAGAGAAATTGGTTCAGATTACTGTGGAAAAGGCCGCTTGAATTCCTATCTTTTTCTCAAGAGAGTGACTATGTACACAAGGTCTTAAATACCCTTCAAGAACGCGCTTACATAACTCGTCCGAAATCGAAAAAAAAACGAAAAAACGAAAAGAACACCCAAAAACCCTAACCCCACGTCAACATAAACTTAACAAAATATATAACAATAACCCTATTTAGATTGAACCTATGAAAATATATTATTATTATTATTATTATTAAATACGCCGTAGGCTCGAAGCCCCCGGTACCTCTACTAGTACTCCCGTATGTCAAACCGTGCCCTAATGGCTGGACTAAATACATACGCTGCGTCGTCGGTTCGCCCTATTGGCGACTGCGTTGCGTTCACTACCATACTACGTTGGTTCTCAACCTACCAACAAAGTCCCCCCTGAGAAGATCGATGCTATCTGGGCCTTGAAGCTGTCCGACCCGTCCCTAGCAGCCATCTTACAATAGTCCCACTAACTACTGGTTCTCCTGTTGCCGTTGCGAGGTCTCTGCGAGAGTATAGTGGCCGTGGTGCGATGGCGGCCCGTAATCGTTCCCTCGGTCCTTCCAACAGCCCGCAAAAGAGGATTACGTGCTCTGCCGTCTCAGGGGCATCGCCACAGCGGCATAGCGGCGAGTACACGCCAAAAGCCCCTGTCTTGAATAAGAAGGCTGCTAGTCCTATTTTTTCCGTCCTGATCTGGCACAGCGTAGACGCCTCCAGTCGGTTCAGGCCGAAATACTTGCCCCCTTTCGGTATCTGCATCGAAGGGCCCTCCGGTTCCTCAGCGATAGCGCGTCGCTGGCGATCGTGATGCTCTGCTCCGGTGAGCCATCTCTTCCTCCAGTGGTCGAGGAGGGCAGCCGGGACCTCCTTTTCCTCACTCATCCACTCGGAGCCCCGGGCCTCCTTCTCCATAGTGTACCCTGCCGGTCGGAGTAGCTGCGACGCCTGCTTCCTCTTCGCCGGCCTATCCTGCCGGAGTATATGTGACGCTTTAGCGCTCGCGCTGCGAAGCAGATTTCTCTTCCCGCTAAGCCGTAGCCGTTCTTCAAACTTAGCAGCCCGGGCACTAAGATAGAGGTCTAGTGGCGGGATTGCTGCTTCTGCTTCCAGGTGGCGAACCGGCGTCGCTTTGTGGGCACCACAGACTACCCGGAGGCACTCGTTCTGTATCCCCATCAGGCTCTTAGCTGGCCCTGCCGGTTCCTCACTTATAGTATGCCACGCAGTCGCCCCGAAGGCAATCGCGCTACGGATAACCACCGTATATAACAGCCTCGCCCGTATAAGATCGCAGCCCCACGACATATTGACTAGCTTTGTCAGGGCGAGCTATAACATAACATCTCGTCCCTTTTTTAAAATACTTGTAGATTAGCCACAGAAAACAAGAGAAAATATAAAAATATCAAGAATAACGTATCCCACAAGCGATTCGCTACACTAAGCAAGTCACCACCTCTACCATACAAAAACCGGCCGTGCACGACCGTGCACTTTAGTAGGCTTGGTTTCGCGTGTGCTGACGACACGAGGGCGGCACTTGCTGTGTGAACGGATCAATGATACATACTCCTGCCGAATCCCGTTATTAATTGCGAGCTGGTGTATCTAGTTCGTCCGGTGTAACATTGCCATTCATATGATAATTCATGTAATCCCGCAAGCTATATGTCCCCCCATCGTACTCATGGAACTTTAAGTCTAGTAAACAAATAAATACGTAACGCTCGAACCTGCTCAGTGTAGTAAAATGAAGTAAACTCGAATCTGCTCGTCGTCATGAACTTACGGACAGTTGAGGGCCGAAGGGCCCATAGGTACACCAAAGCGATAGTGGGAGGCTGTGAACTAGTTAGTCCTAGTTCCGGACTTCTTCATAACCCATGTTCTGTGACAAAAGACTCATTCATGCACGCTGCCACGCGAAGCATCGCTCACATAACACCCGCGATCCCAACCGCAAGTTCAGCAGCAATCCCCACCATGGCCATCCCCGTACACCTCGCTGCCATCGCCCCGGCGGTGCTTGAACCTGTGCTCTCGCTCTCACTGCCACCCGTACTAGTCGCTGTCGCCTCGTTCTGCAAGCTTTCCTGCACGCTAATCGACGCCGCAACATAATCAAGAACAGCAGACTGCACCACCGTGGGCACAGCCTTAGTGTACCATGCCTCAGTACGACATCACCCAAATTGATGCCCGACAAGGCGATGGACTTGACCACCTCGTCGCCGCCGTTTTCTCCCGCGCTCCAGATATCGTTTGCGATGGTGCCGAGATTTTCGCGCGATGCGAGGGACGTTTCAACGCTATAGAGTGGGTATGCGGCACGGCACAGCAGCTGTCAGCTTGGAAGGTGCCAAGTGATGTGGATGCCGGATCGTGGCCGCATTGGTAAGATAGACGACATTCCAAGATGGCTATTACTCATCTCACGCTGTATTGCTGTTCTATGAGCATGGCCGTGAAAACGATAGGAAAAGGGTACCAGTGTATTGCGAATTCTCCTGAAGCTGTAAGGGATACCTTTTATGGTGTCGATTATACAAATTCTACAAATAAGTTACACCATTTCTAAGTATGGGACGATTGATTCAACTTGATGAATACAAATAGTTGAGATGAGTGAAGGTGATACGGCTCGAGCCCGCGGTATCCTCGCGCACATAGCCCAGCCAGGAACGCCAAGCCGAAGCCAAGTTACATTGCATAGCGTCCAGGTAAAACCATTGGCTAATGACAAGTTGGCACTTTCTACGCTCATCTATAATGAGGGGAATCTCCTGCAAGTTGCGTATAGATATTGAGCCAGAATACTTTCACCACGCCTGAAATACTAGTAAAGAGAAAGCTGCCTTTTCCGCTTTGGATCTTCATCTCTTCATGGTATCCAACTGCAAATTTCAAGCAAAAATATTCTCGAGCAAGCTGGTCGTCTTTCTGCTGAGTGGTGTGATATGTTTGCACTCTTGTCCGACCTATGCAGAGCCACTCACGTCAAACCGGTCTATTGAACCAGCCGCAACGGTTGTGCCCTATGATTCAGTAGCCGAGGCACCCAGGTTCGACTATGAATTAGTGCAACTGACCGAGGACGTTGTTGAGCGCATCGGCAAGGAAGAAGCTACAGCAGAATATGCAGACTTGTTCGCCTTTGACGATGGGCCTATTCTGCAGCCGGGTGAATGCAAGACCTTTCCAGGCGACGAAGGTTGGCCTGCAGATGCCAAGTGGGATATATTCAACGGCCTGCTGGGAAATGCACTCATTCCAACCACACCAGTGGCAGCGCCATGCTGCCCCAATTGGGGAATTGATGATAAGGAGAAGTGCAATGCGATCATTACCAATTTCGCCGATCCCGACTTGCAGTGGGTATATACCCGTTATTCCAAGCTGAGAACTCCATAATGACAAACGTTTTAAGCGAGCCAACTTCGAACATGTGGCCCATCTGGCAGGGTTGGACATGTCTACCAATAGACAGTCCCAACGGTAGCTGTACATTGGGAGGCTACCCGTCTTACGCAGTCAATATTAGCAATGTTGCTCAACTCCAGCTGGCCGTCAACTTTGCACGCAACTCCAACCTACGGCTCGTGATCAAGAATACCGGTCATTGTTATCTGGGCAAGTCGACTGGGGCTGGATCACTCAGTGTGTGGATGCACAATCTAAAGAACATCACATTCCTACCCGACTATCAGAGTTTCGAATACTCGGGAAAGGCACTTAAAGGTAGCGGCAGGGGTGGCGGTTAGGGAGGTGTACAAAGCGGCTCACCAACACGGTGTATCGGCACTTGGGGGTATTTGTGAAGTGAGCAATTTGGCTTTCACACTACTACGCTCAAGAAACTGACATTGCGCAGAGCGTGGGATTTGCTGGTGGCTACATAGCCGGGGGTGGCCACACACCCCTGTCCGGCCTCTGGGGCATGGCCGCCGACCATGTCATGGCTCTCGAAGTCGTCACAGCCGATGGCCGGTTTGTGACGGCAACCAACACGTCAAACCCCGACTTGTACTGGGCTCTTCGCGGGGGCGGCGGGAGCACATTTGGCATCGTCACGTCCGTCATCATCCGCGTGCACCCCCAAATCCCCATCACGACGTCCGTCTTCAACTTCACCACCTCAGCTACCGTCAGCAATGGCAAGGCGTCCGGGCCTACTTTGAACAGTTCATCCCCTTCACCGATGCCGGTACTTACTCTTGGTTCTGGGTTTACAGAGATGCCGGCGAGTATCAGTTCATAATGGAGCCCTTCGCTCCGAACCATACCGTCGAGTCGTTTAAGCAGACGGTGAAGCCATAGTTCGATCGACTAGAAGAGCTGGGCATTCCCTTTACGCCCAAAACAACGCACTATAACGCCTTCTACCCGGCTTACGATGACAATTGGAGAAGCGAGCACATCGGCTACTGGGACAACATGCAAGGAAACCGACTCTTCCCACGTGGAAATTGGATGGACCCGGCCAAGTTCAACGCGATCTTCGACGCAATACGTAGTCAGAGAAATATAGACGCAGGCTGAATGTTCGGAGGCTACCACCAAGCCCCGCGAAACCGGGCCAATGTTGATAATGCTGTGAGCTCGGCCTTTCGGAACGTCATTTCTTTCCTCATTACTGGCCACCCTGTCCCTGGTAATGCCACCCCTTCTCAGATGAGAGAGGCACAGCAGGATCTTGTAAACAACGTTTTGGGGCCCTGGCGTGAAGTGGCCCCGGCGAGCGAGTTTGGGGGTAGTTATCTGAACGAGGCGTATGTCATGGAGCCCAATTGGCAGGAGGACTTTTATGGCACGCAGTATCCCGAGTTATTAAGGATTAAACACAAGTGGGATCCTAAGGGGACGTTTTATGCCACTACTGCGGTTGGGAGTGAGGATTGCGAGGTTCCCACAAGCGAGCAGGGTGTGCAAACACAGAACGGCAGGTTGTGTCGGAGAAGGTCGTAAACTCGAGTGAAGTGCAGTAACATACGTCTTGGACATGTCATATTGACGAAGCGAACTCAATTAAATATGCTTTTCTATGTACGACATGGATTTATTGCTTACACATGATGTCTCGATGCAAAGCTTTCTTATGATTCCCCACGCCATCTATGAACCGATTTCCTAAACCAGTCGTCTTTCACTTATTTACTTCCTTTCCAGTCCTTGTAAAACAACTTCGCAGATGTAATGAATAGGATATTACCCTCGTTTAACGCTTATTATTACTGTTTATGCTTTAACTATGAGACGTTGTTGGTCCATGGACTGAATGGAAACGGTTTGCCGGATCTATCACTTAGATATTGAAGTGAAAGGGGCCAAGATAGCACTATAGAAAAGGTTGGAAAGCAAGCTGAGAGAGTGTCCAATGGTTGAAAACAGAAGCAATTTGACCAGCTTACAATGAGACTAGTTGAGATCATGGGGTTATGCTGACGCTGATCAAGGCACAGTTTTGACGGCGGAGTCTGAACACTGCCCGAGCTTAACCGGATTTGTTATGCTATTAATATAGTAACTAGGAAAGTTCTCCTAGATAGAAAAAAAGGCTGTTTCTCAAGATAAGAATAATAATTTATTGGACCAGCATTCAGCATCTAATCCCAAGTTGTCTACTTGATCTTGACAGCCAACTTAGCCAAACCGCTTAGGATTTCTGTCAACTGCTAACGCACGGCGGCTCATCGATACGAGTCCCGCCAAATGTGAACATATAAATTGTTTCAGCCCTTACCTTCCTGGGTAACACAGAGTTGAACAGCTCTCACTTCGCAACTGGATCCGCTGCAAGACACGTCGATAGCCCGGGGTACCTAGATACTAGAGTGCTTGTTATGGAAAGTAGCATTCAAAGCCAATCCCCGGCACTATTTATAACTCTGGGTGAGTTTCGTCTTGAGATATGTCGTCGAAATGCCGTGCGCATCATCCAATCTTACCCACATACACACGTACTATAGGCGTAAACAAGAGCAATACGACTAGTTAGACAAGTTCAATTCTGTCAATGAATGTTGTCGGACGCAACTTGTAATCCATATGGGGGGTTTTCGACCCTGAAGGCCAACTTCAGTGCATCGTGAAGTTGGCCTCGCCGAGGAGTTAAGATTGATACCGCATTCACTGCCACTCATGCAGGTATCTGTCCTATGGGACTTATGTAGTAATTGTTAGCCACGCTGATAGTCCATTCGCTGGCATACAGTCGTAACTAGGTCTGGAAAATGAGAATGGTGATTCATGACTCGGTCATAGACCAATCGACAGGCGAAACATACGCCAGAATTCATGCAATGGCCGTGTAGGCGTTGTTACGCCACGACATACAATGTGAAATACAGTCAGAGTGAGCTGGAAGGAATCATGAACTTTGTGGGAAGACTGTGACACGTGAAAGAGGAAGTTGCTCGGCAAGATTCCACAACTCTGGTGGTGCGCAAGTTGAAGTGGACATTCAGTGCAGCACGCTTGACGAATGGCTGGCTTCAGATATGGATTCTGTCATTTTGCGGAAGTCGGATTGCCAGGAACCGAGCTCACTCGTGAGTGAGCCGAATGCGCTAGCAAGAGCTCTGACCCGGGAACGAGCCAGGCCAGCCTATCTCTTATCGCGGTGATCAAACAGTAAAGTTTCAAGGTAAACTCCGTCTTGCTTCATCTAGCTTCATCCAGACTCTTCAGGAAGCCCTCGTCCGAAAGATGCCCCCAAGAAGTAGCCAATCAGGCTTATGCGCACTGAAGATGTTATAATAACCGCATCCGTCATCGTGGATCCAGATATCCCTGAAGCCTTGGTCACACCTGCTGCCAATGGCTGCTGGCTTGCTTGATGTAACCCAGTTTGAGGTCTGCAGCAGCTTCCCTGCGAAGTGCTTAGCGTCTTAGCTGCAGGTGGCGTGTCCTGTTATTTTTCTGTTGAGGCCTCGTCTGCCATGCCCAGGCGGAAGATCTGCAGTCTGTTTCTCTTTCTTCCTCTTCATATTCTCCAGTTGAGTCTTGCCCGCTTTCCATTCCAAGACCCATACGGCTCTTTCGAGTCAGGTCCACCCCGCAATCCCTCTGTCTTCGGCGCTAGTCGACTTTCTCTTGTTGACACCAGTAACCTCGTCAAGTCGACGTGCCCTCGTCTGCTATAGCATTGCACCTCGAGATCACCCATTGGTCGTTGTGTAGAGGTATTTTGTATGAGTCGAGTCACCCGTCTCGCGCCGCAGGAAGTTGAGAGCGAACCGTTTCGATCAATAAGCTGTCGAAACCACAGGCAATGGCAGCGACAGACACTTTTGGAGAGCTGGGACTCTCCATTATCGGCGTGGGAGCTCATTACCCACCCTATGGGCTCAAACCAGTCGAGGTCGAGAAATTGGGCGCGAAGCACTATCCTGAGTCGCCGGCGTAAGTTACTGCCCCAAGGAAATGAGGCCCAGTAACCACTTACCAAGTAGGCTGCCAGGATGATGAAAGTTCTATCGATCAACAGATACACCGGAATTGACACGCGCTCGAGTATTGGGACCTCGGACCACCCCCTCGTCAACCAAAAAGACGCCCCCACGATAGCCCAACTCCATAAAACCTTCATGTGCGATGGTGTGCCCTTGGCCGTGGAAGCGTCGAAGAAAGCAATAGCCGAAGCCCGAATAGACGTCTCCCAGATCACCCACGTCGTCGCAACGACCTGTACGGACAGCGCCAACCCCGGCTTCGATCACTACGTGGTAAAACAGCTGGGCATTTCACATCAGGTCGAAAAGGTGCTGCTCCACGGTGTTGGGTGTAGTGGTGGTCTGGCGATTCTCCGGACGGCAGCAAATCTCGCCCTGGGCCACACTGCGCGGCGGAAACCGGCAAGAATACTGTGCGTAGCTCTCGAAGTGAGCACCACCATGGTTCGCAGCGAAATGGACAGTATCAATGAGACGCAGGAGACACGGATAGGTGTGTGCTTGTTCTCTGACTGTGGCTCGGCTGTGGTGCTCAGCAATGGCGTTGGCCCGCAGACCGCACCACCGGTGTACGATCTTCTTGGCTGGGACCACAGCATAATACCCAATACAGAAGACAATCTCGGATTTGACGTGCATCCAAACGGGTGGAAGGTCATCCTCACCCCGCAAGTACCCAAGCTAGCGGCCGAATCCATGGCGCCCAGCTTTGCGAAGCTGGTCGGAAGCATACCAGAGTTGCCCCAGGAGTACCGCGATGCCGCAGATTTCGACTGGGCATTGCATCCTGGAGGTGCGACGATCCTTACCGGTGCTGAGCGAGCTTTGGGCATTTCTTCTCAGCATCTCCGGGCTAGCTATACGGTGTACATGGGCCATGGGAACTCGAGTTCTGCCACTATTTTCAGCGTCATGCACACGCTCCGCGGTAAGGATATGGACAACATCGCGCCTGAGGGCCGTGCCAAAGATTTCGTGGTCGGGTGTGCATTCGGGTACGTTTCCCCCTTTATTCCGTTTTCATTCCATTTTCCTATTCAAGATTTGGCTAACGCAAACGATGCAGGCCGGGAATCTCAGTAGAGATGTGTATTTTAAAGCGGAATATGGGAGCCCGCAGGATCAGCGGACTTATCACCCCGCCGGAAACGGATAGTGAGGGGAGTCGCAGCGGAGGCGAGGAAGAAGTCGATTGGGCCAATGCCGACCCGCTAGCTTCGATCCCCGAAAGTCTTGCGTCAGCAGAACCCCACGGGACAGTCAGCACGGGTTTGCCAACAGACGACAATTTCATCAATGAGGCATTGGCTAGTGTTGAGCTGGACTGATGCACAGCACCATCACTTGGTTTGCACTTAAAATGAGAATATGAGCCTAAGGCTAGTGCGTTAGCGCAACTTAGAAGTGTCAGGGTTTGGGACCCACTATGAGTGACACGACTGCAAGGTGGAAGGGGGTTCGTCTGCGGCTCTTGAGAAAGAGATCTTAAATGGTGGGCAATGTCAATCATCATGTTTTGAGCGGAGTTGGGCGAACGAGCTAGAGAAGAGTATCACATGATATACCAGTGTTCTTGTCTGAAGAAAGCAATAGACATATAATCGAGGCCTGTATATCACAATTGCAGTCACATTCGACTTCGTCCGTAACATCAATGTGTCGCGAGCAAGTCATGATGTCCAGTTCCTGTTCATGGCGTATTGGAATCCCAGTTGCAAGGAATTTGCTATCATACAGTCAATAGGGCATCAACATGTTTACGATGCCGTTGTGACGTTCTTTGAGTTCCTAGACTAACTCGGCTACTGTAAGCAGCTGCCCAAGTATATTCTTGTAGATTACTATTCTGATTCGGAAATTGCGCCCTGAACAACGGAGGCGTAGTAGCCACTCTCATATACAGAAATTACCTGCTGTTATTATTAATAATCTACACGCAGTTGGGCTCAGGGGCTGAATCTTGTAACTTCAGCAACTGAATTTTGAACCATAATGAAGAGGAATCGAACAGAGGAAAGGGGTACGAGCGAAAAGAGGCAAAATAAAAGCAAAAGGAAATACCCGATCCCAGATTTGAACCGGGGACCTAAGTAACTGTTTTGAAGGTTGTTTATGCTCGATGATTGGGTGTTATTTCCGATGATACGCAGCCCCATGGGCAATAGTATATTTACATGGCTAGTTAAACGCTTCGTAAGCCCATACCCCTGCACCCAGGTGCTAGTCCAGCGCCTACCCGTTCATGCAAACGATGCTTCCTGATCACTACCAAGCCTCTAGACCGGCTACTCTTCTGGAATATCCGAAACGGCCTAACACTGAATGACAGGAACATTACCCGGAGCATTATATGCCTTGCCTCCGTTGTCGGGCTGTCCCGTGAGGCCGTATATGTTGATCTGAGAACCAGAAAGTGGTTAGCGGCTTCTCTTTCTTTTCAAATTCTGGTTAGTCACTGACCACAATGCTTGGATCATTCGGCTGGTACGCCCCTGGGAAGCTGACAGTCGAGCTCGGCGAGAAGGATCCAGAGCCTGTAACCTGAAGCTGCGCGCAGGATATGTAGAATTGAGCACCCATGGGGCTCTTAGCAGAGTGCAAGGCGAGGATCTCGACGCGCATAAGGTATTGGCCGGAGGCGATGCAGCTCGGTCTGTCATAAGGTTAGCCTTGAAGACCCGGCTCAGGGTTGTAAGGGATCAGTGAGTTATGTCATCGGCAAAGGAATGTCGATAGAGCGAGCTGCCAGAGGATCCGTGCTTTACCTAGGATAGACAGTGTGTCGCGTGGAGGGTCTGCTGGTTGGGGATATGACCTACAGTTGGAAGTTAATCCACCCGTTCTGGGCAATCATATTGTCGACACCCCACTGCTTGGTGCCCGTGTTGAACGTGTCCTCCCAGACCTTGAACCACTTCTGACCCGTCTTGGAGGCTGAGACGGCATCGTCGACCTTAGCAAGCCACACCGTGATCGGACCCTTGTGGCTCTTGGCTATCGGGTTATCCGCGTCGCCTTGGAATTGCTGCAGTGACACTATTAGTAACTGAAGTCTCTCTGTCATTGAAGTCACGCCGAGGGAACTGCCTTGGTAACATTTCCCAAGGCAGCTTCGAAAAGTGGTATCCTTGGGAAAACAGGAACGACGTACCGCCCCACCAATGACATGCTGAGCCCAGAATCCGAGCTTATCTCCCGCGGCGACGTTGATCAGCTTGTTGGAGGTTGAGCCTTGTTTCTGACAGATGATGTCGGACGATGAGACATCGTAGACTGGGTTGTTATCGTTGGGAGCGCGAAGGCCGACAAGGGAGCCTTGATCGGCACCGTTGACTGTGACTTTCTGAGCCGCCGATTAGCCACGTGAAGTATTGATAGAAGAAGGGCAGGGTCAGCTTGCCTGGATGATACAGTGGGCCTCGGCGGAGAGACCAAAGGCCAATGCTGTCAACCAAGAAACCTTCATGATGCCGACAGGGTGTTTGTAAGTGGACAGCGCGTTTAGTTGTGGTTAGAGAGGATTGAGGCTGAGGTACTCAAAATGGACAATCACGTAGAAGTGTACCACTGCTACTTATATAGCCGAGGAGACTTGCGTAGAATAGTCAGGGGGTTGATGCATAATTGACACCTATCTAAATGCCGAACCCAAATGGTGTGAGGCATAGTGCAGCAGAAATTGGAAAGGACTACTGCCGCACTTGGATGCCCCCGTGACTTTCTTGCGCAGTGAGCCTCCATTTTGGGGGAGGCTTCATCTTCTGGGCTGACTTCGAATTGATCGGGGGCGGCCCGATTACAGATTTCAATATATATGAATGCCTTGGAGCCATTCGGGATTGTTTCGGATGATGTAGAGCGCAATAAGGACGGCTAATACCACGGAAATCTCTGGACCAGCCGTGAGCAGTGTTCTCTGCGTAGAAAGTCCTTTATGATTGGCCGACACGAGTCTCCGTTTTCCCAATAGAGTGAGATCGACCAGGATTCCGAAAAACATCGTGCTGATTGGAAGTGAGACACGGCACGGTTCATCTACGTCATATCAGAATCCGGGGTGCATGAATATTGCACGGGGACGAGGGCGGCTTTCTCCGGGACCAAGAGCACCTAGATGGTCGATTGTCATTTGACTTCAATGTCTCGATCATGCATTCTGGGCTTACTCTGATAACGTCCGATAGCATGATGGTCTTTCCACATCCTATACCTGACTCTGTGCAAGTTCAATGTCTCAGTCTGAGACCTAATGCGATATCGACGATCCGTATATAGAAATCGAGAATTAGGGATCAAGTTTCAAGAGTACCGGTCCACCTCGGTCCGTTCATGAATCGATTTTGACAACCCCGAGGCAGCCTGGTGATACCACGGAGCCAGAAATATTGGTTTTGCGAGGCCAAGAACTCCAAAAGCTGCTCTATCATGATTCCGATTTACTTAAGCCTTGGAAAAGGCTGAAGAATTCACTGTCCTCCGCATCGTTCGCTATAAGTTCTGATGCATTACTTTGTTTCTTTATAGCGGCTGGTGTCGTAGAAACGCAAAAGGAATACATATACTGAAGAAACTACTGTCTGCAAATTCCACCTGTTTGGTAGAGGACGAAGCATGTACAATTGCTGCTCGAGAAACCCTTACCCGCCCTGGGAACTCATTTCTCAAACGTAGAACCGTTATGTTGAAAAGGTCAACGAATTTGAACCTCTTCAAATACTATAACCGTACTGAACCATATGCGTCTGTCTAATTCACATCCTTGTACTCATCACCAATCCAATCCGACAGCCTTGAAGCTTCATTATCAAACCCCACCAACATCCGCCAAGCCATCCTAGAAGAAGCCGCGCACTGCGCCGCCAGCTGCACCTCGCCCAAAGCAGTGTACGCATCGCGAGCATGTCTGAGAGCATTGTCCACCTCAAATGCCGTGATGCCTGTCGGCGTAGTAGCGAAGATGTCCCAATTACCCTCCTTGGCAGCATTGACGAACCCAAAGTTCCGGATAACCTGCCAGGCACTCCTGATGGTCTTGGCGTGGTGCTTCAGATTGCGATATGCTTCGGTGAGCCACATGGTCGGCCAGACCAACATGAGCCTGGGCATGCTGCCGTAGATTTCATCCTCGTGCAGATCTTCGAGTTTGCGGGTCAGTTTCTCGATGGAACGGATGGTGGACTGCTGGATGAACAGCCCCGACTTCTTCTTCGTTTTCGAGATTATGATGTCAATCTCATGAAACGTTTGTTTTCTCCGCTCGTGGTTGGCCATGGGGGACTTGGCTTCTGCCAAACAGAGTTGGCACCCGCATTTGAAACTCCACTGGACGAACTGGTCGGTTCGCATAGTGTAGATGGCCTTGGGAGGCAGATAAACCTGGTAGATCTCCTCGCCTGCCTTGATGTTGTCGGTGGCTACTGCGATGAGCATGTCGCCAATGAAAGCACGAATCGAATTGGGGAAACAGGAGTGATTCTCAGCTGCGGCATGGAGCCACATCCCTCGTGCCATGCCACCTTTCTCCATGGTCCACCCCGGCTGCGCGGCCGTCAGACTGCTTGAAGGCGCCATGAAGCAATTTGTGCGTCTGATGGATTCAAGCAGGAAATTGTCGACGATTTCCACACCGTCGACGGTCGTACCCTCTAAACCCGACCTCTTGTATTTCCCGCCGTACAGCTCCAGTGTCCTGGCGTGCATCGAAGGGTTATTCACGCACTGCTCCACCATATTGGCGTAGAGAGCACTTCCGTTGTGTTGGACGTTGTACTCGTTGGGCATGCAAACCGCTTTCTCACAATAGAGCAATTCCCCAGCCTTGACGTCCTGTGCAGCAAACAAACCTCGTCCATGATGCTGTGAGGTGGATATTGTGGTTTTTTTGGTGAAACTTCCACAGTCCATGTGGACGTTCCCACGGTCTGCCTGCTCTCGCATGGAGGCGAAGTCGTATATCCCTTCTTCCTCCTCTCGAATTCTTGCAAGACATTTTTCGTATTCTTGCTTCACCCCCAGTGCGGCTGGGTTCTTATCCAACGCTGAAAGGAAATATTCTTTGCTTTCTTGGTATCGTTGAAGGGCGTAGGCTGACTTTCCAGCCACGAGGTAGGCTTTCCAATCGTGGGTATCACCATCCCGCGACTCCAATGCATCAGCCAAGGCGGCATCAAAACAGCTCAAATTGAGGTTCGTCCCGGCACGCTTGGCGAGTATGGTCCGTTTTAGCGAATCGTCTCCAGCGGTGATGGAATGCAGAGCTTTGGAGTAGCTGAACAGTTGTGAGCCACCAGATTCTTGACTATATCGGGAGAACGTCACATAACTGACCATCGTACGGCCTCAGGGAGGTTCTTCGCGATGAATGACCTGTCACCATCATGTAGCCACTGAGAGGACGTTTTACACGCACTCCCATTCGAACTAGGCCGAAATGCCGGAGGCACAAGTGTGTTATCCAGTTCCAATACAAGGATATCAGAAGGATGATCCACACAGATCATATAGTCGTCTTCTCCATTAAACTTGTAATAGGGCTCCTTGATGGCAATAGCTAATCCCTCGGGGATATCAGAGAGTATGGAAGCCTCACCCTGATTATAGATGGCAATCTTATCCGCGTAGCCCGTCTCGTCTTCGACGACCGCCACCGTACCAACCCCTGAAAAGGGGGCAGTCACAGACCTTACGACGAGGAACTTGTCCTCGTGGTGCATCTCGACCAGAAGGCCGTCGAGTAAAATCTATCGCATATCAGCAATGCAGCCTTCTGATCTAGGCTACTTGGATATTAAACCTTCTCAAGATCACGGATGGGTTTCGTAGAAGGTGGGTACGCCAGAGACAAAATCACTTTCTTGACTGGTCGAGGTCCGTTCTTCCCATCCTTGACCGATTTGCTGACGAATTCATTGTGCATCGCCAAAAGCTGTTCCCTAGTAGCATGTGCTGGCGGGCGCTTCCCGCTGAGCGCCGCTGCCTCCTTCAGGAATTCGAGGGATAATTGAGGGTCAAAGTCGAGCAAAATAGACTGCGACCCCTCCACCAACCCGGAGTCGATGCCCTGCATGACTTTTCCATCTGTTTCGTTCATGTTTTCAGCGTGTGTATAGGCAAGCAAGCGAATAATGCTAACTCCCAGTAGACGACATGATACGTTTTACAGACCATGCTGAAGACATATGACATCGCACTGGCAAAATCTGTCATTTTCGACTTTCAGCCGTCAACTATACCCGCTACATGCAGGCTTGGTCGTCTTTCCTTGTTAGCCTGCCGAGCCGGCTAATAAGTCGTATCCAACCCTGGTACCTGAATTTCCGGAACACATATGATCACAGATTGGGAAGTAATTTGTAATAAAACAGGGATGCTCATCGGGGCAGTGCTAGATCATATGGAGTATACACTCCGACTCCAATCCCAAATGGTCCCTGGTTACTTCTTTACGCGGAGACGATTTCGCTGCAACTCAAGCGAAACATGAATGCTTCACTCGGCCTCTTCTTTGTCCAGTCGACTGATGGCTTGTTTCCAATCTTTGTCGTTAGAGCGTGAGATACTGCTAAAAGCGATCGTCACAACTCCAATCGCTTTCCCTCCCGCACAATAATAAGCTCCACTGCATGTGCTACCAGTGACGTGTTTCAAGTATTTCCATTTACGCGGATACACATTGTGTGAGTCAGTTTTCAACCGGTCTACCTAAACATTTACTTGGCAATTTCCACCCTCGCGACTGTGATCCGAAGTCATCCGCGCAGGCTTGAAAGGTAAGAATAGTAAGTCCTGGAGATGGGAAGGTACGGCCAAGTGCAGGGCCGAACGCCTACTAAACCCCGCATTAAGCCAGAAGTAGCCATCAGGAGGAAGAAGAAAAAAACATCCTTTTTGGCCTTCATATAAGTCTCTGGGGATATTAGAAACCCTGCGGCCGGTGTTCGGGTGCTTCTCGGACCCTGAGTCCAGACAAATCCAGACTTATGCCGTGGAGCGTTAATCCTCTGTCCTCTGTCCCCCCACGCTTTCCGCCCATCGTCGCTCGACCTGCTGGTGTCACGTATAGGAATATCAAACAACACCTAGGTTTGGATCATCTTATCGTCATAGAGTTTACTACAACATCATTTTTATCTCTTCTCGCCGGTCAGGTTGTACTGCATTCTGTTGGAATGCACAAAACGCCTTGTTTTGGTCCCATATCCGACGTGCCTAGTTTTTGACTGTGGAGGCTTCGTGGCAGATATGACCCCACTCGTGCTTCAATGGCCCGGCAGCACATTATGCGCGCCTATGGTCGACGTTGCTTTTCTGGTGTCGAGTTGTGCAAGGCTCTGTTGCAGAACTGCTACTACCTTTCGTATAGGGAGGCTGCTTTGCGTCACTATAACCAAATCCTGATTGGCGCAGATTCAAACAAGACCATCCAAAAAAATCAGAAGCAGCATGGGCTCCCTAGGGTCGTTCCAATAAGCTGCTTACATTAAGCTTTCGCCAGTTTGCAGATCTTCAGGGTACCCTGGACAGTTATGCAGGGCCGAGCATGATCACAACAGACGCTCGGCTTTTATAACTTCCGCTTGACAATTTGTGGAAGATACTCATAATTATATAAGTCTAAACCTTGCCGTACCAGTAGGAAGGGATGACATGAGGTATTGAGACTTTAGACCCTACTTCTGACCAAATCTTTTCATCCAGACATTGACAATGGACGCCAGCTATGATGGGAATAAGACATCAAGTTTGGTCGATATAGAATATCTGGCCAGTGTCCTGTTAGAAGAAGCAACCGTCCTGACTTTCGTGGTCATCATCCTTGGAGTGCTCGCTCTGTCGAGACTATTCAATAACAGAAAGCTTGCCCAATTCCCTCTCATTGGCAAAGAGTACGGAAATTCAGAGCAGCGACGGAAGGCTTTCATCAAAGAGGCGAGCAAGCTCTACGAGAAGGGTAATAACATGTACAAAGACAAGCCATACCGTCTCACCACTCTAGATGGTAAGATAATCATTAAGGTTTTCCTCTCGCTTCTTGGCTCTCAATTCTCATCGATAGTAGGTGACCACATCGTCGTGCCGGTTTCTGCGTTGGAAGAACTGAGAAGACTTCCTGATGCGAAGGTGAACATTTCAAGGGTACTCAACAAGGTATTTCAGACAATATCCCTAAACCCAGTTATGCCCAGACCCGTCTAACAACGAGTTATGAACAGTCGATCGAAAGTAAGTACACCAATGGCACTAAAACCGACATTTCCGGGTTCGTAAATCGCATAGTCCGGGCCGACCTAACTCGGAGCCTTAACCGCATCAATCCGCGCCTCGCGCAAGAAGCTGAGCGGACGGTTGACTCCGCACTCGGCCCCTGCGAAGACTGGACCGAAGCCGTGATATACGAGAAGCTTTTGCGCGTCGTGGCCATCGTATCCGGCCGTATCTTCCTGGGTCCCGATCTCTGCCGGCGGGAAGAATACCTGAACTCAAGCATCAACTATACAGTCGACCTGTTCAGGGGCGTGCGCAAGCTGAAGCTGTGGAACGACTGGCTGCGACCCATCGGACAGTATTTCACGCCCGAGCTACACACTATCTCTGAACACCGGCGGAAAGCAAAGGAGTTCCTGCAGCCTATCATTCGCGAGAGGCGAGACATGATTCGGGAGGGGAAGGAGTTGCCGGATGATATGCTGCAGTGGATGATCAAGGACGCCGAGGACTACAGCCTGTCAGATGAGGATTTGGCCGAGGCACAGTTGGGTGTTAGTCTGGCGGCCATTCATACAACGACCATGGCGACGACCGATATCTTATACGAGCTTGCTATCCGGCCGGAGATTGTTGAGGAGATCCGGGGGGAGGTCCAGGACGTGTTGAAGGAGAACGACGGGGTGATTGGGACGCATGCGCTGTTCCAAATGAAGCTCCTCGACAGCGTGATGCGTGAGTCGCAAAGGATGAACCCTGTTGCCTTCTGTAAGTCACATCCTCTCCCGTATTTACTTACCCCTGACCACTTCTACTCACACCACACCTTCCACACAGCCCGTTTCAGACGCTACATCGACCAGCCCATCACCCTCAGCGACGGCACCCTCCTCCCTGCGGGCTCATTCATTGAAGCCGCCCATGGGTCCATCATCAGCAACCCAGCCCTGTACCCGGACCCGGAAACCTTTAACCCGTACCGGTTCCGCGACCTGCGGAATGCTTCGGTCCCCGATCCCATCAACTACCAGACCACTGAGCAGTACCAGTTTGTGACCGTCACCAAAGAAAACATGGGGTTCGGGTATGGACGCCATGCGTGTCCTGGGCGCTTTTTCGCAGCGAATGTGATGAAGTTGATTTTGGCAAGAATGCTGTTAATTTATGATATCAGGATGCCTGGTGGGGGGAAGGAGAGGTATGGGCCATTGATTCGTAAGTCACCATTTCGAAAGTGTTGCTTGATGCCATTGGGCGACGGCTCGTATGGAAGCATTGCTGACTTGTGTTGCAGAAGGCGCTAGCAGAAATCCAAACCCGAAGTACAAGATTGAAATCAGGAGGGTCAAGACAGTGGCCGGAAAGGATTAACCGGCTTTGACATGGGTATCCGGGGAAAAGGGGTAAGTGGCATTCAAATGATATTGGCTTCACCCAACGCAAGCCTGTTCCACACAGATAGAATCGGCTTCACGATGCTCTATTTTCTCGTCTCTGCGTTCCTCGCGAACCACAAATCCACGCCAGATATCGGTTGACCCTGCCCTGCCATCGGAGACCTATTTATATTCAAGGTTTCCATCTCCAAGCCGGATGCTTCCACTCGAGTGACTCTATCTCCTCTTGGCTCATTCCCTCCAGCTCCTGATCGATGTCCTTCCCATCGCGCCGCTTGTTGTCCCATTTCATCCAAAATAAAGTCAGCGTACTGAAGAGAAGAATCAGTGAAGCTGCCGCCAGATTGATTCCATTGCCGACATGGTAGTTGGGCGCATCCCACGCCAAATAGGACCAGGTGGCAATCAACCCTCCAACATTTCCACACATCACGTTCATCCCGATGGCCACGCTGCGCGATGTGTCGCTGACCACTTGCGCCGCGACCTGTGCGTTAGACAACGGGCCGATGGCGAACGTGCTACTGGTGAGCAAGAACGTGCCCGCGTAGCGGACCTTGGGATCCGTGGATGCAAGGAACATGATGTAACCCTGTGTGAGAGTGAGCCTGTAGTGTTCTGAAAGTACGAAAGAATCAGCAACTTACGACGATGACTAGCGGCGTGGACAGAACAAAGAAGATCTGCCGTCTATCCGTTTTCCAACTTAGGTATGGAATCAAAAGGGTGAAGAATGCGCCCACGACATAAGGTGGCACCGTGTAGAGCTGCTTCTGGACTGTCGTGGCAGTGGGGTAGATGGTAGCCACGATGGTGGGCGCGAAGAAGGCCAAGCCTTGCACGGTGATGTTGTTGAACATGAAGAGCCAGGCAGTTGCGAGTACCATGGGGTTGAAAATGCCGCGCTTGATCTTGTTGCCGTCGATTTTATCCAGGACTCGGGTTTGAGAGACGCGCTCCGACTTGACTCGTGCGATTGCAAGGTCCTTCTCCTCCTGGGTGAGCCATCGCGCAGTCTCAGGTCGGTCGGTGAGGGTGAAGAATGAGATGAGCGAGAGGCCGATCGTGATGATTCCTTCCACGGCGAAGATCATTCTCCACCGATGGAGCCCTCCGAAATGGGAAAGGCTTAGGATACCGGATGCGAGGAGACCGCCAAAGGCGCCTGCTAGGGGGGCCATGACAATGAAGAGGGCAAGCCGGAACGCCAACTCGGATCTCCGGTACCATCGCGAAAGATAATAACTTATCCCCGGCATCATACCCGCCTCGAAAACTCCCAAGATAAATCGCACGCCGCATGCTTGGCTCAGACTGTTGACGAAAGCTTCTGGTTGTTAGTGGATGCCGAGATGCAATGAAGCTAGGCGGGACTCGATGGGTTGGCCACATACCTGTCCCAAGTGATACGATTCCAAAGCAGAGTGAAATTATAGGGATGAACCAGCCGGGGCCAAGCCACTTGCAGGTGATGTTGGACGGGATTTCAAAGAGGATGTAGCTGATATAGAAGACCGACAGCAGGGTGTTGTAGTCAGTTCCGACCATGCCCAGATCCGTTTCGAGACCGGCCAGCCTCGCGTTTCCTGTGAAACCACGATGTCAGCAATTCGCCCCGTAACACGAGGAAGGGTGCGAGGCTCACCAACGTTGGCGCGATCGATGAAACAGAAGAGGTAGAGAAATGCCACCGTGGGGCAGACGTAGAGGTCCAGCTTCGTTCGAAGGCGGCTTTCGGCAGCCGGGTCGAACTGGACAAGGGAGACGCCATATCTGTTCAAATTGTCAGATTACGGGTGATTGTTCCCATCTCATAATCGGCGTGGTCTCACCTGTCTGTGGCGGCAAAGCCTCGCTCGGCTGCATTATGAATATGCTTCTCAGGATGAATGTTTTCGGCGCGCTCAGCCGTAGGCTTTTCGATCTCGGAAGACGCCATGTCGAGAGGCGGGAATGGTGCGATTGGGGTTATTGCTGACGAAGGAGACAAGAGTGAGCATGGGCGGGTTGTCCTATTGCCTGAAAGAAGAACCGAGAAGCGAAAACGGACAAAGTACAGCAGCGCACTGGAAGTCACCCGTAGGCTGAAGAGTGCATTCGTATTCGGCACTTCTTATTTACTTATTGAGTCGTCGTATAGAGTGAATTCGGCAGTTGCTAGTTACCCCAAATGAATGGGGTGCGAGAAGTGGAAGTGGAGCTGTGACGAAGAACCTGGAAAATGGCACTGCGTAATCTACACCCCCGGTCACCGACTCAAGCATCCCAACAAAGGACATCTGGGGATCTGTCCGGGTTGGATCATGATCCGTTTTTCTCTCCACTCCCGGGGAAGCAGAAAGGCGGGGTTGGCCATACCAAATCTCCGCAACGCATCCGCCCGCCTCCGCCCCCGCATCCCGTTTATCTACGATAAATGTGAATGATCAAGAAAGGCCCGAGTCGAGACTGGATCCGCCTTGGTTTGTTGCGCATCGTGTGCCTGTATTCATAGCGTGGCGACAGAATTGCCCAGCGACAGAATTGCCCAGCGGTATCCGTCAAGGGCAAGTAGGTCTGAATTGTCGTTCTCATTGACGCAAGGACTCTTTGCGTACGACATTAACCGCAATGTGATATGAATGGATTGAGAAAGCGGACCAAGCAACTGGACTGCGTAACTTGATAGTTAATACGAAACGTCATCTGTGTTGCGCTTGTTGACTTGGCTGGAATGGAGTGGGGCAAGCAGACTTATTACAGTTTGACTATGGCCTCGTTATGCCCAGGTCAGCCGGCGCACTTGAGCAGCTGACGGATGAATGTGTTATCACCTACATGTGCACTTACTTGCCGTTAGTACGCTTACCCGTGTGCTGGGTCCAACGCCACTGGACAATGAGTATCGGCTTCCTGATTCGCTAAACCCAATCAATCCAAGTGATGAACTCCCCACGTCGGCTGCGAATTCAGCGGTCTTGTCTCTTGGCCAATGTGCGAGTGGGTATTTGCGTTTACAAATCTCATCACCCCTAGCCAAAATGGATCTCATAGCATGGTAACCTTCTTTGCATGTAGCACCGGAGTTTTCATGGTCATACGGGATCGAATGAAATGGCTATGATTGGTCGCGCGGGCATCCGACACGCTTGATATTCAACGAGCTCACGTCAACGACTCGCGGTATTTCTGCCGAGCACTTTTCTGGTCCTAACATCTACCTTCAGGAACTCCAACTTGCAGAACAGCCCCGCTATCATAGCAATCACAGCATTGAACCGGCTAAAATATCAAAATTCGAAAGTAATTATCGTGTCAGCTGCTGGCCCCAATCACACACCCTCAGAGGGTTGTCCAGGTACGGCATATGTCAAGCTTTGCAACCCATGTGCGGGCTCGCTCGCACAGGTACCTGCATCTTCGTTCACGGCGTTGGCTGTTGGGTAACTAAGTCGAGGATCAACCACTCCCTCGTTTATGTCCTCACCCAAGTCCTCGCCTGCCATTTCACTCGAGCCCTCGCCCTCGCCCATATCCTGGTTCATGCTTTCACCCTCTGCCCCGTCCATCACAGCGAATGTGTCGCTCGTGAAAGACTTCGACTGCTTCTTCTCCCATTTTGGTTTAGGTGCCCACTCAAGCGCCTGGACATTCGGATGTCGTCGCAGCCAGTGTCCGACCCATTGTTTCCCCAAGCGCGTATCGCTGCCGTTCTTCTTCAGCACCTTATCTGCCAGCTCGTAGATTTGATCCTTGGTCGGTGGAACCCCCAACTCGCATTGAGCAGTCGCCCAGTCGGCCATCAGCTGCTCTTGCTTTAGTGTCAACCGTGCAATGTCGCCCTTCAACTCCTTAGGCGGCCGGCCGCGTACCCTCGAATTCAGGTTGCTTGGCGGCACGCCGAACTGCCTGGCCGCTTCCGACACCGATAAGCCTCCTTGCACGGCGACGATGGCTTGAGCCATCTCAGCTTCCGTCCATGTGAAGCGGGTGCCGATCTTGTTGCCTTGCTTGCCGGTTAGGGCGGGTAGCTTCGGGCATGATTCACCGAGCTTCTCGGCCAGTGTCGTCTTGGGTACATTGAAGGTGATGGAGGCCTTGCGCAGTGACATACCCTCCTCCTGGACAGCTCTTTTGGCGGCGGCGAAGTCGTCTGCGTTGTATGACTTGTATTTGATGCCGGCGCGGCGACTGCCCGTGAGATTGCGGGGCGTGTAGGGGGGTAGGTCCTGTGGGACTTGGTAGTCCACGTTCACCTCCGAGAGCCGTAAAGACATTGCCGTTCACGTCTTTCGGACTTATCCACGTACAATGCGAATAAGGACCGCTGTAAGAGCAACGGCCAAGAGGCTCAATGAAGTAGCAGTCTAGACTGCTTATGAGCACGATGGAGTGTGGATCTTGCTCTTGGGCACGAAATAAATCTGGTCATAGGCGTCTTATTTTCAGACTTTCAGATATCTGTGGTGGAAAATGATCTGGAAATCAGTGAGATCTTCGGCGGATCAATACCCCTCGATTCCGTTGTGGTTATGAGTAAACAGTGGTTTGTTACTGACGAACATCAGGAGCCCCCCGACTCGAGTCAAAATGTCGTGTCCAAAATTTCTCTCAAACGCACAGATCATATAATGATCCATGTCAGGCGCATCGACTGACTTGGGTACCCCACACCCCGGTAACTATCACTAGTGGTGAAAGTACTGTCCGTGCAGACTGCAAGTAGGAACTACGCTGGGCACATGCTCAACAAGCAATGGGAATAAATGGAAATTTCACGCATATACTCGCAGGTTGGTATGTGCGCAAGGCGCATAGATCAAGCATATGCCTGCCCTTTCATGACATCGCGACTTCGTTTTTCTTCTTCATAAGTTACATACACTGGCGGCATCTCTAGAGAATATGCTAACGTCAAGTAGCCGTGATATCGATACCGGCGGCGTGATCATGTGTGGTATCGGTTTATGGACCAGCCTTCCGTATGCTCAGCATATGCCAACATGATAGCACATACACTGATGTTGACAGCTTCGCCGCTATATTCGGAACAAATACATCGGCGCCCGTGAATGTCCTGTAGCAACTTACAGGACATATTAAAACACTATACAGTGACCAACCCCGTCCCCCTGGGGACTAACGCCACTATCGCTGAGACCGTCGCGGGCCAGAAGTATAAACTCCGCATACACCAAGCATTAGGTGCTGTACTAGGGCTGGAGAAATGCCCAATACGTCACGGGCCCTGGGTATGCCACACATATCCCTAGCATATGTGTAGCTGAGATCACCTAAGTATAATGTCTGCATATGCTGTGGGTGTACTAAGCTAATTCTTATTAGTCGCAACGATGCGCAATTCCCGCAGCGATTTGGAACTCGCTTCTATCGCGAAGTAAGTCCCCCATCCATATGTATGCTCCTTGCAGGCTACTCCAGCCTATGCTTTATGTTACTTACACAGTTTGGCCCAGCTTACTACCAAAAAGCGCCGGGCTAGTTGAATAACCTCTGGACACGCCCGAACCCCCGATCAAGAGCCTTTCTGACCTCAAATCGATCATTATCATCATCTTCTTGATGACTACCGTCTCCATTGTCCTCGTTGTCTCCGCCACCGGCCCCCATCTCACTAACAGAACCATGTCGAGATCCCTCGTCTTCAGGCCTCTCTCCCTCGCACTCGTCCTCTGAAAAGTTCCTACCTTCATCTTCGCCGCTGTTTTCATCATTCAATTTGGAATGCTTCGTTCCTTGCTGGTTGTTAATAATGTTGCGAAACACACCCGCAACCGCTTCATTCTCCGATTCTATGGCTACCTTCATCGCACTGACGATCATGGACACGCAATCAATCAAGATACCCAGGCTTTCTCTGTTCTTGTTCTTGAATGCCCACTGGAGAGCATTCTCGCCACTCTTGTTTGAATGCATAACATCAGCACCCTCCTCTGTCAAGAATCGAACGCACTGTTGATCGCCTCTCTGTGCCGCGACAATGAGCGCAGTGTCGCCATTACCATCGGCCAGATTGATGTCTGCATTAGCCAAGAGGAGAAGTCTCAAGGACTCTACGGGCAGACAAATGGCTGCATAGAGCAGTGGTGTTGCATTGTTAGGCCCACCAAACACGTTCACCTCTGCCCCAGCCTCGACCAGCAGTTTCACCATTCTGGCCTCTCCCCTGCTCGCTGCGGCAATGAGGGGACATGTGTCGGGTCGAGGCCTCAGGTTGGGGTTGGCATTTTTCTCGAGTAGGATATCAGCAATGTCGGGCTTGCAAGATTCACATGCTGCTTGCAAAGCGGTTCCCGGAGGGAAATACTGGCTTCGCGTACAGGCGTCTACGTAGGCACCCTGTGCAAGAAGTTCCTCCACGACTTCAAGGTGCCCTTCTGCGGCAGCTGTTTGCAATGCCCAGCCATGTTCAGAGTTGACGTCCGCCTCTTTCTCGAGAAGCATCCTGACAATTCGGATGGTCCCATCATGCGCTGCAGCTGTCAAAGCATTACCATACCTGAAAAGGCTAGTCGTCGGATCATCGAAAATGGACGGGGGTGCTGACATTTCACCCGTTGCGTTGGGATCAGCCTCGAACTCGTCTAACAGCAATTTGACCGTGGACTCTTTCTCACAGTCTGTTGCACGGTACAGGCATCATTCAAGACTGCCCCGGAGACAGAGCCATTCGTATATTGCCAGACTGCCTGTAACACCTTGTCTTGATTTTCATTGACATCGACGGCAGCAATGAAGAGTTTATCACAATCCAATCCTGCGCATTTGTCGAGGAGAATGTTGACGACACCCCAGTTTTCTTCTTCTGTTGCTGCCTCAAGCACCTTTTGAAAGCATTCTTGCGGATGCTCGTATGATAGTAGCTCCTTGAACACCTCCACCCCACCGGAGTTGGCCGCGGCGATGAGTGCCGTGCTGTATTCTTCGGGTCTCAATTTGTCCGCACATGCCTCAACTAGATATTTGAATATTTTCATATCGGCAAATTGCGCCGCCTCCAGGCGGAATGAAGCCTTCCCGGTTGATGGATAACTCGGCGCCGTTTTCAACCAGAATCTTCACGGCTTCGTGGTTACTTGAACAGATGGCGGCATTCACGACGGGCCCAATGTCGTCTTTCTTTGTGGTTGCATTTATGTCCGCTTTATGGTCGATAAGCTTTCTCATCGTTTTGACATTACCCTGGAAAGCCACCATGTGCAATGGGGTCTGTGTTCCTATCTCTACGCCGTCGTCGATGGGGGCACCGCAGTTAAGAAGCTCCTCGACGATGTCATCTCGTCCAAAGTAAGCCGCAAAGTGTAACTACCTTTATTAGAATTCGCAATCCAGAAACCGTTGCGATATTACTTACAGGTGTATTGCTTAGCTTGTCGCGCAGATGGAGTTCATTCTGGTGCCCACCTTTGATCAATTCAGCAACTAGGCGCGGAAACCCAATCGAAGCAGCGACGTGCAAGGCGGAGAGTTCCAAAATGTTAGATTCATAGTCAAAGGCGTTGAACCAGCTGGCAAAGTGCTCGTAAGCCTTGAGCCATCGACGATGGATCGGTGAGCCCTGTTTCCAGAAGTCCCCTTCTTCGACCAAGTCGGAAGCAATCTCTGCAGTGGCATGGCTGGCATGATCGAGCCAGTGCTTTACCATGTAGCCCAGAACGACACCCAGAATGGTTTCAAGCTCTGGGTCTGGCGGGCTTTCGTCCCCACTGGCGTCGGAGCTGTAACCGTTCGAGTACGAGTCATTGTCACCCTCATCAGCTTCGCTAGCGTTTAGATCCTCGTGTAGATTCTCGACATGGTCGGAAACAGGACTTGGACTGTCGCTCGCATCATTAACGTGGCCAGGGACCGTATTTGAACCGTGGACCGCATCTTCAGGGACACCTTGAGGGCTCGGAATATCTCGTTCGTCATCACCTGGCGCTGAAGCATCTAAAGTTTTGTTCTCGGACTCGGGAAAATTCAGCCGCTCGATCAAGTGCGAGAACGAACGGAATGCCAATACACCATGCTGTCACTTGGTCGCTTCTTTCGAAAGCCCGAGAAGCTGCTGGGCGTTCTCCAACAGATGGGTTTTCACGACAACGTTGATGAACGAAATCTTGAAAAAGCCTGTTCGATCGAAGCGCCTCATCGTGAGAAGAGGTTTGCATTTCTCCACCAGCTGACGTAGCTCGCTTCTCTATTGGGCGTTCGAGCACAATCCAGCCAAAACGCCAAGCTCAGGTTCTGTCGGGTCCTCGCTGGTTAGGACAAGAGCTCTCAACATTTCCTTGATCCTGTCCATATTCTGGTAATTCGATGCAAACACTTTTTTCCAGGCCCTCTCCAAAAGGAGGTTCAACTCCTGCGGCATAGCCTCCAAGATTCGCCTTACCTTGAGGTCATTCTCGTTCTGGGGCAGGCCGCCTAGTTAAACACAAGCAATGTCAGCCCACTGGGTGTTCTGCGCCCGTTTGTCGATCAGACTGTGGGCGAAGTATGAGACGGCCTTGGTGTACTTCTTCTCTTCCCGCAGATTCTTGACAGTCGTATAAGCGTATTTCAGTAGTTCGCGTTGAACCTGGTTGCCATATTTGGGATCTTCGAGATCGATCAGGCGTACACCATCCACCTTCAACGCGTTTTCGACACTGTGAAGTTCTCGGCTCGTGAATAGCCATCTGACAGGCGCCCGCTTCTGGTCCACGGTTTTCATGCTCGCCAGTTCCGTGTTGATGAGTTTCATCAGCTTTTTGGTTGAATCCGAATCTTCTGCAAGGGCATGTAGATTGTTGATAATGAAGTAGACCGGACGACCAATGAATTCGTCCCACAGCATCTCCTGAAGAGATTGCCACATATTGTCGACTGTCATCTTGGGTGCAGGTCTGGAGCTTTTGGCTTCTTCCTTGACGAAACCTTTTGCATACGAAACCAGAATCTCTTGCTTGTCGACCAATTGACTCAGTAAAGACTTGAGAAGATCCTCTGCTGTGGAACTGTCTCCGGTTGGCGTACAGAAGAAATATGCCAACAAGACAGGTTCTTGGCCCGTGGATTGTTGCTGCTCGCGCTTGATAGCAATTTAGATATCATCGATCGCCGCAATCGTGACACTAGTTTTACCTCTGCCTTCTGGGCCCCGAATCCACAAACAGTCAACGGCAAGGTCTTCGGCGAGCCACTCCTTGTACTCTTGTGCTTGGGCCAACCAGAACGACCGGGTGTACTCTTCGCGAAGAGCCTTGAGTTTTTTATGCACCTGAGCTGCGTCCAGGGTCGTCAAGACATCCTTGATGGTCTCTCTACTGATATTACGGGTGGAATTAAATCTGTTCTTCACAACCAAAGACGCGCCGTGGATGATTTTCTTCAAGGGATCCGGAACGAGCTGATACCGACCGTCCCTGGCACTATCGAACTCGACCGACTCCTGATGGGTGCAGGCAAGGCCCATTCCATCGACATCTTCGAGCGTCGCCGATTCGCGACTGACGAGCTCGGAAACGGTCTTTGGGACCGCCAATGAAAAGAAACTCGGGAGCTTAGCCTGCTTAGCGAAGTCGGTAGGTTGTTCTTCCCAGAAATAAAAGAGCTGTATCTTCTGACTCAGTTTCCCGGCGAGTCTTGCGAATTCATTCCGCAGCTCCGTCAGGCTTTCGTCGCCGGGCTTCATCATGTCGAGCAGCTTCGAAGGTATGGCCAAATCGAATCTCGCTCCGATGGTGGAGAGCATGTGTGCTGCTGCCGCGGCATGTGCTCCATGGAACGGCGTACCGAAGAAGATGCACCCCGCTATTGACTCAAACATGGTACCGCACCGATCTTGTCGCGAGTCTGTGAGTGTCACGGCTTTAGCGACAACTAGACCACCCATGCTGTGGGCAACGAAGACGATTGGCCTTCGTTCGCATCCCTCCCTCAGGGTATTCAGGCACGTGAGCAAGGTGGAGGCAATATTGTGCATGAATTGTTTGACTTGGAGTGGGCCCTTCCATGACGACTCGTACTGGTAAAGCAGCGCTCTTGCTTTGGTGAAGTCTCTGACGATCCCGTCCTGGTGCGAGATCCAGTTGAAGTCTCCCTTGTTGGATTTCCAACTAATCTCTGGGTCGGTCGCAAGCCCGGGCACGAACACGATGTCCACTTTGGCCGCGGAGGTTGGCACATAGAGTTCTTTGGTGTCTTGCTTGATATCTTCAAGCCTATGCCTTGGCCTGCTCGGGTCAGACGTACTCGGGCCAAGCTTCGATTCTCAAGCTGACATTCTGAAGCTGAATGAATTTGACTGAGGGTGGGAAATCAAACGATTGAGAAGCAAATCCGGTGATCAAAATGAGCGCGTGAGTTAACCAGCGAACTCCATGGGAGGATGACAGCCATTTTTATCATCACTCATTGTTCTGCTTTAGCACCACAGCTACCGCACTTATAAGGCTGGCCACCGAGTTGAGAAGGCTTTAGCCCCCAAGTTGACCCTGGTCAGCTGACATTCCCCCTGTTTGGGTTCAATAAGCGCTCTGTATGGGGTAGGGCGGCATTTTCGTTACATTGGACAAGAGTACGACGGGGCTTCGGTCAAATTGCTAACGTATTTCACCCCCATTCCGACACCCCTGTAAACCCTAACAATAACCACACCGCTATTTACATTATCCTTTTATTTCTCAACCACTTTTGCTTCAATTGACTTTATTCCAAGTATTCGATCTGATCTGCTATCAATGCCTTCATATACGGAAGAAGACCTCGCTGCCGCCGTTCTAGACGTCGCAAATGGTAAATCTGTGCGACGCGCTGGCCTGGATTGGGGTATACCAAGGACTACACTTATCGACAGACTTCAAGGCGCTGAATCAAGTCGAGCGTAGATATAGAGCGCCAGTTTAGGGAGTTCAATCGACTCCAACAAACTAACATGACTATACAACGCCAGCTATTTAGAAAGATGAAAAAAGGGTTTGATGAGAAGGATTATCTATTAGTAAGCGCAGAATTACAAATTGAGGGCTTGAAACAGCGATTGGAGCTTATGAAGCCACGGGAAAAAAAAAGAAGGTGCAAATAAGTCCAAACGCGAAATTCGCAAGGATTGAGGACGTACGGCGGATGAGGGAAGTATCTAATGAAGCTCTTATTGATGATTCGGGTTCAGAAATATCTAATGTATCTACTGTCGAAAGCGATTGTATACTTGTTCAGAATTGAATTTGTGGTGGTTGTTTGAAATTGCATTGTTATTCGTGGTGTTTTGTTTTATAGGGTGTCGGAATGGGGGTGAAATACGTTATGTGCAACCCAAAATTTGACACAAGTAACTAGGTGCGGTCGCAAAAGACTTCTTGGGCTTCCCATAGGCCTCAATAATAATCACAATATCTAGTGAGCCAACCTCAACCCCTTCCAGAGTCGGCAACTGCTTGCTTGTTCCTCCCTGCTTTGTACCAGGTCCTGACGCAGAGTTCTACCGAGATCCCAGCCCTTCAGAAAGTGCAGCTTGAGCTGAAAAATCTCGCATAGGCCGCGGTATATACCAATCTGTTCCTTGCAATCGAACTGTGACTCTCTTCTCCCAGACATATATCCCAATCAATCATCTGATTGATTATGGAGGCGCTCGCTCTCCCCTTCAGCGTCAAGGTGCTCGCGGACGGCGCGTCGGATGGTACACAAAGCGTAAAACATGACTTTCGGTCGCTTCTTCCAGCGGCAACCCGCACGAAGAAAGACCACATAATTGTACCACAGGCCGACATCGAATTCCTTGAAGGTGAACTTCTCGTCACGCGATTGAACAATATCCAAAAGTGGCTTTGGTTATGTGGGCGTCCCATGCCACCGAGACCACTTCATCGCCAAGTAGTCTTATCCCGCAATATCACAGTTTCCGAGGAGATAGAACTGCATCTAGTGTGGCATAAATACCGCATTTTCATCAAGCCACTACCGCCTTACCCGCTGGATCCGGATTTCTGGGCATCACACCTGCTCGCTTCGGGGACGAAGTCAGACGGACGGTCAAAACAAGTCGCAGAGTGCGCGCTTGGCTTCTTGTTCTCCTATACCGCTTTGATCTGATACCCAAGCGACTTCCACATCGCAAAAGACAACGGCCTGCTCCCAGAGGCCGTCTCATGGGAAGGTTGGAAAACGCTCTCGGCGCAGTTTTTGCAGCACTATTCGTACACCTCAGAAAATCCGCGGCACTGTTACGGCGAGCTGCGCCTTTCTTGGCTGAACAAGGTGTACAGGTTTACTCAGGGGTCAATGCTGCGTGGATACTCCCAAGTTGCCGCGCACAAGTTCTACATCGACCTGATCAAGGACAACTTCAGAGTGTTGGCGGCGGTACTGGGTTACGTCGCCATTGTGTTGACGTCTACGCAGGTTGGACTGGCGACGGAGGAATTGCAGGCCAATAAGGCGTTTCAGAGGGCTAGTTATGGGTTCACGGTTTTCTCGATCGTGGCTCCGTTGATTGTGGCAGTGGGGATACTGCTTATGGTTTTGGTGCCGTTTTTCGTCAATTGGCGAGCTACGAAGATATATGAGAGGTTAAGGTTTAGGGAAATGGGGGTTCTGTGAATTTGGTCGTATTCCCAGGAATGGCACATAATCAATGTAACTGAAAAGGGGTAAGGCAAGCAAAGAATAGGATAAACGATGCATAAAGGTGGAATATTGTCAGGTGCAAATAAGCCACAGTGGCTTGGCCTGGACAGGGGTCGGAAATGTATAACTAGGCTGTTGTGACCCCTCTTCTTTTAGAGAGGGCAGCGATTAACTTGTCGTTATTGAGTCCCCTATACTACGCTATTGGTACCTACCTGGTGACTGGCAGCTTGTTTCGCTTGAGCACTCTCGTCCTTCACTTTGCACTTGAAATCCCGTGACAAATATTATGGAGTAACCCGATATTACAGTTAGGTAAATAGACGTGACTTGAATATTCAGCCTGAGTGCGCCGTTGATTCTGCCATCGGCTGGGGTTACAGGCATAATGGTAAGACGTTTTTAGTCAATCATTATCAAAATATCTGGCTTGAAGGTCTACAGGAAGAGTACGCAGAAACGAATTACGGCAACCAATGAAGCATGAGAATAGTACAATCTAGACTCTCAGTTGATTTAACCCTTCAGCTCAATATTTCTCCATAAGCTTCGTAACCACCCCTAATTACATCTACCACACCGATTCTAAACCATTGACACCAACGGGCCGCTCGCCAAGTGTGGTGATCCTGAATCCATGGCGCAGTCCCTCCTCAGGATTGTGCACATCGTAGTCAGAGATGGCAGTGTGAGCCGTCACTCGGTTGTCCCACAAAGACACCGTCTGGTCGTCCCACTTGACACGGACCTGAGCATCCTGGCTCGCGGATATGTGCTGGGTACAGTTAGCAATGTATGCTATGGCTGGATTCAAGACATCCACCTTGAAAAGTAGTTGCAGAAGAGCTTCTGACTCCTCGTCTTTGAGTCCCACTATCCGCTTCGTGAAGCCGGGGTTGACAAAGAGTGCCTTTTGGCCAGTGACCTGCGTAATTTTAGCATACTTGGACAGGGGCGATCATGAGTATGTAAACATACATGATGCACCCGAACAACGGGATGATCCGACTTGACCGGCTCGCGACGAATGAATTTGCCATCGCCCTTCGCATTATCAGCCTGTGGGTATCCACTGTGCTCAGCACGCAAGCCCTCCAGGAATGCCTTGAATGGCTCCGAGAGGCGCTCATACGCTACGACCTGAGACACCCATGCGGTATCACCACCGGTGGAAGGAACTGACAATAGCGTCAGGATAGTGATACCGGGAGGCTGGTGCTCATAAGAGACATCAGAATGGTACCCTGTGGTGGTCAACTTGGTAGACTTGCGCTGGTTTCTGTACAAGTTGTCTGGGCCAAGATAGATGTTGTGGAACTCAAGTGCACCCTCCACGTGAGCACCGACGGGCTACCATCATCTGTTAGCTTCAATTTGTGCAGTGAAAGGCTTCCAGTTTGCGAACATGCACATGAAGACGACCAAAGTACTGGCCAAACTCTTTTTGCTTCTCGATACCGATGTCCTTGAAGTTTTGACCCCTGAATACCACGACGCCTCGCTCGGCAATCAGCAACGCGAGCTCATCTTTCTGTTCGTCTGTCAACTCAGACAGCTGCAGACCCGTGATCTCGGTGCCAACACGCGGAGTGAGCCGTGAGATGACGACTTTGGGATCCTTTAGTCCCAGAAGATGAGGTTTGGCTTTGTCCGCTTGGAGACCGCGGTCTTTGAACTCGAAGAGTTCCGTGGCAGGAAACTTAGTCGTCTCATCGTAGACTGGCAAATACTGGCTATATTCGTACTGTAGATCATTTTAGTGATGTTGTCTAGTTTTGAGGTCGCGAGTCCTTACTGTAGCATGTTGAGTAGTGTCATACGCTCGCTGGAGCTTCAGCTCAGACTGTTTGTTCAACTCATGGGTGTCGGGGGACTCTGCGGAGACTTCTGAGGGCGCCATTGTGGTTTATCTTCCTGTCGGTGCAATGGTTATATTTTCAAATCGTACTAATCCCATGTATTTGGCTTTCGTCAGCTCGATAGAGGTTCGGGCTTTCATGTAGTGTCTTGAATTCAACCCCGCATATTGCTCATCGGCCTTCAGTATGATGCGATCAGCTATATCATGAGACTGCGAATCTGTGGGGACAAAAACTATGAAACTTGACCTTGTCATCACGCAAGTTTCTAGTCCAGTCATTGGTGCTTCTTGACCATTGTGATATTATGTCAAGTAGTGAGTGGTACAGACGCGAATTGTGGATGCGAACTAGTTCGCAAGTTCTAGCAATGACTTCTGCGAACGTCTCTTCGGATATTGGGCCATACACCGAAATTATCAGACTCTTATACTTGGATAACACACGCTGTTTATCCGTCATGTCTCAGTTCTGCACTATTCAGTGTCTCGACTAGCTGCATGAATTGGTACAGTGCTTGAGAGCACAAACATTCAGGATTGCATGACGGCATGTATCATAGATGAGTTCCCAAGTTTTCTAGCGTCTGTAAGGCAATTTCCTACGTATATACACTAATATTTTCATCGACCATCAACAACTATGGAATAAACTCCCAGGAAAGCTCTTACGCGTGTTTTAACCGCTGGTCATCAGAGAGACCAGGAATACTCTGCATCAACACGCGCCACGATAATGGCCTAACGCAGGAGGCTTCAATGTTCGTGGGTTACCAGTCGATTCGAACAAGTAATACCGGCGCGTCCGATTCCACGGTTCTAGGGGCTAATTCGGCCGATGTGATAGGGTATCTTCAGCGACAAGTACGCGTTATAAAACGCTACTCATTCCAGCGGCGGCTAGCTTTCATTCCTAGCACCTTTCTAGCAAGATAACGCTAGAATTCACATATGTAATACTACCACAGAATGGCTAAAACTTCACGGCCCACAGTCCTAACCAGTCGCTAATCGAGCATATATGTCACTATATGAAGGCGTATAGAAAGCACCCTTATGTACACCTTAAGAAGGTTAACGAAGCTGACAGGCAGACCATTATTGATGAACTGATCGACTCGGTACCAAATCGCGTGCATGAGCTACATCGCGTACGTATTTCGTACATATCTTATTACATAGGATAAATAGAGCATCAAGATGCATCTGTTATGATTAAATTTGGCTAAGAAATGGATGCTTAACTGAATCGGCAACTATGTTGTTGAATGTTGGTCTCCGACATGGGCCGAATGTATGCCGGACTTTTTGACAGTGATTTGGCAATAAATGAAATACATTTTGCTTTGAAAGAAATCGGGTCTCATGAAATCATTACAGTGTCATGTTACTGACCAGTTGGTGCACACATCATGACATACATCGCTCAATGAGACGGACAGTTCATTCGTCAACAGATTTTAAGCAATTTGCGTCACCCTTAAGCTGAATCCGGTGTTGATATGATTTTCTTTCCTTAAGGTACGGTTAATCTAACGTCTGTCTGCAAAACGATTCCCTGGTCTGACCTTGCATATGTGGATGGATGATTGTCGTGCCGCAGCTTGTACCGGTGTTATACAGCCGCTCAGCCTACTGATTTGAAATCGCCAACGCAAGGGCTATGCCGATGGCGTGGAATGGCGGATACCGACACAATGCTTTGATATGTATCAACAGCTCTTGATATGTTCTTTTCCAAGCGACCGTACTCATGTTACTGCACGACAAAGGACGCATAAGCCTGCGGTTGTTTGTTCTAATCACGGATACGACACTCTTGGTCAATGAGAGGAATGACTACAGAGGCGCGGCGCTTTATACCAACACCAGGCGGATGTGAAACTAGAATAAATTTGGTAATATTTATTATACAACATCTTTCTAAAGTATACACAACGTCCGAGAAACCTGACGTAGTTCCGATATCCATGTTCAAAGTTACTTCCACATCTATTCGAGCGATTCTACTGATTGTGACCCAATAGAATCGAGCCAATGCCTCGGCAGACAATTGTCATGTGCATGTTGCCATAGAATCACAAATTAATGGCTAAGAGCGCCCGCATAGAAGCTCGAGGCTATCCAGTGTCTCGCCGCCGTCTTGGGTCCATAGCAGATGTAACGTCCAAAACAGCATCGACATTCATTATCATTCGTAGTTCAGAAAGCATCGTTTTCCGTTTCACAACAGAAACCCCAAGCCCAACCAAAACATGTAAGCCTCCTTCTTCAGGGAAGATTTCAATTATGGCCTTGACTAGCAGTTTTTTCTCAAACCAACACCGTGGCCTTCCCGTTTCCTTTACTGCTTTCTCTTCCTTGACTCCTTTCGTTTCACCATCGTCATGCATTGGGCGATATTATCATGTTCCCACGGCCATAGCGTCCCAACACAGCCGAGTCTCATCTCTGCGACATGATATTGTTGTCAACAGCATTCATAGCACACAGACGGGTCCGATTCCCATGTCTTCGGAAAACACCGTCATCCGCAACATCGAGCTAGACACCCTCGCAAACCCATGCCCGAGACAATATCCCCAAGAACACCATCATTGGCATCGTCTTCGAAATCTTCGGGTTCCTGTTCTGGCCCTATGGGCGCCACCGCCATCCACCCCTTGCAGAAGATAACGAAGTCCAACAGACCTCCACCCCTTTCTTACGACAAAAAGGCGCAGATACTAGGCAGGAAATTCCTGGCAAAGTGAGCTGCGTGGCTACTCGACGGCTCTTCACAAACTAGATGGCCCATATACTACTATGTATGGAAACATTCGCTGGGTGACACCTGTAGAGCTGAGCTGAATACCTCACAGGCCTCCCCGACACAATGGCTGGGAAACACGAGGATGGTTGAGTTGGGCACTTCTTCACCGCCTATGACGGCAGGCGAACAACGACTGAAAATGCCTGATGATTGGCTCGGTGAGGCTTCAGTGTCTAAGGAAGCACAAGGCGAACACAGGAAAAGGGGTTCAGAACGCTGGCTCTGGAGGTGCCGAGATTGAAGGGGGCGCAGAAAAGTGTGAGACAAACGCATGGACAAAGCGGAGCTGTTGAAGGTGGAGGATACGCGGGAGCTGGAAACTTCCATATGGTCGAGCACATCTCATAGTGGACTATTTTCTTGGAACGAAGTCTAAACTAGATATTGTCAGAAGCGGGACGTCAGGGTTGATTCGGGATATAATGCTCCGTGCTTGAAAACATCCTGGTTGCCTTAGATGTGGTTGGTTGTGCGTGACGTACCGAGAGTTTCGACGAATTTCATTACGCTCTTCATAGAATGCAATGCCGCGTTCTTCCCTTGTCTCTATATGCGCATTTTTAATACCACAAATCCTGTACAAGATACACTATACACGCTGTAAACTCCACCTTCAACGCCCAAGAATTGTCTTGTTCGCCTGGCACTATCCGAGCTGTCAACAGCCAAACCTCAATGCGAGTCCATTTCAACTTCTAAACCCTCCTGCCCCAGAACTTTATGCAACTCCAGCAGCCTTGCCCAAGCTTCCGCTTCCCCGGCTGCTGAAGATGCTCATAATGCCAAATCCAACATAGAACAATGCCAACGGGTATGCAACCAGTCCCCTCATGCCCCGCATTCGGCCGACGGCACAGAACATACCACTGGCGCTCGTAGTGCACCACAAAATAGCGGCACTTGTCAATACATATCCGATCGGCGTGTCCATTGGCATGACGATGCCCACCAAACTCGTCAAGACCATCGGGAGCAGACAGTAGCCCAACACACTCGCACTTCTCGGGAAAGTTAGAGTGCTGCTTAAGTGGCCCTTTCCATCGACACCGCCGGCGCCTCCAGGTCCAGTATACCCCGCGTTGGACGAGTAAGAAGGCCCGGCGTGGGACGTTGTCGGCGAGTTGGGGCCGCCGTCGGGCGACATGAGGGAGAGGATGAGGTGCAGGCCGATGGAGCCCATCAGGGCGAGCCCATAGATATAGCCAAAGTGCACCTTGCCGCTGAAGAGCAAGAAGAAGCCGAAAAGAAGGAAGAAAAGAATGGGGCCTGCAAGGTCGGAGTCGTCCATTATATGTTGGTCGATGCGGGAGAAGGGGTTTAAAACAGCTAGAGTCTAGACGGATCCCAGTGTTAACGTATCTTACTATCACAAGATTCCAACCATAAGTTGGCTGGTTACCGAGGGGCACATCCTTACCTTGACTCGAATATGTCCAAAGTTGACGCCCAGTTCTTCGAGCAGCGGCGGTTCGTCATCGTAGCCCTCTGTCGATAATGCGGCTAGCCAACCTGTTCGCAGACCACCTTGCTCGCCCATGCGCCCGCTCACACCCGCTGCGCCTGCTCCACCAAACCCGCCATAGCTTGAGGAAGCGGCCGGCCCGCCGTAACCATAACCGGATTGTGATGATGTTCCGTGGTTCGGCACGCCTGGTGAGTATGACGAAGGGTAAAACTGTAGATTCTGTGCTGAAGGGCCGCCGGCGCCAAACTGGTTGGACGGGGGTGCGCCGTAGTATTGCGACATTGCGGTCGTGTTCTAGGCCCAGGTGCGTGCGATGCTCGTGGAACTGGGGGTCGAAGTTGACGTAAGCTCGAGCAGGAGAGATGCTATACTTCCACTTGGGTGAGAGAAGTGGGTGAGAGAAGTGACAAATCGGTCGGCGGAGGTTTGAAGTGGTCTGAAAGAGTGTAGCGAAGAGAAAGTTGCTTGTGTCGTGTCAAGTCGCCTTGTAAAGTTGTAATTACGGTGTTGACATCCGCGAGCTCAATATCTGTCCCTTCACCCCTGGAAGATCGAAGCCTGGCGCAGGCCACAGGAGCTGAGCCAAGAGCTAGCTGAGTGTTGGAACATGTGCTGATGGTCCGTGCTACATGGCTGAGAAAGTACATCTCGGGATTTGAGATCTTCCGGCCGTCCCGAAAAAGTGATAGCGAACTACGAGGCAATTCGACACCGGCAGACGTCTTTTTATCGTCGCTCTTTACATCAGCCCTTGAGAGTGAGACCAATTCGAGCAGCTTGACTGTCTGCGCATCTGGTCGAGGGACAAAATGGTAAGCATTCCCACCCTTTCTTCCTCTGCCGCTCTCGGATGTCCCCTTCAGCCGGCAACCGGATATTGAGTCACATCATTCCTGCCCGAACTTGAACTGACTATTGTTCAGGCGTACCGTCTCATAACCCAAGTTGTGATTATCGGCACTCGTACACTAGGACGTGCCTTCAGTGAAGCCTACAAACAAGCGCAAGCCTCGTCCAACTACGCGCGCGCCCAAGCCAAGATAAATCCAAATGGCACCGGGTCACGCGGCAGCCTCAGCAGCGGCATGACCCTCGACGAAGCCTGCAAAATCCTAAACGTCAAGCCGCCACAGGGAGGGAAAGCAAATATGGAAGAGGTCATGGACCGGTTCAAGCGCCTGTTCGATGCAAATGATCCTCAGAAGGGCGGCAGTTTCTACTTACAGAGCAAGGTCCTGAGAGCAAGGGAGCGGATCGAGTCCGAGGTGAGACCTTTGATGGAGAAGGCGGCACAGGAGGCCGAGATCAAGGAGGGATTCAAGCCCAAGGTGTACAAGGACCGGTAGTCCTGCCACCAGGGAATTAGCAAAAGAGTTTGGTCGAAATCCGCCCCGAACCCGACGAGGTGAGACGCTATCATCTCGCACACAACCCGCGATACATACACACACCTCTTCACTCGATTGCGGCATGACCTGGCGTTTACGGTAGGGACATTCTGGTAAGGACTCATAGGTCTTGGGTTAGACGAGAAAACGGATCGCTTGTACAACTATATAATGTGTCTATATTAGAGGCGAGTTCAGGCGAGGACGAAAGGAGACCGTACAGTCTGCGGATCCAACAACGTCATTGTTGAAACCTGTAAAACATTGGAGCATCTAGACGACGAATGCGATGCAGATGTCCATCAGCCAAGTTGGTTCTTTCACGACTCAAACTTGCTCTGATTATCATGCAGGATCCGTTGCATCTGGAGATCTGGCCAGAGAGCCTGACCGGTCTATCAGCTGGCTTCGAAGCCAGATCGCGAATCACAAACGGCACGCCAGTCTACCACTGATCTCACAAACTGCGTGCCAACGATTGTCTCCTGGACCGTCCATCAACCGGATCATATTCTCCGATCTTCCCATGTGGGCATTGCCTAATGGGGCATGGCATAATGCGATGAAAGAAACAACGCCGCCACCCTCCCCCCGAGCGTAAGGATTGCCGATGTATTGCTAGAAATCCGGGGTGGCACGGGATGGGGGTGACCCTGTGATCTGGCACTAGGAAATCAAGATGATTATTTACTTTTAAAGCTATCTATACATCATGCTAACATGTCCATTTCTGAATGGCTGTAGCTTGATCACGACATCCTACACGACACAAGCTACATGAACATGTCCTCACCCCCCCCTTCCTGTTCCGCCTCACCCTCATTCTCCTCCCCCGATGCAGACTTAACCGCCTGATACTTCTTGATCCGATTCAACCAAAACGGCGTCGCCGCCTGTTCTGACGTCGGATCCTCCGCATGATAAGTCCGCCATAAGTCCTCGAACACCGACTCGACCGGCGGTTTCTCCGGCGCCGCAAAAACCGCATCATGCAGAGAAGCCACAAAAACCACCTCTTCCTCGTTTCGCAAAATCGTGATCTGGACCGGTGGCCTCGCGAACGCGGATTTGTCAGGATAGCTAACGGCGCTGGTGATACGCTGTAGCTCGACCCGCAGCTCCTCCTCGGCCGAAGGCACGTCCCAGAAGGTGCCGCTATCGAGGTTGAGTCGGCCGTAATCGTTGTCTGAGAGGATCTTGCGGTCGAAGCTCTCGTACAGTGAGGGGTCTTCCATGAAGTCGTCTGTGTTCTTGGCTTGGCGCTTGTCGACGTATTTGGCTGTCTTCTTGGACTTGGTCTTGCGTTTGCTTTTGGGGATTATGGGTTTCTTGGCTGGGGTTGGGGCTTGATCTGAAAAAAAGGCATCAGCTTGCATGAACTTTTAGGGGTTGCCGGTAAGTCTGGAATGTCGACCTTTCTCGGGAGCTGGCTTTTCGGCGGCCTTTCCGGCACCGGCAGACTCATCTGGAGGCTCGATGTAGCATAGGTCGACATTGTCCCATCTCACTTCCGGTTGCTTGTGCACGGCTCCAATCCATGACTCCCCCTTCCCTGTCGTTTCATGAAAGCTTGTTCGAAGGACATCATGCTTGGCTAGTGTGGCTTCCCAGGATCGCTTCAAAAGCTCCATGTTGGTGTCTAACGGCAGGCTGTAAGCGTGATAGCTGGAATTGAGACGCGAGTCCTCAGACAAAGTCGAATTGATCATGCTTGCTTGCTCTGAGGTGAGAGGATACGTGTTTACAATGCTGTCTTTAGCAGACCAGGGCTCCGGATCAGACAGAGATTCATTGTTGAGGTCTTCCTGGTGGTCGCCGAGGGACAGATTTTCCGTCAACTTATCAAGCTGATCGGAGACAGCCTGCGGACCTGCTGCGACAACATGTTCATCGCTGTTATTGTTATGTCCCTGGGAGCCAGCACGTGTGGAGTCGAGGTGAGGGGTATGTCGGACATTCGCTCTTTTTGGAGCCATTATGTAGCAACAAGCGTAAGGATAGAGTGTTTGAGTGGTTTAGATATTTTTTGTTCGTTCTGAACTTCGGAGCTAAGGTGTTTAAGTACTGAGAAACTGACCATGGCTTGGACATACCACTCTGCCGTGATACTGCATGAGCCATCTGTCCAGTCCGATGTTCGGATAGCCGGCGAATTGGTTTTAGGAGCGGGTCGTACCCCTCGAATATGACTGTATGCATGCATATGATAGGGTGATGTCATGCGGAGATGATACGTTTTTGCATCATGGAGCAATCTGATACTTGTAGACTCAAACGTTCGATTTGTACACTGAGTTCTCTCTCAATTCATGTAAGTATCAGGCTTTGTCGAGACTTAAAAGCCTCAACGAACTTCATACACGATTGCCCCATTTGCCACCCTCAGAACACGCTACAATCCGAAAGTTGACGGCTCTGAAGCGGTGAAGAGTTCACTTCGTGACGGCCTGTTAATGCCGGATAGTCCCGTAATCGGCGTAAGAGGACCCCAAGCCCGGGAAAAGGCCGCGTGTCCCTGGGTGCGACTGTTCGCTTGTGGGCTGGCCTGTAAGTGTTGGCCAATCATTAGAGCAAATTTTATCTGATCCTTCAAAGAAGAGCTCCGCAGTTGGATTAAAGTTATCTGATCTTTTTTTGATCGCCCTCCATCGTGACTGTTTGTGAGACCCGCTTCGATCGATAGCTGTCCCAAATAACGAAACGTCCGGGTTTTAACCTCGGCAGAAATGGCTATTACCAAAGAACGCGGAATTGTCAACTATTTAATAGTAGGAGATGAGTCGTGGAAGTCCATCTTAGGCCATTCCATATCGTTTAGGGGTTTCCGTACTATAAACATGCTTGCGCTCATCGCCTCTGCGGCGCCCGACCGGCTCTAGAACTTGATCAACGTACTTCAATTCGGACAAAAGTGAACTAATTTGTACTAAGTATTCTCGCTGATCACCGCTGGTCGTTGATATTTCGAGCAAGAAAATTAACGTGTAGTATGCGGCTGCATACCATATAATCAATGCCCAGTGTCATGATAAAGCATATTTGCTGCTATTCGTGGGCGGTGGATCTTCTACGTGATGAGTGTGGCGACGGCTGCTGAAGACGAAGCTTACATCGGATACGAATACAGTTAGGACATGCTGGCGAAGTCAGAAGGATAGAAATCATGTGCAGGTATCAACGATCACCCACCATCCATGACATATCTCGGAAAACATAATAGCAGCAGTGATCAAAGCCCATCCGGTCACCCGTCCAATTTCGAACAATAGGTTAGTATGGGAGACAAGGTCTTGGGTTCATCCCAGTTGTCCTGATTGTTGTATATGATTAGCGGCATACGCCGGTCAGCCCACCTCATCAGAACTGCGTCTCATACTTGATTGACGAGAAGATCAGACGGAGCCGCGCCCAATGAGCTTATACATATAAAATCCCCTGATAATGCGAGTTTTAAATGAAATTACCGCTTTGGGGGCTGGCAAACCAAAGAGGTCCGTCCTTCGCAAGCAGCAAATCTCATTTAGCAGTCATAGATTTCAGCCAATGTTTTGTGATATTTTCTCTGATACTCTGACCCTTTCCTAAGTTGGCCTGTCGTAGTAGGAAAGACTAAAGCGTAAGCCCCCATGTACTCTCTGCTCGTCTGTAGAAAAAGAAGAGAGCAGTCATCATGGTCTTCCTCTTCGTTGCCATCTTTTATCCGTACCGTCCCATGATCCCGTCCCCAAAATACTCGAGTAGGCTCTAGAAACCCACCCCTGCGCCTGGCAAAACATTCCGCATGGCACCAATCCAGCGCTATCAACCTTAACCGTCAGTGGATACCAAGCCGGGTGCCCGGCCCCAGGTTTCGGAGACTATCTACCATGGCTCCATTTCGCATTGGCTTCTGCGCCAGCTGGTCCCATTGGAATAAGGGGAGTCGGACTCGGGCTGCAATCACGACTACCATTGCTCCGTCTGTCTCCCATCGCCGGTGTAGTCTCTTCCGTGGTGCTCGGCTCCACAAAGATCATGTAGCGCCGCCCTGCATCCCTTGTTTGACCCGGCCACAGCTCACTAAACAGCATCCTTCGAGTTAGGGCAGGGCGAACGGCGAGTCTAGCTTCGCCCACTCCTGGTGTGCCGCTGTTGTTGGTATCGTTCAAGCCATTCGCAGCTGCCATTGATGGACCAGATCTGTCTGGCGAAGACGCAGGTATGATGTGCGCTTCTTGAGCCAGGCGTTCACGTTCTTGAAGACTCCGGTATCGGACTAAAAAGGCAGTTGTGACGATCATTGCTATGGCAATGATCAGTCCACTTATCAGGGCAGCTTTCTGGTCGGGCCCGAATCCTTCATTGGGGGAGGAGCTGGCAGACTGCGCGGCAGGTGTGGTTGCGGTCGGTGTCGAAGGGCCGGCTGAAGTATTCGTCTCAGGAGTCGTGGGTTGAGATTGGGCATTGGTATTACTAGTGATACCTCTAGAAGTAGCTTTAGAAAAACTTGGGGGAATTGATGGAGAGTTGGTGGTTTTTATCGATATTTCCATGGATGGTGGAACCTCTGTGGTCGTGTCTGGCGCGGTGGTAGCCGTGTAAACGTCTGTAATCGACGTGTTCAGTGCAGTCGGGTCCATGGAAGGAACCATGATTGAGTCGATGTAAGTGCCCGTATATGTAGAAGGAGGCATTGATGTGTTCGCGTTTACAGAGTTTGACGCGTTTCGCATCAGAATAGATGTCACTGCGGACATTGTGACGTGATTGCTTGATGCTGGCTCAGATCCTCCTCTTCTTCTCCTGTATCCCGTCATTTTGTTAGTGCATACTGTTGGGGTTGAAAACACCGTAAGCGTTGCATTCGGCGCGAAGGTGATAATTTCGAAGATTATGTCAATCACTATTCTAGGCCAGGTGGAAGTGATACCGATGGTTATAGTTAGCTCGGTGGACGTGATTGAACCATGAATATCCGCAGTCTTGCTTTGAGACAAATGATTTGCAGGTTGATTTGACAACACTGTCGACAATTTCAGAACCGCTGAGCTGTGCATGAGCTCTGTGTCAGTCACTCAACCGCCGATTTTGTACGATTTGAAAAGCTTCTGACCAACTGGACAATGACGAAGACAGAGACGACAATGGGTCTCTCCCAGAATCTCGACAACGCCATTCGAGAAATAAGGATAGGAGAAAAAAAGGGGCAAGATTAGAAGAATGCGCAAGGAAAAGACCAAATAAGTCGCTATGTCGTCGAAAGACAAAGTAATAAGAACACCGCGACCATATGTCAAGTCGAAGAAGACCTTCACCAATATCATGCAGAGTCGGAGAGATCATTAGTCAAGCACAGCTGCATTTCCCTAGTTTTATAGAATCTTCTGGTGACTGCGACCACGCAACAGACGTTATCGCGAGACAGGAATCGCACCCAAATGTACACAAAAGCCCAAGATTACGCTGGAGATGACCTATAATGCGTGCCCCAGGCCACACCGGCTCTGTGCGCTGTGTTGCGCTTGCGCTGATTGCCCATAGCTGGGCCTTCCGTAGCTGCAAATTCCTGGGAGTCAGTCCCATCATCATCGCCAATGCGACTCTCCTGCCTGTAATTTATTAGCCTGTCTTGATATCTGTCCTTGAGATTCGACAGCGGTTTGCAGTCCACATCTAGACAAAGTTTCCAGTTCAGAGAAAGCCCGACCTAGTGCACCCCCTTGGACTACCTCACTGCGATGGTGAAGTAGTTGAGCAAGCATTTGCTAGATGTCCAGCGTGGTCAGTACGCAAAACTGTCCACGAAGACAGTAATACAGTTTTGAGTCATCTGGAAAGTCGTACATGTGTGATTTCGTTACTTTCACTGCATCGCGCACATTGGTATGTGCAAGTATACTTGATTGGTCACATCAGTCCGTGTTGGCAGCGTAGTACACACTAAAAATGCTTCTCCTTGTTCTATATCCTGGTATCATGGCCCTATTAAATACCACCTGCCGGTCTTCTATGATCCTTTTCCGCGGCACAATAATACCGAATCACGCCTTCTAATAGATTCCGGGCTCGACATGGACGTCTTTCACCAGTCATGCAGAATGACGGCTTTGCTCGCCTCTGTCCAAGCCATATGTCGTCTGCAGCCTTAATGCTTCTTGAGCAGAGTGCAGAGACCAACTGGGGGTTGGTGGCGTTAAAGGTATGCGTATATAAAGCAGCGAGATATAAATAGTCCACTGTCTAGACGTATGGCGCAGATTGAAGTTTTTGAGAGACGGGCAAATCATCATCTCCATCCTGCTGGACCTTTGCCAATGCCTGGGTTTTGAAGCCCGCGGTAATGTAAGCAAGTGTTGCAATCAGCTCTGACAGGAAGAACAGCACGACGCGGATGGCGAGGGAACCGGTAGTCGGGTTGAGGTATGCTTTCTGGGTGCACAAAGCGGCAAGGCTGCAGAAAACGCGGATGCCGACGAAGGCAAGAGAAAAACAGACCGACTTGAGCAACTATATCGCAGAAGGTCAGCAACTATGGACCCAAGCGAATGTCCCCAAGACAAGGAAACTCACCGTCGTTCCCGCACGCTCGGTCGTGCTGTTACTTATACGCGGGGCAACAAATGATAATCCAACCCACCCGACGAGTATGCCCCACGAAACAGTCAAAATAGAAATGCCTGCCTTGACAATCTTCTCACTCTTTTCGATTGGTTGCTGGTGGTTCTGGAGCTTTGCAGACCCGGCGGCAACGAGGGCGACTCCACCGACGACGAAGATGTGAAAGACGAGCACGAGGAGCCATTCGAGTTTCTCGTCGAGGTTGCGGATGCGATATATCCTCCTTTTCTACGAATTAGCCATATGCATGTCGGGGATCCAATCAGGTGTGCTACTCACGCTTCATGCAGGATACCAGCTGTGGCGAGCAGAAGGGGCGAGAGCCCGACACTAGAAATAATGCTGGCGGCGATACTAGAGTTCTTCATTTCCAACGCACCACCGATGATGCGAATGGTGCAGAAGAGGAACAAAAAGAGCCATCCTAGGAAGCCGTGTTTTCCGTGTTTTCCGTGTTTGACGAGGAGATACAGGACGGGGATGGCGAGGATAACGTAGATGGCGAGTGTGGCGGTAGAGAGTGAGTCGGCCATTCCGAAATGCAATGAACAGTCAAGATGGCAGGAGATGGACCACAATTCGACGTCTCTAAGACTTTTCCTGGTGATGGAGTACGGGAAGATGGATGAGACAGATTCGTGGGAAGTGAGTGGGGTGGGCAGGCTGATATTTGACTGACAATGGCAGGGAAAGTAACCGGTTGAAGCGCTGGGGACAGGATGAATTTTGCGCTGCATCGCCAATCCGGGCCAAGAGAGGGTTAAGTAACCAGCCTTTCAACAACATAAATTGCGGTCTCTTGTGTAGCGCTTGCTGAGCCGCACACGCCTTCAGCTTTGCAGATGATCGGCAGTCAGCTTGCAGACAATACATACCCATGACCCCAAGGCTGGGCAAGAATGGCGGGTACCTAGGAATAAGCCACCGTCCGGAAATAAGTACCTTTGGACAACGAAGGAATCAAGCGGTGTGGCAGTGGTAACACCGAATCTCGATGCAACAGTTAACCCGATTACTGCGCCAGGGCAGCTGCAGTGCTGCTCAAGTATTACACTAAATTGGAATTGCGGAGGGTACGTACTCATGCCCATCTGATGCCAAGCCTGCCAAGTATCCCCACGGTCTGGGCATGAGCTTGTCCCAACGGCTCGAGCTGATTTGAGATAACGGGAGTGGAGGTTGTTTTCCAGCGCCGTGAAGCAAACAAAGACAATAAGGGATTTGATTTGTGTTTGTTGCACAAATATTCACAACTGGGAACCGGCAAAACTGTATGCAAATCAATCAGATTCGCCCCCTCACTGGCCCTTTTCCACTGTAACGCTATAATTAGGATACTACAAAAGGGCTAACTGCAGAGCGGCATCGAAGGGGCCATTGAAGTGAGAAAGAACCAATTGATGCATTGGCTGCAATGCTGCGGCTCTGGCACAACTGCGCCTGGTCATCGTTCCCCGGAGAACAACCGCAACAGCGCTTGTCGCCCACTGCGCAGCTGAAACTCCACACCCAAAATCAGTATCGGAGGTATCATTAGCAGCAATCAGCCCTGCTGGTTCTTGAGATTTACAGGCACTCCTTCACAGCCGGAAATATCGAGCTAGGATGGATGTTCAAAGGAAGCAAATGGGACCAAGTCGGCGGCATATGTTTTATTTAGGTTCCCATGCTTATCAGATTTTCGTTTGATTCATAGAACGAGGATTGCAACATGGAGAGCGCCTTTGTCTTGACAAAATGATCAATTTCGAGTCCTCCCTTTTATCGGACACTGCTGACAGGTATTTGTGTTTGCTCAGTAGTAATGAATTATCTCACCCTCGCATTATCTCAATTTTCGCATTTTGATGGCTGCTCTCCCTCGAGATGTCAATATCCGACCACGAGACGCGATGGCAGCATCACCAGAAATCTATTTACCTGCCATTGCTTGCTCCATATGCGTCAGCGCATCTTCAATCAACTTCTTAGCCCCCTCATCTGTGCAAGCATGGTTTGCGTCCCGAAGTCCTTGTTCCCACACATCCCATCTCTCACGTACAAATCCATTCCAGCCCTTGCCTGCGTATTTTGGATTCGGCGATCCAGCTCCAGCGCTCTCGGGGTATGTGCGGCCATTCTGAACGTTGGCCCACAGCCTGTCGGCTGCGTAAACAAACCACATACACGCGGCTTGCAGGGCAGCCGTATTGACAAGGGTCTCTGGTGGATGCTTCTCAGCTTCGAGCGCCTTAGAAATCGTCCAGAGCGCTCTGAGAGATTTGTCCATGGGGTGAACGTTGTATCCTTCATTTGGAGAGGTATGCTGAACTTCGGCGGCTTGGGTAAGCTGTGCAGTGAAGGCATTCAGTTTCACCCATCGCTGCTGCTGCTCGGGCTTCATGTTGGGGTCGCACGGATCTGTATTGCACCATGCATGATGAGTAGTGTGGCTAATCGTTGATCTGGATAGTAACTAACCATTTCTGGGATCACCTCCAAACTCGCACCACGTTTCCAGTTCAGTGTAGCCGAGGGACGGTAGGTCTGTAAAAAGGGTCTCGCCCTGTATCTTAAGCGACTCCCCCGTTGATGGGTCTGTGCCCGTCTGCTTCTGGAGGTCTGAGACGAAATCAACAAGCTTGCAGTGCTTAGCTGGCTCGAGGCGCTGGACAAGCTCCAGAAGCGCCAGGGAGACGTTGTAGTCGACAAAACCGGCACCGCGGTGCACGTCATCACTGTGGGTAGCATGGGCAGCCATGGCCATATCGGCAACCTGCTGCACTGCGCCTTCGGGGGTTGCATCTGCTTGATTGGCAAGCTTGTCGAGAAGCTTAAACTCCTCGGAGTCCAGGACCTTCTTGTAAAAGTCCTCTCTCCCCATGATCACACGCTTCAAGTCTGGTCAAGTCGTGGATATGTGGACAGTGGGCGCGGCTTTCTGGGATCGACAATGCTTCCTCTAGAAATGGAGAGGTTGGTGATGGAGAAATGTGAATGTGCAGCGGAAGCATTGATGCCTGTGGAATGTCTTATATAGATGGTTGAGCAACACATAAATACTAGCTGAAGAGGCACAGCGCAGCTGGTGGGGTGGGTATCCTAAACTAGTTCGCCGGCTGACTCGTTATTGGCTGAAATGACATGACGTCAATCTGTAATTGGAGCCAAATTTTGGCTGTGCCTGCAGGCATGCCATACAGCACGCTAGCGCTTACAGGTCATAGGCAGGCTAAGCCTCGGTGGATGCAAGCCCCAATGCCTGTTCGCTGTCGTACATATGTGTATCCTATTCTGATGTAAGGGATCTTCGTCTGGACTTTTTGACCGACAAGCCCACTAAGCGGAGGACGGAATCAATGTCGTAGCAAGGATAGGATAATGTGGGGACAGTTCAGCATCCCAGTGTTATAGAGACGAATACTTCCGTCATTCCACATTGGTGCGCGGTTCCTTCCGTCATCCGCTTACCCCACGCTACGGCCAAATTGCCGGGTGTTGCCCAGCGGGTTACGGTGCCATGATGACTTGGCTGGATCGACCGAGCGTCGGACTGGTTTGACCTAGTCCTATAGAGTTTCTGATCAAACTAAATAAAAACAAGGAGCGTTGAGACCGGAGGAAATTCCGTGTTGGACACGTTGTTATGCTCAAATGGGTCTTTTTTACGCGAAACGCGCCCATCGTCTAACATCTGTCTCCACCCGACCTCCCCATTTCCCACAACTGATCGCCTGTTCGTTTGAGGCCATAAGAGCTTTTACGCGTAATCCCCATTCTGGAGGTAAATACTGATAGAGACCGCTTCGGAGACTTTGCATACTCACTTGAGCATCCCAAGAGCGGAATCCATTCATGGTGGTAAGCGTTAACATAGTCATCAAGAATGAAGGACGATTCAAAGTCTATAACAATATCTGAGGCCAGTGTTGGAATTGCAAACCCGATCATACAATGTGCGTAATAAATTCAGACATTCTATTTTAACAATTATCCCAACTCCCCATATATCGACAACACATGATCAGACGAAATCGGCACTCATTCCTTCAGAAACAAGCACCCCGATTCCTTACAATTAGTCGCTGTTAACAGTGCACTTTTGGAATGCGGCACCGCCACCTTCAATCATAACGCCGACAAAGTTGTTCTTGTAGTCAGTGACAACACGGTATGGGCCAGGGGCCCCGTTGCCTGTTGTAGATACACCTGTTAGCATCTCCCCACTAATAATCTCAACACGGAAGGGCAGGAGAAATCAACAAAACCACTTACCAGTCCAAGTTCCACCTCGGATGATGGGATACTCGCGTAAATCCTTAGTGACCGAGAAAACTGGGCCATTGCTCTGGTTACCGAAGTAATGAGGATAGCTGCCGCCAACAGCGTTGTCGTCGTGCTTCTTGCACTCGGCAAAGGCATTGGCGACATCATCCTTGGACAGTTCCACTCCGTTACAGATGGCGCTGCCGACCTTCTTCTTCTTGGAGCGGATGGCAAGGTCGTTGACGTCTTGGTTGGGAACGGAGACAGGGGAGGTGGTTCTGACACTGTTGCTGGCATCCTTATGCTTGTTGCTCTTGTCCTTGTCTTTGTTTTCCTTGTCCCTATTCTTGTCTCCGTCATCCCTCTTGGTGTTGGTGACAAGTGTGCAGGCTTGATAGGCGCCTCCAACTGTAGGCCCGGTGTGCTGCATAACACCTCTGAAGTCCCCTTTGTTGTCCTTATAGTCGGTGACAACACGGTATGCTCCGGGAGAACCTGTTCCGAGCTGCTTGTTAGCCTATTTGCAGCATGACCACAGTGGAGACGCTGTGGAAACTTACCATCACCTGTGTATACACCCCCTTTGATAATCGGAAACTCTCTGAGATCCGTGTTATCTGGGATGTTGGTGAAGACTTTGACGTTGCCGTTCTTATTGCCAAAAAATTCTGGGTATTTCCCGATACTACCGTCATTTAATCTTCTGCACTCGTGGAAGGCTTGCCGGACATCTGCCTCAAGAACCGTTGTGCCGTCAGGGCAAAGGAAGTCCCCAAGCTTGGCTCGTTTGCTGAGATCGCCCTCCTTGTTATCCGAGACAGGAAGGGGAGAGGATTGGGCGATGGCCATGAGGCCGTAGAGAATGACGGACTTCATGTTGAACAACATTGTGAACGCGGGCTGTCAAGAGGTAAAGAAAAGATGTTGGCTTCTTGTGGGCAATGATAAAGTGTTTGGATGATGATAGGAAGGCTTCAGAGGCAAGTCTGTAGATGGGAGTTGATGCTGATGGTGAATCGAGATAGGTCGATGGACTTTTGGACAAGAGCCCTTATATAGATGATGAAGCATCGCAGATTCCATCTCGAAGTCCACCATTGCTTCTATTTTGGAGGGCGACCTGAACTGAAGGCGCAGTCTCAATAGATCAGGTCAGGGATTGGGTGCTTGAGGCCGTGAGATGGCAATGTAGAGTAGACGACTCTGGAAAGTCGACGCGCAGCCATGTGGAGCCGAAGAACTCCGGATTCAGTGAGATGCCCTGTACATGTCCCCATTGCTTAGCTGGTGAATCGCACACAGCCCTTGGCCCATTCTTGGGAATAGAAAAGTGCCTCTGGATTTGGTGATCATCAGCGCGGCAACTGTCTGCTGCGGGCAATCTGATGGCTGCAAGACGTGCGACACAATCCCCCACAGCCCCATTGCAGATCAAGTGTCAGCCCGATTGAACAGGGAAGTGGAGTGGAGTGAAGACGGGATTTGCCTTGTGGATTGCGCAGGAATATCATCCCCGCAGCCAAGCCGTAAGCGATTGGCACTCGGCAGCCTTATGTGGCATGTATAATAATTCTGCTGAAAAGAAATTTATCACATACCAGCCCCCAATCGGGTAGATCTCGGCTGTATCATGACCTGGTTTTAATAATATATATGCAGACATATGCACAGCCAGAGAGGCTGACATAATAGGGTATGCTCCGCAATACTTGTAGGGATGCTTAGATCGCGAGACAAGCCTTGCCAAGCCTTCTAGTTGCTCGGCGATCTTGGATCGATGCTTATACATGCTGCGAATTCTTGGCAGAAGGATCCGGTTCCATAATTCCGTAGTCACTGCACGATACATCTCTGTACATCGTCTGTCGTATCTGAAAGTACCGTTGCCCAAAGCGTAAATATTGGGTGACCTGAATCCACTTTCGGACGGCTGTGCGTTCTCAATATGCAACCACACCAGTCCCAATAGAGAGAAAGCTGTAGGATTATGGGGAAATATACTCCGAATACGTCTTGCCCCTTCCGCATCCAGTCCTATTAACATAAGCGCAGCGAGATCTCCATCAGGATCCGATCAATGACGGTGCAACCTCAAGTAAGCGTGGGAGCCAAGCACACCACAAGCCTCGGGTTTATCAAATTCATTTTGATCCTTCCGACATCAGGCTCACTATCTCCGGCAAATCTCCAGGTCAGATACTACTCCTCGTGGCTAACTTCGTTCCCCCTGGTGGATTATTGGCTGACTCCATCGTCGGTTTATTCTTAATTTACCACGTGGAGGATCGGTGCCCTTGCAGAGATATGACGTTATAACATCCACATCAACGGCCCTATCACAGGTCATCGCCTTCCTCAAAACAATAGCTGTGCGGGAATCTACACACTGAAATCTGATGACAGGACGCAAAAATAGCTACGCGAAGCCCCATTGTCTCATGGCTGCTCTAAAACTACTCGAGTGGGAAACGGTGCCTCTCCGGCATGATATCCTTGGCAGTGGGCAATCGCGTTCAAGGCGTACTCAGCTTCAGGGAGACCAGACATGAGTTATAATACATATAATGACAGGTGGTAGTGTCTGGAGATTTGTCCGGACACAGCATATCCACCCATCCCCTCACAGATCCAACTTCTCTGTTTCCACGAGAATCGTCATTCATCCACCAGGGCAAATTAACCCTCCTCTGTTTGTCATTCCACCGCAGCAATGCAGAGCACCAAAATACAGATGGACTTGCACAAGCCCAAGTCATGGCTGTACTCCGAACTCAGTCTGAACACGCTAGCACTTGTGCTTCGATATGGCATCAGTGTCACCAGCCCCGATCCCAAAGCGGACACAAAGCTACATCTATCGCCTTCAGGCGTGCACCAAGAGGGAACGATCAAAGTCATCGTGGTAAGTGGATGTTCGCTTATAAACACGAAACGCATAAGTTGACGGAACTTCAGGCGGGACTTCCGCGAACCGGCACCATGAGCATGAAGAAAGCCCTAGAAGAGCTCGGCTATAAAAACTGTTTTCACCTCGCCGAGCCACTCTGCCAATTCGGTAACCTCAGGCTCAGCGCCGAGATTGTCCACACCAAAGACACGACACTGCGTCGACGCAAGCTGGCCAAGCTGCTCGAGGGCCATGAAGCCACCCTCGAGGTACCCGGCAGCGCATGCCTGCCCGATCTGTTAGAGATGTACCCCAACGCCAAAGTCGTCCTCACACAACGCACCTCGGCCAAGCTCTGGCTCAAGTCATGGCACGGCTTCGGCATTGATCTGCGTTCTGACTGCTTCCGTTGGGTCGGTTACTGGGTGCCGGGCGTTGTTTCGGCGAATGACCTGTACCGTGGTTGGATCCGGCTGGCGTCCGACCGCTTTGGCCTTGCCCCAGAGCCATCCGAAGAGTTGTACCATGCGCACAATGACTGGGTCAAATCCATTGTTCCCAAGCACCGCCTGCTGGTGTTCAAGTGTCAGGATGGCTGGAAGCCCCTGTGCGAGTTCTTGGGGAGGCAGAGGCCAAACCCCTTCCCGCATGGTAACGAGGCAGGGCATCTGAAGTACTATAAGCGGGTGGCTATGGTGCTTGGAATTCTCTTGTGGATACTTGTTTTGGCTGTGGCAATTATTTCCTCCTTGGTGTTGAGGATCAACTGATTTGACTTTGATAAAAACGTTTCTGTTTGTTAGGCTTATATAGGAGTTTGGTGTGGGTAGGGCATATGGATACCATGTACAGTGTTTTCTTTGATTTAATAACATCGCACTAGTATTACAATTAATATATTTTATGCAAACTCCTTTGAGTGTTTTAGTATTTAAACAAGGTCGATTTGTGAACTAGCGGCTGGGCTGCTGATGTGTGTGAGTCTTAGTATAGCCGGAAAAAAACAGGCCATATAAGCAACAGATAATAAATATGTATTCCAGCAGTCGGTGCACCCGACAAGAAAGATAAATCAAATTCGCTAGTGTGGTTGCAAGATATCAGTATAGTAGAATTGCTACTTTAAGAAATAATTGAGCACTATGACATGTGAGAGCTTGGCCTCAACAAAAGCTAGATCTGCAACGTTAATAGCAGTGATAAACCAAATATTACGTTCTTGCGAGGAGAACAGTCTTCTTTGAGCAACTCTAGGTGTTTCAGGCTTGTGTAAATAGAGAATGAATTACAGTTTGTTACTTATTCCTTACTTCTTTAAAAACCACAATATGACTGCATAACCATGAAATTGGGGACAAGTTATGCGTTGATGATTTGATTCAAGTCTAGCTTAATTCTGGAAACACTTGCAAGTAAAACCATTTCCGAGAATATCAGGTTTAATGCGGTACTGGGTACGCGAGGGCTTAAAAGGGCTGACTATAATCGGATGCTACCAATCATGTCTTTCAAGCAGGGGCCATTTGATGTATGTAAAGTGTTTTAGGCAATGCGAACAAGCAAACGAATACAATATCTAACTAAAAGACCCTCTTCTGTAACTACTATACAAGCCATCATCTCGCCATACCAATCTGAATCACTCTGATTTGCACCTTCAATCAAGGCTACTCATCGTCACTCAACAACTCATCTTTCCCAGCAATCATCGTCACCACTCTCCTTGCAGTCAAGGCGACGGCCGTCGCGGAGAGCGTCGCAACATACTCCATAACAATAACCATGAAGAAATGAAGCCATATTCCGGCCTCATCATCAGATAGAGGATTCAAGACGGAATCCTGGCCCGAAAAGAGTGAGCCGACTGAGAAGGCCAGACGGACGCTCATGAAGGGGACGGACAAGAGCGCGCAGACAGCGGTCGCCCGCTCGGTTCTGTAGCACTTTTCGCGCACTTTGAGCAGGGTGGTGACAGCGAGAATGACGGTGGCGCTGAAAGCAGCAATGAAGAGGAAGATACCGGCTCGCATCAGCCGCAGGTCTTGAGCTTGGTTTTGCCCCGCCGAGTAGAGATCGCGTCCACCGTATGCCGTCATAACGGTGGCGGCAACGGCCACCATCTGGAGCGGGATGAAGACCCAGAGAGGAAGGCCCCTGAACACGGGCGTGTTGCTGGCACTGTCAGTACTTCCACGAGAAAGATGATGAAGTCGTGCGTTTTCAGATGTACTCACGCTCTAATCAGAAGTCCTATCAGCAGGCATAAAACTGGCGCCAGCCCGATCGTGTCAAGCAATGTTGCCGTGGTGAGCAGGGTGGATTTGTCCGGATTCATTGCTGTGAGCCCCAATGCTGCACCGGAAATTCTCAAGCCGGAGAGCAGTAGGAGAGGTATGATAATGGGGCGCCATGTGTACGGCTTTCTGCCACCATGTATGAGGATGATAAAAATGATGGCAGGGATTATGGGGCAGTAAATTGCCAGCTCAATGAGGAAGATCGCATCTCGTAGAGCGAACATGGCTCAAATAATTGGGTATGGAGAAGAGATGGGTGTTAGGATACGTCGTGGGAGTTTAATCGTGCAAGAATATGGGAATACTTCAGAAACTCGTTAATTAAACTGGCACCTTGCTTCCGCTATAAGGTGCCTCATGGGATGACATAATGGCGGCCCACCGAAGGAATTTCGCCCCAGACCCCGATATCTTGTCTCAATCAAGGCGAGGTTAATCAGGAATAGGACAATTGCTTACATTAACATCCATCTCGGTCTCGCTCACTAGCTCTATTCGAAGTGTGCCATCCAGCTTTCACTAAGCCGCATTTCCATAATCCATCAGTTCAATGACAGAGATAATAAAGTGAGGCTATAGTAGAATTGAATCCACAGTAACTTGATGGATTTTCAGATGATCTACGATTTTCAACAAGGCAGCAGCTCATGAAAATCCTCCTCATAACTAAGAATACTATTGGCGGCTGAAAACAAGCTTATGTAAATCATTTGGTGGCTTGGCTGGGTTACAGTATGGACTAAGGTGTGGGGGGGGGGGGGCGGGGGCCGGCTCGGCTTGACGATGGCTCACGGGTCGAGGTGGCGCATGCTTATTTCGCGGCACGACCCACCTGGTTGGTTTTCTGGTTACTTGATGAAATACACACGCTAGTCCATTGTCATGTACCTCCATGTCACGCCCCCCCCCTTGTGTTATGCTGACAGGGGCAAACTCCACAGCCACGTTTTACCCGTCTGACTACCTGGTTACCTGAGTAGGTTGTGCTGAAGCATGTAACCACGTAGTGAACCAATTATCAGGCATAGTTTTCCACTACACCTTCCAGTCGTTGTAGTGGAAGCCATGGATGCACGCTTCAGGACGAATTCAATGGTATAATCGCACTGTCCAGGTATAAGGATTTCGACCCGGTCAACCAATAATAGAATAGGCTGTGCCAATGCTGGAGGTTGACGATATACAGTTATGATTGCAGCCAGCAGCAACCGGGACTGGAAAGACACATCTATAAGACATGAAGTGACGCACAGAAATTTAACCAAATCCAGAACAGCATCATCAGATCCATTCCATTCCACCACATCGACCATTCATTCTGTGCACCTGCCATGTTCGAAGCTGAATTCTACCCACTAATCCTACTCTCTATCCCAATCCAACTCGACATCTTCGACAACTCCTGGTCTTCGACACCCACATCTGAAAATGTTGGTCCCAATCGTCGCAGCCGCCGCTCTGATGAGCTATCTCGTCTGGAGACTCCATCAACAGCGCAGCATGTTCAAAGATCTGCCTGGTCCGCCGCATCACGCTATCTGGGGACACTTCTTGGTCATGCGGGAAATTGCAGACTGTCTTCCTCCTGATGCCACTCCCCAACTGTTTGCACACCTGATGCGTAAGAGATACGGCCTGGGCGATTTCTTCTACCTCGACCTCTGGCCACTCGCACCGCCACAGCTCGTCATCGCTCACCCGGAGATGGCGTCGCAAGTCACCCAAAAGATGAACCTGCCTAAGGAGTCGGCTATCATGCAGAAGTGGACTGGACATATCCTGGGCAAGAAGTCCATGGTGACTGCCAACGGTCATGATTGGAAGATTGCAAGAAAGTCGTTCACATCGGGCTTCCAGCCTCAGAAGCTGTTGCAGCATGTGCCGAGTATCGTGGACGATGCACTCGGCTTTTGCGAGGTGTTAAAGGTACATGCAAGGACACAGGATGTGTTCAAGATGGAGGATTTGAGCGCGAGGATGATTTTTAACATCTCGGCTAGGGTCATTTTGTAAGTCCTCTCCGTCTCACTTTCACTTTTGGGCCGGGACTAAGTATAATTCAGGGGCCTCAAGTGCAACGCGCAGCGAGATGACGACGAGTTCCTTGAACTCTTCCGCAAACAGGCATCTCTAGCCCCTCAAGACTTTTGGTCGCGATATTTGTACGACATCAGCCCCCAACGGCACTACCAGAAATGGAAGCATGGCCGCGCTCTCGACCGCTATGTTGGTCGCATTGTGGACGAGCGGATCGTCCATGTGCCGGACGAGAAGAGCAAGTATCACGCTATCGACGAGGCTATTGCCACCAATCGAGACTACCATAGTCTATCGGACAAGGAGACGCGTGACATGCTCATTGCATCCGTCAAGACTTTGATCTTTGCCGGCCATGACACCTCAGCCAGTACTATTTGCGTAAGTCTGGTGCATTTAAAGCCCTACCCGCACACCTGCTAATAGTTGTCAGTACATATATGCCGCGCTTAGCAAACACCCCGAGGTCCTCTCCCGAGTCCGAGAAGAGCACACGAACGTTTTCGGACCTAATCCCTCAAGTGCCCCCGCCATGCTCCGCGCCGACCCGAAGCTCGTCAACAACCTTCCCTACACCCTCGCTGTGATCAAAGAAGCCCTGCGCCTGTGGCCACCCACGGGTGTCAGCCTCCGCCACGGCGTGCCGGGCCAAACCCTCAAACAGGCTGACGGCACGGAATGGCCCACCTACCCCTTCGCCGTGCTCGTCAACAACTGCGCCACCATGCGGCGCGAAGACCTTTTTAAGGACCCCGAACGATTCTTTCCTGAGCGCCATCTCGTTGCCGACCCCGCTGACCCGTACTTTGTGCCCAAGGATGCGTGGCGGCCGTTTGAGAAGGGGCCCAGAAATTGCCTGGGCCAGACGTTGGCTTTGATGCAGCTCAAGATTGCGCTTGTTATGACGCTGCGCACTTTTGATTTTGCTATTGTTTATGAGAATGGAACTTATATGTACCAGACTTTGGATGTCACGGCCAAGCCGTCTCAGGGGTTGCCAACTAGGGTCAGGATGGTTTATAGTATCTAAGTTACCAATTCTTGGGGTAGGAAGGCGTTTTGGGTTTGTTTATATTTATGAATGGATTGTATTCGAGTCAAAGGGTATCTTTGGAATGGGTAGTGGATAAACTGGAGGTTTATAGTATATGTATACGTAATTTGTTACCTGGTTTCACAGCAAATAACTGTTTAGAGGGGCTGAGTCTGAACTCTCTGAAGTCTAATTTCAAACCGTATTTCTTGTCAGCTTGTATTCTGAAGGAAGTTATTAATGGGTAAATCAATGACTACATTTTGAATATCTAGGGTGGCCCTCACGTCGAACTTTGGCAGCCGACTTATAGTTGTTTTCTTCTTCTCCAACTTCTCCAAGCCATTGGGCCGGTTGACCCCCTTTTTTTGCCCCAATCATGATATATGACGGAATGTAAGGGTCTGCAGTTTAGTTTGTATGCAGACTTTTCAAGGTGATTGAGCAGGGCCGAGGCGTTGTTAACTATAAAGGTGCTCTACTCGAGCCAGAAATGAAGGATATCGAAATTGGTTAGTTATACGGAGAAATATTTGCGCTTTGTGCTGACCGAAATGTACCGGAGTTGTTTTGTAGCTAGTCGCAACGTATCGGAATTGTTGCAAACTATAATAAAGAATAATATTGAATGTACCGCTATCTCTTCTCGTCGAAAAAGTGGCGATAAGGATCTCAAGTACAGAGATGTGCGCCTCTTGGCTGCACATTTTCAGACTGCTGATCACGTCTGAGCATAACAGTGGCTGATCATCAGAAGATTCGTTCCTGTAGATCTAACGGTGACTGATACACCAGCGGATTTCATGTCACGATGTTTAGAATCCTGTGAATTGGCTGGTGTAGCCGGAAACGGGAAGTCAGCCGTTGGGGACCAAAGGCTGGTACGGTCTGTCAGGGTACGGCTAGGCCGAAGGCAATAGTACAGAGTGATGGGGAGTAACGGGCGTCCCTCCTACGTAATACCGGGTGGTCACTGGCGGTCTCAGGTAGGGGTGCCCACGGTGATGCATTGATCTCTACTCTCCCTCTATCTTCTTCCCGGGCCTCCGCCCCTTACATAGATAGCTAGAACCCGACGTCGGAGCCGCGGAGCACTAGTTTCCCCGATTGTTCCGCAAACCAAGACTTCCATATCGTGTCATGACTCGCACATTCCTACACCAGAGCCCCCACCGGTGTCCCACCGGTGCCTATGGCATTCTGTTCTCTGACACGGTCCGACACAATTCTCGGCCGCTCGCCACTCCATTTTCGATGTACAATTTTACAAGTTCAACAACCAAAACAATACTTTACAGGTGACGATGAACAATCACATTGTAAGTTTGTGACTTGGAATTTCCAATCTGTATAAAACTCAGTGGCAATTACGTTTATGTCTCCCCATCTGTACATGTACAACCACAATTGAGCAAGCTTACAAGCCCAGAAATTAAACCTGAGAAATCTCGCCAAATTTCCCTTCCTTCAAATTAACACACATGTCCAGTGAACATGAAGATCCATTAAGTATGATCTCCTGATGATAGAATCACCGCTAACTTTCCCCAGTCAAGTCCGTAGCGTCCCCCTTTCCCCCATCTCCCCCTACCTCCCCAAGCTCGTAGGATATTAAGTAGCACAGGGGAGTGCCTTTAACCCAGCGGTTCCTTGCAGCAACACTTCCAGGGAACTCAATGGCGACGCTCGTTTTTCCGCCACTTCACTCTTCTATCTCCAACTCACATATCCTCATCCACTTCAGGCTCGGCCTTGATGTGGTTTTGAGGATCATCAAATCCGTCTTCGAAAGGGTTGTTTTGTGCCAATGGGTTCTGCCGCTCCGATATGAAGACAAGGTCATCTTCCATATTGTCAATTTCGAAGTCATAACTTAAACCCACATCCAGTAAGTTATTCGGGTCGGTAGGAGGCTTCGCGGTGGTAGATCTCGAAATCGGGGACACAGAGGCTTCGCCAGGACGTATATCGACAGATGGAGTACCTGAAGCGGTTCCAAATGAACAAGCTCGTCGGCGAAGAGGAAGGATACTCGACTCAATGTCGTTTTGATCTACGGGGAAAGCAATGCCATCGTCCAGATCAGCATGGTTTGCGGCAATATGTCGCTGTCTAACTGATGAACGGACAGGCTTGTGGGACGGAGGTCGGTCGACCTCCTTACCCTTCTTCGAGGTCGCTTTTCTCCTGTTATTGGACTTTGATTTGGATGATGGCACTCCAGACTTTGACAGCGCTGCGGCCTGTTTATCCTTCGCCATCTGGACTTGCTGTGATCGCACGCTTTGGACTTAGGAGCGCCTATGTTAGTTGAAAATGAACAAGGGGTAATGCTTGCACTTACTTAAGCGGACATTGCTTTCCTCCATCCATTCTAGCGTGGCACCCTCAACTACATTTTGTCAGCTCAAGATCCTGTGGAAGGCATACACATGCATACCTCTCCGAGAATACTTCTCCATTATATCAGTGTTGCGGAGAGGAGGCAGGCGGTCTCGATAGTTGATGTCGCGATGTATATTTCTAATCAACCAGTGGTTCTCGAGCGCCCTGGCCTGATTCACGGGGTTGATTCTAAAGTATGCGTTGCAGTCATCGCATTTAGTCACACAGATTAGGCCGGTGCCAGGCGGGTATTCGTAGGCCAAAGCGATTCCGTAGATATCTTGCATTTTGACGGAGAGACGATCGTGGATAGCATCGACGAGGCATTGACGTCGCTATGAAGTCTCAATAACTTGGGTGGATACAGTAAAGGAGATGTCACAATCGACGTACCTCAGCCTCGGACAAATGTTGGTGCCGCTTGCTACATGACTCGTTGTTGCCATCAGGACTATGAGGTCTCTTCTGCGTATTGTTGGAAGAGGTATCACCTGGTATGTCCGGTCTGTCATTGGGGTCCTGCGATCGAAGAGACACTGGGGTAGGCGCGGCCGCAACGGACTGAGGCTGAATGGGGATAGTGAAGCCAGGAGCATTGACGGCCAGCGCGACAGTGAAGCCGAATTCCTCGGCATGGTATTCTTGAGAACCATATAGACATTCCAGCAGCCCAGGCAGTTCTATCGCACTGAGGGCAGTGGTATTTGGCTTTCGAACGTACCAGTCGATAATCTCGGCCTCATCTTGCTTCATGATCTTGACTTCCTCTCCAATGAGCTGCAACCATCCGCGAATACTGTTGCTACTTCTCGTAATGCGGTCCCGCAGTTTGCGTTGGACTTTGTCCAACATTATCGCCGCAAACTCCGCATCCAGCTCCTGATGGAACTCTGACATGGTTCTGGTGTTGGAATCAGGAGGGAAAGGTTTGGTATGGCCAGGCCGATAGGTGGGGAGAGAGGGTGAAAAACAGCCTTCAGCCTTGCAGTCAAATTTCAAAGGCCGACCTAGCGAGCAATAGGATATGAGCTGTGTTTCTTAATGGAACATGCGTTCTTCAAGATGGAAATGTCCTTCGAAGTGAGTGAATGCTCGAGAAAATGTCCAAGTGAAGAAAATATCTGCGGTCTTTTATATGTGGAAGGAAAGGAATGAAGGGGGCGCATGGGTCCCTAATGCTTCACACGTTAAGGGGAACCGTCCAGGGGAACCGCCAAGGGGAATTGTTAAGGGGAATTGTTAAGGGGAATTGTTAAGGGGAACTGTTAACAGGTGCAGATGCAGTCTACCGTACCTGTCGACCTGGGTATATCGCGCTAGAAGCTAAGCACCTAAGGTAAGCTTTTAAACGTACAAAATATCTCTTCAAATTACTTTAGATGTAGTCTTTGGACGGAAGGGGCGTTGATACAGTAGAGAATTGCAGTAGCGCGCATCTGGCTTCCTAACCAGAAGAATAACGTCAACGTGATGAACCTGAGATAAACAGAAAAAGCGACCGCGGGGAACTTCGACCGTACCCAATATCCATACCGAATGTGCATTGAAACGATTCACCGAGTCTGCGTCAAAGAAAATCACTCCACAAATGCCAGCTTCAGCTGATGAGTCACACTTGAGTTCATTTACTGAATTTACCGATCAGTCTAGCTTCAATAACATCCTAGCAGATCACATCTGCTTCCTTGTCACAAAGCCTGGAGTCTGGCACATGGGTAATCTCATCCTGTCGTTTGCGCCACTTTTTATGCTGCATGCCGACAAATCGGAACGTAGACCATCCAAAGCGGCGAACAGCGCACTAAGGCTTGGATAATATGGATAGTTCAATATTCCATGGCAGACCCGCCATAACTTGATGGCCCTACTTGACTAAGCCCTTTATTATGTCGTCCAAATGCCATTGTACATCAATAGTCAACATGCGCGGCAGCAGTTAGTTAATGTGTGTAAATATCTATAGTGAGGGTACGTGCACTGTGGAAGTTCATGTTGCTGTTACGAACCATTAAACCTGGACCAACAAAGAAGGCCTGTTGGCAGGCCAGAGTGGACACGCTCGCTAGGATCACGGGACCCCGCATCGGAAGAACGACGGAACCAACGGTCACGTGACTAAGTACCTCGGTACCTGGATATATTGGATCGAGATAGATCCAGTTCGAGCCAGGCTCGAGAGGATCATGGATCGATCCAAATGATCCAACAGGATCAGTGAAGGAGATATGGATATATAAGGGACAGGACTCCCAGGCATTTCATAGATAGATAGTCTCTACTTCAGTGATCAATCTAAGCATCAATCTAACCCATTGGTGAGGCAAACTGCCTTAACGACTCTATTCCCAGTTACCCTACTTGAATACTTCAGTTACCCAGAGCTCTATACTCCATACGTCAGACCCCGATATTATTGCTAAGGACTCCGCAGCAGGACTTACTTACTAGCACAAACCCTTACAGACTCTTTAGTGGTTTACGCAGCTAGACTATTATAGGTTTCGTTACAACGAGCTCCCAGGAGGTGTAGGCGTATGTAGCTTAATATCCAGCTGTGAAATCACATATTCCGGGTCGTACGGAATAAGTCCTGTCCCCCTGAAACCTGCCTGGATATTCGACTTAGTTATAGTCGTACGATACGCCCTATAGAATGCCGAAAAGAACTCCTCCTTCGAGATATGGGTTATATGCGCCCGTATTAGGTCTTCAATTTCTTGACTAGATTGTCGAGTATCGCGTCGAGATAGTAGTCCGCGTTTTCGGTTAGCTAGAGTTGTACGAGGGACATTGTAGAGTTGGGCAGCGCGTCGGATGCTTAATTCGGGTTTCGATTGAAGCGCCTGACACGCTAGAATCATGTCGCTTTCTTTCCAATTCGATCCCATCTTGGTATGTGTAAAGATGTTAATTAAAAGGTTGTTCGTACGGTGGCAAGAAAAAGTGGCCAACTTGCTTGTGTGGCCAACTTGCTTGTGGGGTACGTTAGTCCGATCATAGAACCAGACGAGGCGCTAAGTGGCGACGCCCCCAAACAAATCTATTTGAACTTCCGTTAGAAAGTCCCCTAGCACGAGGTAATTAGGGCCCGGCAAGTGTATTCACGCTCGCAGCTTGATATAGGATTGGTAACTAGCGAATACTAGATGGAATGCTAAACGCAACCTACATATCTTATAGATGAGGAAAAGTTTCCGGGATGTAGCTATATTTGCCAAGTGACGAACCTCGCTATTTCCGTGAAGCGAACCCGTTTGCACGGCCTAGCACAACGACTTGATAAATTAGACATCGATTAGAACATATATTAGAACATGGTAGATAACCATATCGAAGGACTTGGTGGTCTAGTTGGTCTAGGCAAGCAGATAGTCCGGTTGAGTTTCTTTACAAGGAAAAACCGATAGCTCCCCGACATCCAATGGATCGATGAAGAAGAGGAGCGCGAGAGATGCTAAACAATCTCAGAGGGCAGCCGAAGCTGTCCTTTGGATCCGTGTTAATAGACATCATGGTTGTAGGGCAAAGTATTGCAAACAAGAACCCCACTGCTAACCTGATAAACAAGGGAACCACCATAAGCTCGAGGCAACACATTTAGAAGATATTTTCAACGATATTAATAACAAGACGAAAGAAGAAGAAAAATAATATAACTTCAATGCCGGTATCGAGATCCCTTCCAAGATACTCAAATATGTCTTAGCTAAGAGCCGGAAGCGGAAGGGGAACAGCGACCCCAGTAGTTGCCGCTCTTTTAAGAGCCATGTATCTAATCACTGCGGACCTGCCTATACTGCCGATACTTCTATAAGTATTAGATGGGATAGAGCATAGAAGCTTTAGGGAGTATTGTAATTGGACACTGGCGCAAACAAAGGATATGAGATGGGGCGCGGAGCTGGAAGTAGGGAATCAGTGTGTAATGGATGACTTCCTAAAGCCGAACTCTATTCTACAGTACCCAAAGGCCGCTACTGACTTATTGATAAAAGCGAAGTGAAATCTGGAGTTGCGTTGCAATTTGTGAGCAAGACTAACATAGAGAAGTAGTAGAAAGAGTCACAGAACAGAGAAAGTGGAGATGTTTGACTGGTGCTATCTGCTGTACTGTGGCATTCTGCTTTACTGTAATATTCAAAACTCTAGATTTAGGGTCTTTGCTTCTAGCTGGGGGGCCTGCGTGGTTAATATTTCTATATAATGGAAATGATTCTCTGCAATGCTTGCATCGTTACCGACCACGTCGACGCACCACTCCAAGTACATTTTGAACTCTCTTTTGATGAAATATTCATTCTCGAACCAGTTTTTCTTAATAAAATTCTTAAGCTCTCTAAAATTCACCTCTATAGAGTTGAATTCTGACGAGTAGAGTGAAATAAATAGGACTACTACACTAGCCTCTTTGCACATCTCTTGAATCTTCGCCGAATGATGCCAGGAAGCATTGTCCATAACCATCACAGATGTAGGCTCTGGGTATCTGCAGCTGTGATGAAGTAGCTGCGTAACGAAGTCTTTGAACAATTCACTGTCTGTAGACCCTTGATACACTCGCCTTAGTGTGATGCCGTCTTGCGCGGCATATGCCATCTTTTTCCACAACCAAATTTGGTGACCAACCCTAGCGTCGATATCCAGTCCTTCTATCAGAACCAAACTCATCAACAAAGAAAAGATGGTAAGATTTATATTTCGAGACCGTTTGAAGATAGAGATTTCGAAGGTCTTCGTTACGTTACTGGGCGATACGACGGATCATCGTTCTCGTCCAACCTATTGATTGTAAGGCCCGACTGGCTGATCTTTCGGATACTACCTTCCCAAATAGATCATTCCCAAAGTTTACGAGTTCGCTTCAATACATGTCCGGACGTTCGGTTAGTATGTCACATAAAGCTTTCCGCATGGGTTGTGTGATATAGCTATGGGGATCGATGGAGGCTCTGTTCTCACTGGACATTTCGGGTGGTTCTTTTTCGAGCCGGATTCTCTGGACGGCGCGAATGCTACATAAGGCCTTGGACGCGATAACCTTGTTTTCAAGACCTAGTTTTATCATCGACTTGATGTAATCACGCTACACAGGATGCAGTTAGGGCGCCATGGTTGTGTACATAGCCGGGAAAGATTGATAGTAGGTTAGGCAAGGACAGTAAAGGACGGGAGGAAATCAGGGTGGACGACGCACACTTTGTAGTAGTGGGCGGGTGGGCTGCCAAGTGGAGCTGTAACATCCTACTCCCAGCGCTCGCGAACTGTGCTGTTCTCTTTGCACTTATTGTTGTTTACAACCTTACAATTCTCACAACAGCATAAGAGGAACGGCCTCAGTGCGCATCACTCTGTAACAGCAAGTACAAAATCAGACGCGTAAACAAGCCTCGATCTTTATCCTATGTTGTCCACGGACTTGCGGCTAAGTCGACTGGCCCATACCCCGCATATGCAGCCTTACAATTCTGACTGATCTGCGACGACGGAACTGATGCCAGCTTCAATCCGGAAAGCAAGGTCCTCCAGCCAGAAATCGTCTGTTATATGTTAACAGAGCGCTGAGTTGCATGAATCTTAGTCCTTACGATGCGGTTATTACAACGCGACGACGCTGGCAGGTACAGCCTTACCCCGGACCTCGCTTTCGACGATGTTCCTTCTTACGCGATCCTTTCCCACACGTGGGGACCAGACGAGGTGGTCTTCGCTGACCTAGCGAAGGCAGAAGATCATTGGAAGCACAAAGCTGGCTACGAAAAGATCAAGTTTTGTGCTGAACAAGCGAGACAGCACGGGTTGCGATACTTCTGGGTCGACACCTGCTGTATAGATAGGTCCGACAGTATCGAGCTCCAAACTGCAATCAATAGCATGTTCCGGTGGTATCGGGATGCGGA